TGGTTCATCCGTGATTGTATCTAATTGAAGATCGGAGGTTGGTTGAGCCAATGCAGTTATTGGTTGCGTGCCCTTCTTCATCACATTTCGTATTTCAGCAGCTCCGTCGAGGACCAGGAATCCCTCTGAATCCTCGGTGGGTATGATAGCCGAAACTGCAGTCTCGAAACACTCGGTCAACAGTGGCATTTGACTATCCTGGCCAAAGACTGCAAATCCAGTATACGTTGGAGGGAACGTTTGCTCTCTGAGCTCTTCTGGGGAAGGAGGAGTGAGTCTCATTGGTATAGCGACCGCAAATGTGCGACTGTTTCGATTGATTGCCAAATGCATCATTTCAATCTTCTGTATGATATGCATTCGTGTGATAGATTTGTATAGCTTCAAGCTATATCTTAGTTGGTCCGAAACCAAATCATGTACACGAATTGAATCGGACAAGGTTATAAGATCTCTACCCAAGATTTCCATAGCCACAATACTACCTTCAAATAAGCCGTGCTGTGAAGCTGTGATGGAGCCCTGTTCCGGATCGATCATATGAACTGTTCCATTTTTACCAAATGCTGCAGCTAGTATTGAGCCATCATCAGCGAACGCTACAGCGCCATTGTATGGCGTGCTACGCAAGTAGTCATCGGTAAGTTCAGACTTCTCGAGTTGAATCTCATGCTGGCAGTGCCAGTTTTTGAGTACATTACCCTTTCCGTCCTTAACCGCAATGCCATCTCTTTTTCGAGTCTTTGGAACCCACGTGCGTACCACACTGTCTTCTCCTATTGTAGAGAACCTCAAAGAGCTAGGGTCCGTGGCGAGGCCTAGAATTTGGCCTGCTCCAGGTGCGGCATCACTTGCCGTGTGGGGGGTGTTAATTCGCGATACCAATTCCCATAACTGGCCTTCTTCTTTCCACTGCCAGAACTTCAAGCAGATTTCGCGTCTTATTTTGAGCTCGGCAAAAGGACTTGTGGCTTGATGTTGAATGAAATCGAGGTCGGCATGAGAAGGTGTCCACTCATCGACAGTAGCTAGCCAAAGTCCATCGTGAGACTTTTGAATGTGGGTGATTCTGGGTTCTGAGATTGGAAGTGCATTGGGCGTCTCATTTAAAGTTGTAACATTCGTCCTTGCAAGAGCTTGCTTTGAGACATTATGCCCGGCACTGAGATCATAAGTTTGTAAGAACGAACAATTCCTGACGGGAGCTCCGTAAAATGGTACTTCTGGATTTTCTCCAACACCGAGTAACAGATGTGAGGGGTTCGAAGAACTAATAACGGCAGGTGTCCGCTGTACCACATGAAACTTGTAAATATGGGATTTGGCTCTCTGAACTTCATCTGCTTGAGGTTCGGCGTACCGGATGACGCTGGATTGGATACCAGCGAAATTTGCCGTGGGTTCCAGTTCGGCGGTTGATAATACCATCGCAGAGTTATCGGCGAGCTGGATACCGTATGATGACCCAGAAGGAGACACGACCACATTAAGAATAGTCGACGTCATGTGGGGCAAGAATTGCTTCTTTCCAGTATCCAACTGCCAAAGTACGAGCACTGTTTCGCTGCCTCCAGATATGATGTAGTTTCCTGTTACCAGGTCAGTTCATGCAACGTTAGGTAGCAAAGCACAACAAATATACGTACCATCCAGGGACCACTTCACTGTCTCAACACTTTTTCGGTGCCAATGAAATCTTGCTGGTACAAGATTGACCATGGAAGCGTAATTTTTATTTTCTGATTGTATGAGATTGCCTAACAAGTCACGATGTATGAAAATAAATCCTTTCGCGTCGCCAACAACTACGTCGACCACTGGTGTCTTTTTAGATATATTCCTGTCATCAATAACGGTTCTAGGATATACTCGTACATCCAATGACATGATAGGAGCAGTCGAATCAAAGACACGAAATACATATTTGATCTTGTCAGTAGTATCAAAGTCCAAGTTTCGAACATAACCGAGTAAAATGCTTTTCCCGGAAGCTGCAAGAAGTACGGAACCTTCATTCGCAGTTTTTAAGTAGTTGATCGGTGTTTTTGAAGTATATATGGTTCTTGCGACTGTTTGTATCGGCGAACCAGGCTGAGTCAATTCATTTGCAGTAATTCGCCAGCCTCCATCCTTCTTGGTTTCAGTAGTGAATACCACATCTCTTCGTCGTCCGGCGGATACCATAGAAGCAACAGTCATATGTATACATCCGGTCGACGAAATCTTCCAAGATTGATCATTGCCAGCTCCCGAAGTCCAATCTACGCGGTATATAGCGCCGTCAGACAAGGCTGCCCAAATAATGTTAGAATCAGTGGGTGAGAGTTCGTATGCAACTATATGAGCGAAAGGATGTTTCAAGTGGTCAAATTTGATCGTTCGGGTGAGTAGAGAGTCGGAAGTTGAGTAGATGAGGAGGCTCATTCGGTTTGCTAAGATCAGATATCTTCATTCTCGTCAGCAATTGAGCTTGTCGCAAAGAGGGAATAATGTCATACTTCTCATCCTCTGTGAACACAGGATTTGCATCAATTATACGGCCACCAACAGGCTCGGATATTCTCCAACTGTGGTCTTTCACTGGTTTCGGTGCCTGTGGAATTTTCTTTTCCCATATTTCTTTCTTTGGCTTCAATCCTCGTTTTGCTTGCGAATCCACTGACTCGAATGGCACGTCCTCGAAAAGATCCTCAAAATCAATCACCTCTGTTGATTCGAATTCGTCTTTGACATGCGCACCATTGACCTGAGCCAATTCCTTTCCATTTCCCAGCGCTTCGAAAATATCAAATCCACCATTGCTCTGAGCAAATTTCGCGGAAGGGTTCGCTGATTCTGTGGTAGGTTTGGATCTTTTTGGAATATCCGCTACCTCCGTCTGCGCTCTTTTGCGCTTCAATATTGAAGCCATGGCGTTGTCAAGAGTTTTTGAGAAGTCGAGGAGTTCACGGTTTAAATTGGCAAACGTGAGGCAGAAGCTCCGAACGTTTTTTATTTTTTATTTGATAGCCGAAGATCTACCGATTGTTGTACGAGCGATAAAGAAAAAAGTTCTCGGCATCAACTCACGCGAAGAACTTCAATTCAAATCTTAGCAACCAAAGCATCATCGCAGACCTTTACATCAACGTCTACATACATTAAAATGATTATTCCAGTTCGTTGTTTCTCTTGCGGAAAGGTAAATTACATCAAACACTTTGCGCCAGAGTCATGCGCTGACCGCTAGAACAGGTTACCGGAGATATCTGGGAGCGATATGTCAAGCTCATTGATGAGGGAGTCAACGACGGGTTAGCCACAATACTACACAGTTCCTTCCTCTTCACATATTAACTTGTTATTCTAGTGATGCAATGGACGAGCTCACCCTTAAGAGATATTGCTGCCGTCGTATGATCATGACCCACGTCGACCTTATCGAAAAGCTTCTTAGGTACGCAACATTGTCCCTGTCATTGTGGCAAAGGAACAGAGAAATGGAATAGAGTTTTGCGCTTTGCTCATTTACTGACTAATTTGCTAGATACAATCCTGCGGAAAGAGATGCGAAAAAGGCTGCTTTGAACAGTTAGGCTAAATTGACCAAATACCTTCTACTTGTGTACAGCCCGGTTCGGATCACTTATATTGATGTTTTGATCACCATGAAGGTCAATCGGAAGAAGGGCAATATGCGATTAGACGATATAATGGTAGACAACTAGATGAGGAAGCAGATGGTCTAGGCGTTGATTGGAGGTTAAATCCAAATACTGCAGATTTCGGCGTGGGCGTTTTCAGGGCTACATCCAACGGTGCTTGGTGTGTGGTGGTCTTTTACGAGCGGTGCTACTTTTCTACACGGAGTGGGAGATAGTATTTGGGATTTCCAAAATCAAGGATTATTTCTAACATATCCAACAAATTACAAAGTGATACATTGTTGTTTGTTCTGGGGATCCTATCAGGCGCCCATCAGACGCCCAAGGTAACACTTGATCATTACTGGGAAAAGTTGTCCCAAGGAACTGGTTCTCTTATTATGCATGTACAACGCATACAGTTTGGGCCAGTCCGATGTATTGATGTGGAGTGCACTTAAATCTGACAAGCCACTAACGAGAAAGTCCAACATTTATCCACGGCAGAAGCTTGCCATACTAAGCAGAATTTGCAGAATTTTCGATTTTCATAGGATCGATAATCGACGAGTGACATCTTATAGCCTCATGCAATGCAGAGAATGGAAAAAGCTGGCGTGTCTATAAGGCTAGAAGCGGTGGAGCAATGTTGGCGCAAACTTGCATCAAACTTCGACGCGTACTACGCGATTCCGATAAGTCGTCAGAGTACGAGCAACTTCCCGGGCCGGAAAAGTATGAGAGCTTGGAATCTCACATGGGTTAAATCAAGGCTTAGCAATCGTCCGTCTATAGAGATAGGAGATTTTCGGACAGAGGGATCTGTCCGATGTGGCCTTGGAGATTATCAACAAAGACCAAGATACAATTGTACTTTTATCCCTGGAGTGGACCACCAGATAGAGAATATTACCCCTTCTAATCAGTTCAGACATCCGTTCTACTCATGCTAATGCCTTTCCTTTCTCAACGAGGATAAATGGTCGACCCCTCTAACTGACCTGGATGCCATTCCCGTGGTCTCGGACATGCTCATTAGTCTATCCCAAAGAGTCCAGTATTGACAGCGATCTCCGATCTTCGTAATGGATCTAACTTGAGTAATAAGTAAAGCTATTACTGTCTGATGATGGACCCGAGCGTCCGGTCCGCAACTGCAACTGTTGGATTTATTGTCAATGTTATTTCCTTTATAATTGACGCTGTTCCCTGCCCATCCATTCTCCCATGGTGACTTCGAAGCTTGAGGAGTTGAGACATGGAACACCATGAGATACTTCTAAGCTAGCGAAAATGTTACATTCTATTTGAAGAGAGAATGGCCTTCCGATGTACAGAATCTCTGACAATCTCGAATTAGTTACCGTTATGTATATGCTGTGGCTTCGCATGTTTCGAATTGAGATCTCCCACTTTTGCGTATGTTCAGGATAAAAGGAATGAATCCTAGGGATGTCAGTTGAGCATCATTGTACGTAGATACAAAATATACCTAGCACTCGGCATACTTCAAGGTTGCTTCAAGGTTGTGTGTGTTCACTTTGTCGAAGCCGTTAAAAATTCCAAAAAGCACACCTGGTAATATAAAGTTATAGAGTCGTAAGCGCCCGTCATGCTTGTAACCCACACATATGCAGGCGGGGGATCAAAAGACAGGGATTGATAAATATGACTGGTTAAAAATTTGATTCAATTGATTCTTCTTGCATGAGAAAAGCTCATGATGATAGTGAGGTACCTAGTCATTTTCTAGAACCGTGTTAGGCTATTTCATGAGGTTGATGATATCAGCCTATTGTAGCTGCTGTTTCTGCTCATTTCTTGTCCCGCTTGAGAAGATGTTGGTTGCAGTGCATTGCATTACAGATTTTGTACTCATCGCGACAAGAGAACCAAAGATTTCATTTATTTCTTGTACCGGGCGGGACACATGCCGAATATATTTCAGCTGTTCGCGACAGAGTGATAATAATAATAGTAGCATTTTGGTGACACAAGAAAAGGGAGATTAGGATAAGAATAAACAAAACAAACAAAACAAAACAAAACAACAGATAAGTTTCATTTTCTCAATCCATACTGGCTGGGTAGATATCATTTGATATACTCGCATCCTCACACTCAAATCCTCACTCACACCCTCACATCCTCGCTCCATCTTTCCCCACAAGGAAAATCATCCCCCCTGCCAATGCCATGCCCAGCGCGAAACTCAATAACAAAGTGCCACTTTTATATTGAAATCCTCCGCAGGAAACGGACGTGACTTTGCGGCACAGCGCTTTCCTAACCTACTCTCAAGGCTCATAGTCTATAGACAAGCACGGAGTACTTTCAACCCCTACCAATTTCACTATCTTTTAGATCGGAGCGTGTAAAGTCTGTCTTCTGTCATTATTTTTGGCTACACGCATCCACTCATTTTACTAAACTCTTTACAATCAGAGATTAGAGAACATTTTCTTGTGGTGCCAACACTTCTACCAGAAATCTCCCAAAGTCTCGAGCTTGGAGCTCTTATTCCGCGCCAAAGCTTTCTTCTTTCAGCCTCAGCATTTTCGGATCCACTCCAACGTCCGAAGGTGTGAGTGGTGAGTGGTAACCCCTCCCAGACCTGGCGTTGTAAGCATTATCATCTCTTTTTATACTTGAGCATCGCGGTCCCGCCTGGTCAAGCTTCTACGAACAGTGCGAGCGTCTTATCTTCTTATTGGAACCTAAAACTACCATAAATATGGCAGTAGAAAGTCCATTGCTTGCCTCACCTGTCAACGTCATGTCAGCCATCTCCCCTTATACAGATTTCTCTCTATCACCATGTTCTCCTTCAATTCAAAGATCTCCATATTATCGATCGCTGTATGTAGCACCGTTTCAATAACCCACCATGCTAATAATATTATACAGTCCCACACGAAACTATCCAGGTTCCAATCTCCAACCAACTCCTATCGAGGACGGCCCCTCTGCCAGCGCGCATCTACTCAGTCCAATGAGTGACACGGTGGGACCTTCGCCAGTGACCTCGAATGGCACTACAACCACGGATATTGAGGATGAGATGGCAGATGAAGCAATTACCCATGAGGACATACCCAGAGCCGATTCACAAATTACCGTTGGTACTCTGCCAAGATTGGAAGCAGTGATACTGATGTTGGAATAGTTGAAAAGGCTTAGCACAAACTTACCAGATGAGTTTCGTGCTTCCCTTGAGGATGAATCTGTCTCGGTCATTCACGCCCCAGAGGGCTACACAAAATTTGTGAGGAATAGAGCACATGGTGAAGAATCAATGGCTGATGCATTACAGCTGTTCAATGATGCGACCCCAGTACAATCAGCAAAAGCACTTTTGGATCGCTCGACTCCAACTCCATACCAACAGCCTACAAGCTCAAGAAGTAGCCCAAGAAGTAGCCCTCGCACCAGTCCTCAATTCAACCAAAAGACAAGCCCAAGAACCAGTCCAGAAACGAGCCCCAAAGTCAGCCCTAAAGCAAGTCCTAGTACGAGCCCAAGAATGAGTCCAGATAGGCTTCAGATTGCCGAGCATGCGAATAAAGTAAAGCTACCTTCCATCATAAGAGATTGCTAAGGCTAACAATTGGCATAGTCTATCGAGCCTGGTCCGGTTTCCCCTCCGCCGATTTCTACAGATATAAGACCAATCAGATTCGGTTTAGAGAATCAAACGCCCCGAGCGCAAACTCGCCAAGAGGTCGAATTGTTTTCGGAAGAAAGACGACCATCTCGGCCAAGCAGTCTTGAAGGTATAGTCGAAGAAGAAGCTATGAAGATGTTTTACTCACTAGACATAGGAATCCCAGAAGAACTATCCAAGGATTATTCGGAAGACGATTTCGATGCTAACACAGTTCACAATGCGGACGAGGAAATATTGGCTTTGAAGACAGCACTCAATGAATGTTGGACTCTTTGCAATACACTCGCTAGTCTTAGCTCCATTCATCGGGAGAGGATATTTAGCTTTTCTGGATCGGGCGATGCTCATGAAAAAGCCTGGAAATGTTGTTGGAAACTGTGCAAAAAATTATACGACAGTCGTGATGAAGATCATGAATATCATGTTAGACCTACGCTCGATCTATGTAGAGACTTCTGTCAATCTCTATTTGATGTTCGCCAAAAGAAAGATGAGGTAGCCGATTCAGTATTGAGGGTGAGCTTCGAACTAAACAACCACTTATACAACACACACGATCGCAATTTACCTGAAGCTTTCCGAGAAAGAACTCTGGATTTCTACATAACCCTGTGTCATCGTCTCATGAAACAAAGAAGTGAACTTGCCGAAGAGACAGATGCTCTGCTTAGAGCTTGTTGGGGCTTGGCTGAAATGCTTTTTAGCCTTCGACAAAACAAAAGAGAAGGAAAAACGGCAGATGAAGAGCTTCTTGGATCTGCTGTTCAAGCTTGCTGGGAATTATGTGACCTTTTCCGAGAAGGTTGGACACAAGTCCGTCCTGATCGGGGTACACCTCGTCCATCCCAAACGACTTTCAGAGCATCATCCGATCAAATGTCTCGTTCTTCACATACAAAGTCTAGTAGTCTAGCTTCGCTATCAGAAAGCCTTGAAGAGCATACACCTACAAGATATGTCATCCTACCTGAAACCCCAACAACCGACTTTGAAGACACCCCTATCACACCCGAGGAGGTCTCGCCGAACATTCCAAACATAATGGTTCTAGGTTCGGATAGACCCCCAAGATGGTCATCTGGTGCTTCCTCGCTTTCGGGCTATTCTCAGGAAAGCGGTACTAGCACGGTAACAAATGGGAATCAACCTGAAGATCTCAACTTGACACGGCTTAAAATTTTAATTTTAAAAGCTTCGATGAATGTGGGATATTCACGGACTGCGATCTCTTCCAAAGGGTCACCCCTGACACTTCAGAACTTTGTCAAAGCTTTACCAACTGGGTCTTTCGGCTCATTGCCAGCGCATGCGACTCTACTTACATCGTATCGAAATCTAGTACTGAGTGATCCTACTTTCAGAAATCCAAGTTCGCTACCTCCTCCAGGGAAGAAGGTCTCGGCACCTGATGTTGCTAAGAGTGTTAGCTGGATGATGAGATCTGGGCAATACACATTCTTGAAAGATTTGTTCAGAATGGTGTTTGGCTTCCGTGTTGATGAAGCTGATTCTCGAAAGAATGTCAGTATCTCAGTATGAAGAGGTCATTTTGATTACAGAATATGACGGGGCCTGCTTTCTCTCGCCGTACTCGCTTCTATGCTTGCCAAGTTGGAACATTCACTTCTAGGTGGCTTTAGCTTCCATGTTAGATAGCTTATGTAACATGCTATGAGCCCACAAACAATGCACGGAATGCTATTCTTTCGAATAATGGGATTGTCTCAAACGGCGAGATTGTCTCACAAGGTTTATAGAGCTTGTTTATGAGAACTTTGGGTGTAACCCGACACCCTTCACCGTTTTGGTATGCCTTATTGTCTCCATGAGCACAATGACGGCTTGTATGAAAAAGCAGACGAGGTCAATGATGGGGATTTGTGAATTTGGGCGGCTGTTTTATCTCTTTTTTTGATACCCTTGCTGTAAGGTGTTACGGCGCGAAAAGAAAATGCTTATTCTTAGCCTCATTTATTTCATATATGGTTATCATAGTTTCTCTTTATATATTGACTCTTTATAAACTTCAAAAAATTTATACCATATTCACTCCCACGCTTTTCCTGATCTTTTTGAAAAATTTTCTTTTTCATTCTTTATGCATTCACTATAAGTATTTCGATTATTCACCCCCGTTACGGGGCGTGAATATCATGAGTTTGCTAATATCTACCTTTGTTTTAATCAACTCTAACAGGGACAACATATAGTGGCCGTTAGGGATCATACGTATTGAGCTTCGGCATATAGTTACAGGATAAATGGATAGGACAATCATATTATATTAGATAACATTCCATCTCGGATCGGATTGGTATAACTAATACAGAAGAGGTATGAGTAGGTAGCGTAGCCTCATCCCATTATCCGTTTCTGTCTAGGCAGACTAGGACTGGAGCTAGGACTGGAACTAGGATTGGAACTAGGACAAGGGGGCTAGTTTTCTTTTTATTTCTTTTTTCGATGGCTCTAAACGGAAATTATTGGGGGTTTTATAAGAGCTGGTTTTTTGGGGGGGAAGGGGGAAAGGGAGGTATATACCTAGTAGCGATTGCTGGATATTCTGGAGGTGTTTGTGGGGTCATTTTGGGGGGGAGGGGAGTGAGGGGAGTGAGGGGTTTGAGGATGGTTTTGGGATGATGGTTTTGGGATGATATAGATGGGTTATTGTGCATTATTCATTGTGGATTCGGGGAATAGGAATTTTTAACTTGGTTGGTAGGTTGGCAGGTTGGTAGGTAAGTGAATAAACGAATATATGTTACGGTGAATAATTACAATACTGGGGTTTGAGGGTTGGATGGGTTGGGATGGGAGTGAGAGGCAGGTGAGATTGCAGGTAGAAGGTGGAGTCATCTTATACCTAGCTTTTTAAGAGGTGATTTAATGTAGTGGTTATGATGTGTGTGGATGGGGATGGGCATGGGGATATAGATGTAGATGTTAGATAGGTAGGTATAATTGGATGGGTTTACTAGGTAGTTGAGAGGGGGTATTTTTGATAGCTTTCAAATATGTGGGAATTTTTATAACTGGAGTACGTAGGCAGGATAGTTTATACAAGACAAGATGGATGTTTCAGTTTGGGGATTTCTAGGTAGTAAATTAGATGCAGTTTTTATTAGGTATGGTTTGATTGTTCTTTCAAGAGCACTTTTTCTTTTGGCGCTTAATATGTTGCGGATGGATTGATCCATGGGGGTTTTTTTATATCTAATTTTTTTACGCCATGGTAGTTACAGGATACAAGTAGATGAAGAAATGTCTTCTGCCTGAAGTCAGATCTGAGTCAAACCTAATATTTAATCCGCACTCGCTGTGTAGTTTTGAGATCTGATATACCACGAATTTCTCCTGGGTGATTTCGTGAGGATAAGGTCAATATAGTGTAGGGCTGGGCCTCATGCACCAGTTATTATTCGGAGTTTCTTCGGAAGGATTCGACCCGTCTAGTTACCTGGTCATGCGTTTTGACATTGCGAGAGTTTAGGTGGAAGGCTTAGAGGTGAAGTACAGTGTGAGAGTGTGAGATGAGGTCCCTATCTGCCGCCATTTAAGTTTCTGCTGCAGTCTCTAGGAGATGATGGTGTGTGATAAGAAGCCGGGTGCGGTATCTGATCTCGTGATGTGTTCGACAGGTCACCGGACAGGTCACTGCTTCCTGGAGTGAATTTGAAAAGGTGAAGCCGATGATGCTATGGTACGGCTTCCAGCTTTGCGTGGATATTCTTTACTTCTATTGCGTCCGACGTGAAAAGTACGCAAATAGAAAACAATTTCATCGGTAAATAACCTCTACATCTCCCTTTGGAAATTTACGCAACCGTTCCATGATTTTTGCCTCCCCTATATTCAGCTCCGTAGTAATTTGATCAAAACAATGGCAACCATTCGTATACCTCTGTAGCGCACGATCTCTTGCTTCAAAGGGCATCGCGTATCGGGAAAGGATTGATGTTAAATATCGTGAAGATACGGCATATCTATGTACGCGATAGATGAGACCTTTGATTACACCAAATTGTATGAATCGACGGATATCAGCGTAATTTAGCACGTTGAGGCCTTGGTCCATATGTAGTTTGAGCCATTCTTTTAGGGTTCTGGATGTACAGAGGGTGGTGAAGAGTCGACAGAGTATGAAATTGCTAAGACGGGGACCATTGATGTATACGTAACTGGCGCATTCCTCTTGCATGCCATCTTTATTGGCTACGAAATCATTCATTTCCGACGTGGGTGCGTAGATATTGCTGAAGAGGAAGATATCGAGCATGAGAATGGAATCATAGTAGAGAAGATGTTGTAATGCTATTTTGGTGAGATCGAGTGCCACATTTGCGTCATGGGCGATCCTTCTGACGTCTTTGATACCGTCGATGTGTTTGATTACCTTTCTCATGGTAAGATCCCAAGTATCATCCACGATCTCGGCGAATTTGATCTTGGAGATTGGGACATGCCATGATTTAATTGGAGGTGGATGTTTGTGGATTGGGAAAAGTTTCATATTGATCGTGTTGGCATCATCTACATATATTAGTTTACTTTCCTTGTCAAGAGGATTTCAATGAGATACATACCAACAGGAATCATGCACTCATTATAATTATTCAAATCCTCCTTAATAATCTCCAACAACGCAGCAATCGATCTCCGATCCTGAGAAAGTAGCGTGTCCTCTTGACTCAAAAATTCATTCTGAATCTCCATTTCCGTAAACGTTGAAGCCAAACGTTTAACCACAGCTTCATAAGGAATCTTATCCACCTCGACTCTGGTCACAATGCAAAAATTAAACATAAGCTCATTGCGTTCATATTTCTCGTTCTTGATGCACACTGGATGGCCTAATATGCGATACTTGTTTTCTGGATCGCATACTGTAACGTAGCGATTGCAAAATGCCTGACGGGGAATGATATATTCGGCGAGTTTTTCAAAGTCGAATAGACGGGGTTTGTCTACATCTGGTTCCGGGACTATACATCCTGGGGGACTTTGATGGACGACTTTTGTACCTGGAAGGGATGTTAATAGGGGTAAATAGTATGGATCGAGAGAGGATGGATATGCCTTTTTGGGGAAGAAAGCGTGCGAAGAATATTCCCTCGATCATGATGGGTTCTTGTGGGATAATTGGGTAAAACTATTTATTGTAGGCTGATTTATGTGAAGTCTTTTCTGGTAGCCTTGATCTCGTTCTAAAGAAGCTTGAACTATACACTATTCGAGTGTCGCAAACCATCAAGAATCATTGGATACTATCTGAGGGGTGAAAGTCACGTTTACAAGAGTGAGTTGGGGAGGCTGAATCGGCATTTCAGCCACATTGTTCAGCCACATTGGAGCTTAGTATCCCCTTAAATGTTAAAAATGCCAGTGTTGGTGGTCTGTGCAATGTACCTTGAATGATAAGCTCTGATTGGGCAAAATGATCTTTCAGAAGTTTTCAAAGACCTTTCTTTCGAAATTCTATTTTGATTTTAATATTTTGAGTATTTTAACATAATAATATAGGAATATTAATTTTATTCTATGTTATCAAATAAACATAAGTTTCCCTTCAAATATTTAGTAATCTGATTGGTTAGTATGATCCTTGTTAAGCGAACGCAGGCATTTCTAGCATTTTAGGGGAGAGTTAAGTGGAGCCGCTCCAACTCAACTGTCAGTGTATGATTGGCCACATGTCTGTGTACTAAGGGGTTAGCTGACTCAGAGAATTGTATCAACAATCTCAGAGATTAAAAATTAATCTTTCTTAAATATATCATCAGGAAGCCTATCAAAGCTTTGTTTTCTCTCATATATTCATTGTAACTCTGGTCAAGATGCGGGTCTGAATTGGTGAGTCTGTAAAAGTGCAGTAGTGCTCATACAGCTCACTTTCGGTCAAAGTTTGAAGGTCAACACGTATACCACTTATCGAAGCACGGCGTGATCTTGATCTGTGGTGTGAAAGGCTTCTATTGTCAGACATACTTAGAATTGTGGAAGTACGGTGCTCTAGGCATTTTAGTACATAAATCGGGTATAAAGAAGTGGTGAACGAATTGGGGCTCGGTGCACTGACGTCGACCTTGCGATTCAAAGCGAGGGTAAAGAGCACATAGGCTATTGCATTCTCTTGACTTGACTGGGTATCATCAATTTCAGACCTGTTTGGATTGGATCTTGATATTAGGGCTGCATTGAGCATTCCATCCTGAATTTTGAACTTCCTGCAAACGAATTCACACCAAACGTGCTGTGCGTTGCGTGTTGTATCTCTGTCCGTTGTGGTTGCTACTGCTCTCAGCATGCCTTCTAATGAGCCCCTAGATGCTTTGGCCACCAATGGCAACAAATCTATTCACTGTCAGTTTGTCATCCCATCAGTCGACATTGTCGAATAGTCCGACTATTACTAACATGACATCTTCCACACCACAGCCTTGGATCTACCACAACTTTACAAACGCCCATCATTCTTGGAGCTATTGCAAGTACTGGAACTACTAAAGCTTCCACCCCCATCTTGGAATTCGAAATCTAGGAGGTCCCAAGAACCCGATGATGCTCAAGGCATATCTCGTTACTTGACTAAAATCATTGGAAGCGGACTTGATTGGCTGTCGATAGGGGTATCTGAAGAGGAATGGGAACAAAGATGTGAACTCATTCATGAGCTTGCTAGCAAGAGACTCGCCGAACGCTGTGGGCGCTCAGGTAAAACATCCCATCTTTGCTGATGGCCAATTGTGCTTTCACACCACAATTAAGAAATGATCTAACTGAACGTAGCCATGCCGGAGATGACTCGTACTTGGGTCATCCCAACATCTGAACATTCAACTGACCTCACTATCGAACTATGTGAACCTCCACTTACCGGTGATAGCTTGGGTCTCAAAACGTGGGGTACTTCTTTTGTGATGGCTAAGAAGCTTGAAGAACTAGGGAACCTATATTTTGGTAATATACTTGCCGATGGTCGGTTGATTGAACAAGGATTTGTAACGTCACAAAATGGTCTAGCTGTGGAAAGCGGAATGACAGTGAAGATTGAGTTGACAATGGGGAGTGACGAAATGATGAGTAACAACACAACGATAAATGTCGATCCAACAAAGAAAGGGAGCAAGATATTGGCTCGTATATTGGTGGACGAAATTGATCCAACGCAAAATGAACAGCTCTCGGGTAATCACTCTCGTAATAAAGGCAGAATCTTGGAGCTCGGTTCGGGGACTGGACTTCTTGGGCTGACAGCTGCTATGCTTTGGAACAGGACCACAATCTTGACTGATCTTCCGGATATCGTTCCAAACCTGGATATTAACCTCAAGAGAAATGGGTTTGGTCAAACGCCCGAGAATAATGCCACTGCAGCTATCCTAGATTGGAGCGATGCAGAGCACTCTGTAGTTTTCAGTCAGAATCTGAACGATAAATTTGAGGTATGATAAGTATCTTACAAATTCCATACTTTTATAATTTAAAATTCTGATCATAATCGCAGATGATTCTTGTTGCCGATCCCTTCTATGACACTCATCACCCCGCTCTTCTGGCCGGGGTTATCCCCAAATTCCTGAAGAATAGTGGAGACAGTCGTGTGTTGGTGTCAGTTCCGCTAAGAGACAATGCCACAAGAGCGATGAAGAGTAGCTTTGAGGAGTTGATGTCCAGTCAAGGGTACCAATTAGTGGCTAGTGGGATGGAACGCTGTTTTGACGACTGGGAGGAATCAGAACAGGACGATATCGATGGCGTTTACTGCTGGTGGGGTATCTGGAAGCATGCTGTCGCAACATCTACTCCTATGTGCCTCTAATTTCATATCGGCAGCTTTATTAATTGGCCTTTATCCCTTGGTAAATGAGATGACCTGTGAATCTAAATATTAGCAAAGCAAAGTTAATGTGGTTGACATGATGATGGCAAATCATGCCTTAACAGAATGTGCCTTGTCGATTGATTCCAACTTTCTCAAATTTTCAAATTTTCAAATTCTCTTCTGCCCTCGGTACTTAGAAGTACCTGCCCCTAGTTATGGGATGCAGCTCAAACCTTATTGTGGGATATGTAAAGCATATCGGTAGTTTCCAAGTACCTCTTCCTATCGGTATATAAGAATATACAGCACCAGGCAGTTATCCGCCATTTCATGACTACATTTTTCGATGTTCTTTGTTCTATTTCTTACATGACATCCATCTAGGCCTACATTTCACCTGATTTTTATCTTGCTGACTCATATGAAAGTGGATTTGCGGATTAAAGAGGAAAGTTCGGTTCATCTCCAAGACACTAGATAGGAAGCCATCTGCCGTCAAACTTCATAGTAAACTCTGAAGCTTCCAATTACATCGTTCCTCAAATTTCTAATTCTAAGCTCCAAGCTCAGCGTTGGGGACCTGACTTTGTGGGGTTCTTTTCTTTTCTACCCGACAGTATCCGGGATTCACTCGCGTAAATAAAACCAAGATCAAATAGTCCATATGAAACTAACTCTCTCCATACCTACTCAGATATACAATAACCAGAACATTCACCCACAACAAACTTATTCACATTTAAACAAGTCGCGAGATTGTTGTCAATTCTTTATTCACATTTTTATCTTACAGACAGACCTTTGCCACCTAGGTATTTAACCAACTGGTGAGGGCGGATACATGAACAGCTCAAGATCCGGAACTTCATTTACAATAAACATACATAGACATTAAAAACTTAAAACTCGAAAAGATGGTAGGTGTGAGGACATGGACCGACGATGAAACGTGGTTTGTTCTAAAGGCATCGGAAATCACAAAACCAAACACTTCGTCTACACACTTGAACCCCAGACCAATTAGGTACTTCACGGACGAGGAAATTGCAACCCTTTGCAAGAAGAATGCCCCGAACCGGCGCCATATTCCAGATGCAAGTGGTGTCAGATACATCCGTAGTCACAAGAAAGCGCAGTGAGTGCCTTTATATTTCATCTCGTACCCCCATACCCCTATGTATAATTTACAATTTGGCACTTTCCCCGTTGTCTCTACCGAGGATATAGTTCTATGTCGGATCATATTCTTTCTCCCTATTACTGGTCAATCTGGTAAAGTCATGATGCTGACTTTTTGTATTATAGGTATTCATCTCCCAGGTAGGTCAACTAGTTTAATACCCAGCTGCGATTACTGCCAATGTCTATCCCTATAACTACATATGTCCTTTTCCCCTTTTCAAGCTTTACTTTCTAATTTCGCAGTGCACCAAGACCTTCTCAGGCAGTTCTAGCAGCTATTGCACGACTACGCCACGAATGCAATACCTCCGCTCAACACCAGGACGGCATGAGCGAAAACATGTTCAGTACTCCGCAAAACATAAGCCGCGGGAAGCTTACACAGGTACAAGGCTTTGGGGGCTTTGCCAATACAGCTCCAGCTCTGGGACATTCCAGGTTGGAGGATCTTGACTCATTGGCATTAGGATATATGAATAATCGGAACGGAAACAGAGCTGGACAAATCGTTCCCGAGCAATTCCAGACTATGAATGCTATGAACCCGCCAAGCCTAGCAGGTTCGCACCAAATGATGGCAATAAGATTTCCTTCAAATACGTTTGGAAATGAGCAAATAAACCACGACCTATTTGATGCCTCATGCAATATGGGGCCGCAGGGCTTCAACAGGCCCTATCAACAATATGGAATAAATGGAGATATGTATGTACATGTGCTGTGCAGAGAGTCCACAAAGTTACTAAGGTCAACACAGTGCTTTTCCGGATTCTAGTAGCCAACAACAATATGGACAAGCACGCCACGAGACAACTCTACCAACAAACTTTCCTATCAGCTCTTGTGCCAGAGCGCACGGTCAATTGGATCAAACAATGAATTACGTGCAGCAAATGGGTGCTCTAATGCAGAATGGCAATGGAATTCCTCGAATTCCACAACAAATGTATCCGAGTGGCATGGCCCAGCTCCAAGGCAATCAGATGGGCTCCGGCATTTCAACATTTGAGCCACAAATGCAAGCTTACAACTATGGAAACCCTACGCAGTCGCCATATCCACCGAACTACAGAGGGTATACATCAGGCCCTCGTGACCTACAAAATCTGGGCAGAAACGAAATGATGATACCACCAGGTCCGGCTGACGTTGGAAGATTCACTAATCCCCATGGTATACCATCAGATGGTCAAATTAACGGAGGTATAATGTCACATGGTGGACAGTACAATGGAAAAGACCAGCATCTGGCACAACAACAGGCCGGTGTGCAATTTTACAGTCTATCATCAGGCGTAGATTTGGATGCTCTGCCGGATCCTCAACTCAAGCCTCCGAAATCTCATGGACTCCCAAAAACCACAGTTACCAGTCCTGATGTCACCACTTCTCACGGACTTCAGCAAGCCACAATGAACACTCCTGGTTCTACTAATTATCCCGCTAAGCACTTGAGCAATCCAGAAATGTCAAATAACTTTGGAAACCAAGACGATGCTGCTGCCGAAGCCATACGTCCGCAATCACAGCCCTCTGCTGGAAACGAAAAAGGACATAAAAGGAAGGTTGATAAGGCCGGCTTTTATGATTTGAATTTGTATAAGGATAGTGGGAGGAAAAACAAAAGAAATAATGGCGAGGGTAGTAGTGGATCTAGGCTATCAAACCACAATGATCACTACGAAGTCAGTGATCAAATCTCCATTACACACACATTAGCAAGGATACAAGGCCTCCATAAGGCTGCTCAAGCAGCTGAACTCCCTGATTTTCCAGCTTTTCCAGCTTTTACAGTTGGCCCATTTGATTCTTTAAATGCTGCACCAGTTCCTGCTATGCATAGTCCAGCTCAACTTGACATGGATTCTGGTCGCTTGGATATGGAATTTAGTGTATTTTCCCCGGAGCTCCCTGATCAAGTTCAAGGACAATTTCAACAGCAACTTGAGGCATCTACTACCTTTACCAATAGCTCGAGCGATCTCAGTGATCCACCGACTCCTCAATTTGGTGAGACATCAAATGCGGCGTCAGCCTCAAAGTTTAAGGAGGCTCCATTGGTTTAGATAGAGGTATTATTTCTTGGGGATGGAGAATCAATCAATGTGTTTCCTTTTTGGTCGGAGTTTTTTAGGTGATTCATATACCAGTATCCTTTCTTGGGGATAGAGGATCAATAATGGTTTTTCTTTATAATTTGGAGTTTTTCTGGGTAATTTATATAGCAATATCCTTTCTTGGGGATAGAAGATCAATCAATGTTTTTTCTTTATGATTTGGGTTTTTTTGGGTGATTTATATTTATGAAATTGTGATTTGGCTGGGAATGTGAACACTAATTCAGTATCTATCAGGATATCAATGTAGAGGAAGAGTGCAGCCCCTAGCTATTGTTATGAAGAGCTGAAAATTGATGATTAAGAACTTGATTCTTTTACATCTTTTACATCTTTTACATCTTTTACATCTTTTACATCTTTTACATCTTTTACATCTTTTACATCTTTTACATCTTTTACATCTTTTACATCTTTTACATCTTTTATATCTTTTGTTCTTATAAATAAATTTAGATTCTTTTTTTATATATCAAATAATTATAATATATCTTTATAAAGTAATAATAATAAGATATTTATTAAGAATAAAAGCAAAGAGAGAGAGGGAGAGGGAAGGGCAAGAGAAAGGAAGAGGAGGAGAGACCTGGGTTTGAATTTCTGAAATCGAAAAGCACATCAAAGAATCGTAGATGGATCATCAAATTTGAAGCTATTCATACTAAATCTTATTATATACTTAAATCTTATTCTATAGTTTGAACACACCACAATCTCAAAAATGAAATCTTTACTGATCGAACATCAGTAAATAAATGATTCGCTGCTTCCGTAGGGCAGGATATCAATGTAGAGAGAGGTTGCAGCCCCTAGCTGTCGCCAAGAAGAGGCTGAAACTTGGCGATCAAGAATTCGACCATTTATCCAGTGGATCCATCCCAAAGAAAAACACGAGATACTTCGCGTAGCAGGAGCCTAATTTTACGCCTGCTCACCCATCTACGTAAAACGTAAGCACTAACAGATTTCCATAGATGGGAAATTTGCCATGGGAAATCCCATAAAAAGCTATCGATTTCCCTCAACACTGCTCTAGAACATTGCTCCACTATACATACTTCGAGCCTCAATAACCTTATATATATGTATTTATATATATATAGATGGTAAACATGTCGAAGTCTCTGTACCGACCCCTTACATCGAAACAATTCCGACTCGTCACACTTCTCCCAGGCCCAGATTCGACACCAATAAAAACGACATTACGAATTGTCAACCTTGAGGAGAAACCGAGATTCGATGCTTTATCTTATGAATGGGGCCTCGAGTCATCCGACGATCCTCAAATTTACGTCGACAATATACCATTTACAGTCCGCCGCAATTTATGTCTCTTTCTAAAAAGACTTCGAACATCCTGTCAGAGTGCTCAAGTGATTTACGCAGATGCTATCTGTATCAATCAGCAAGATGTAGAAGAAAAAGGGCATCAAGTCGCCTTGATGAGTGAAATTTATATGTGCGCTAAGAAGGTGTTGGTTCGGTTAGGTGAACATGATCGAAATAGTGAGATGGTATTCGGGACTAGTCTTGGGGACTACGTTGAAACCATGCCAGAGGGCTTGCGAGTGCTACCTTGTCTTTTCCCCGTGATTATACCCCTTCATTTCATAAGAGGTGCGAAAAGACTAGGTCGGCGCATGCATGCAGGCACGGATCCTCGAATCTCCGCCTGGACTGCCCTACTATCACGGTCATACTGGAATCGGACGTGGATTGTACAGGAGTTTCTTTTAGCACGTTCAGTGGTAATTTATTGTGGTCCGGACCATATGGATGGGAATTTGATATTCACCAAGCCGTTACAAGATTACTTCTCGCGTAAAATACAGAAAAATAAAGGGGGGCTAGAAGGGATTCCTCGATCGTTCTTGTTGTATTTCTGGAAAATGAATCAGAAGCATCATGGGTCATTTGGAAGGGGAAAGCCTTACTTTGCAGGTGCGGATATTTTCGAGTTGGCTTTCAATTATCAATATACCGAGTGCCAGAATATCTTGGACCACGTGTTTGGGTTGCTGGCGCTAGAAGATCCAAGGAAAAGTCCTCCGATTATACCGGATTATGACGACTCGGCTCAGACGCTATTTGTTAAAATCTGCATGTTGAAACTTCCAACGGTTGCAGGGAGCGTGGACAAAGTCACTGATATTGGGGTGTTTCGCGTAGCAATGCTGTTTCGAGGTTTAAGGTTAACTTTCGATGATGCGGAGAGTATTTTAGATATCTTGCTCGACAACAACCAGTCCAATGCACGAAACATATCTGTGATTGCTACGATAGCAAAGTCTTTCGACTCATTCGGATTCCTAAAACCAGAACGAAAACAATGGATTCTACCACAGAGCAAAGTCCCACAAACAACACAACAAATCCTCTCTGCCATAAAACAATGGCAAAGCACCCAGAAGAAAAATGGGAATTGGTATAACATTTCTCACGCGGTTCAAAAACATGAGCCGTCTGGTATGCAATATCTCCAGCTGGATGAACCGCTTTGGAGTCGCTATAGCACTCTCAGAGCGACTGCCGCGAGGAATGCGGCAGCGGCAGGAAATATTAATGTTCAGAATATTAATAATTTGAACAATTTTAATATGAATAATATAAATAATATAAATATGAGTACTATGAACATGAATAATGCGACGACGATGGGGAATTCTGCAGCGATGGGATTTGTGGGGGCACTTCCGCCTGGGATGTGAGGGATGTTAGGAGGTAATTAGGGGATGATGATTGAGGGGGTTTTTTGGTTATATTTTTTTCTTGGACTTGATTTGGTTTAGTTATTGAAAACGAATATGAACAGTTAGTTTGTCTTTTTGGTAGATTCTGTAGTAGAATATAATGATAATTGGAGGTATTCATACATGTGGACAACTAGCGTGTTGAGAACTAGCAGACTCGCCTGTAGATTATTAGATTGAGATTGAGATGAAAGGAAGGGATTTGAGATGGTGCGATGAAATGTTTGAGCGAGAAGCGAATTTTGTCAGGAGTAGCATGCTTTTGTTTGAATTGGGATGAAAATAAGCGGATGATAGTTCTGAAGAACTGCGGACGAAAGACTCGAAGACGAGATGAGAGCTTGGGAGGTTATCAGATAGAAGATATTTCTGTGAGTAATATATTTAGAAAATACACTCCAGTTCTAGCTCCTAGTCCATAAATGAGGCTACCGGAAAAAAAGAACGCCGTAATCGACTATCTGCCCAAGTGCTCATAACTCATTAACTCCTTAAACACCGAATTCTTTCGGCTCAGTAGCACTTCTAGAATTTGCCATTATCTAGAATATTTCATTCAGCCTTAGCTTTCTCCTTCCTAGCCCGGGCCCTTTTTTGCGGAGAGGACAAGTTCTCTTCTTCGTTATCTTCGGCTTCACGCTTGAAATTGGCGCGCTTTGGGCGGAAGGAATAGCTCCTACCGTTGCAATTGGTATGTGTCTATTAGGAAGTTAGTAAGTGATGTAATGTTCCCTGGTAACACAACGACAGTACTCACCGAGGGTGCCTCAGTGGATTCTTCTTGCTTAACTCTTTGATCCGTGTTATCATAATGGGTAGGTGTGCTAGGACCAGCAACTGAGGGCTCAGGATTGCTAGGTTTTGAAACCCGACTTTGGTCTAAACTCAGCTCGTTAGAGTTATTGGAAAAAGTGCTCGCGAATCGACGTAAAATAGCTGGTACTGGTAAAAAGAACGAAGGCTTGCAAGGAGGGGGAGGAACGATTTCGGGAGGGATGGTCCGTTCGGGTGATCCTTCGGGTGTTTGATCTATGATGAGGAATGATTTGAGGATTTCTAGAGATTGAATTAGCTAGTAATATATGGTGCTAGGAATAATATACGTAGGTCGAACCTTTGGAGCGATACTTGAAACTGAAACGTCCAATGCAGCTTTCATCTCTTCCACCGATGAATTCGGCAATGTACCTCAGATGACCGTAAGAATATTTTTGATTATAAGGTACAAGAGATGACAATCTACCGGATAATCAGCATGTACTTTGACGTTATTATTTAATGGAAGTTCCTACTTAGTACCATGTGACTGGAACTCCTGTCCAATAGTGACTGCCTTCACATGAAGCTCTTCTTCCACCATCATATTCATCTCTGTTGACCTAAAGCCTGGACTCGGTTTTGCTGTGACATAAGACCCTGTAATATTTCCTCGATGGAATGAAACGATGATTTCACCCACACCTTCGATGCATTGAGCATCTCTAATAGCCTTACTGTAAACCGATTCATCCTCGGCTTGAAAATCTCAGCATATATGTATATGAGTAGGAGCTAGCATGCATAACTTACAAATGGCTAACTTGGAAAACGCGAAAGGTTTAAAACCTTCTACTCCATCCTCAACACTGTATACACCTCTTGCATGAATCTTCCACCGCGATGCCCCTGTGTCAAACAATGTCAAGCTACTTTCATGTATGGTAATTCCATCGATGGTGATTTTTACAATGAGACATGAGCCATCATTTGCGTAGTTGGATTTGTGAGCTTCGTTCATCGCAACATTCACTGCGAAATTCTTGTCGGTGAGAGCCTCGATATACCTAGAAATGGTCTTGGAAGCTAACGCTTTCTTTTCATCCGATGTACCGGACTTGATCTTTATATCGTTGTTATCATACTCCACAAGCTGTATGCCATCCACACAAACAGTTATTTCGATACCGGGAAGGAGGTCAGAAATGGCCATAGCTGCTGGTAATTCTTATATATGATGTCAAAATCCGGTGCATCCATACCGATCATATCGCAAATTGAGATATCTGAGAAGTGAGAAAAGGGGAAACACTCACATGAGACGGGAATATGGGAAGAGCATCTGATTTCTTGAATCGCCTAATCTCAAAAAAGAGGAATGGAAGTAAATCTTGTGAATTCCAATGTCCAAATACGAGAATATCAAACGCGGGGTCAGGGGGAAAAGCAAGTAATACCCCTCATTGCATCACATTTCTATGACGGCTCGCGCGCAATAATCAAGATTCTGCATGATATCCTGATCCATCGATCTTTGATTCCTTTTGCTCGAGACAGCGGGAAGTATCCGTGTCTATGGAAAATAAAAAAACCAAGAGAAGCTTTATGCTAGTTGCCGTCGGAACTTTTTCCTTGCTTGCGCCGTGTAGATCCTGAATGAATGATATGCCGTGCTACGCAAATTTGGCAGCTAACAACGGAGCTCTCTCAACCTTGAGGTCCTTCGGCAAATATAGCATTGCAAGGATTGAATTTGAAAAGAGCAAAATACTCCACTGTTTAAATTGGAGAGTGAGAATAGAAGCAAGCTTTTGGATACTTGAAAGCTTATCTATTCCTGCCAGCTAATAAATCTGAACTCATATGAATGGACTATCCTTCTAAAGCTTGACCTAAAACTTGAGCATCCGATGAACCGTAGTATAAAATTCAAATTTAGTACCTGAAAACTACAACAAACATATCGCCGTTATTCCTCGCTACCTCTTATCCTTTCTTCTGTTCGATTGATTCCTTCCAGTATCAGAGATAGATTCTTTTGTCATATCTTCATCGCGTTCTCGCTTAACGAGACAGAAGATCCTGCCGAATCTACCGCGTCTTCAGCCACGTCTTCATCGTTGTTTTCGAGCTTGATTACAGGTTGACGCTTGATTTCTGCGTTATTTCATTAAATAAAAAGAAGGGCTTTGAGAGATTGCGGGAGAGGTTAAAGGTCAATTTTTTTTTACAAGAGTCATGGAGGATACTAGCTCTCAGATTGATATCTTGACTTGAAAGTCCCATGAGGCTCTCTTGAAACCCAAATGATTCATCCCACATGTCCAAAAATTGATATTGACATGTTCAGATAAATCTGGTCTACTTGGAAATCAGTACATGCTCATAGCGCGTAGTTTATAGGGGTACTAAGATTCGTTATGTGAAAACGAGACACATCTCTACTATCCACAGCTTCACGATAGAATTCTCTATCCAGCTTTTCTTCTACAGAGAGTGGATCCCTGGAGCCTGGCTAATATCTTCAAACTTGGGCTGAAGGACCTTTTCTTCTTTTTTTTTTGGATTTTATAAGATAGAAGATGAACACCATTTCCTTTAAAGTCTTAGTAGGAAGCCAATCAACCAACAATATTCAAACTGATACACTCACCAAAGTGTAACCACAAGAACTTGAAAAGCTAACCACTTCGAATTCCTCACCATTCTCCGTTCCATAAATACCGAAACATAATGGATAATCATGATGAGTTTCCCTCCATTCTCCTCGGAAAAGTCTATACGACTTTTAATCTCTACACCATCAACCTTGATATGAAACTTATACCAGGACTAGTTAGTCCATTATAGCACCCACAAATAGTAATTCTGATTACATATCCCCCTCTCTGGCACCACTCGACATACTCCGCAGTACTGATCTACCGAAGATTCTCATTCCAATCATTCTATTCAGGTAGTGATTCATCTCCAACACGAATATTTTCCAATTCCGGGGATATATTTCAAAATAGCCATCATTCAATGGATATCCTCTCATTTTAATTATTTGGCTCCATCTAGTGAATGAAAAACCCCAGGATTGGTCATAGAAGCGAGTAACTGAGTAGGTGTGTAGCACAAAACCATCTTTGTACCACCTTCGTGTAACAGCAGTGCATAATGAGATACGCAACAATGTGCATTATGCTATATGGACGGAATATGGCGACCTGCATAAAAATATCTTTCAATAACTAATATATCATTACTTGAAGGCGTCAATAAGGAATTCATTTATGCGTACCTGCTACACGGGAGGGGGTTTGTATCCATATCACGGGGAAGGACGCTAGAAGTCGGATACTGTTGGACTAATAACAATCTGGTATAGAGTGTGCTCCAGGTGAGTAGAATAGGGCTAATTCCTTCTTCGATAAATCAAAATGAAAGAAGATACTTTAGAAAAAAGATAAAAATGAAACGATGCGTAAAATGATTTATTCGAAGTCTCCGTCATTGTTCGGTACGTAAGATTACAGTACAGCCGGCAAACCCAAAACTACTGACTGCTTCAGACCCTTAACTTGAGAGGCAATAATAGCTAAGATATAACAACAGCATGAATGAACCACTTGGATTTCTAAGAGTGAAATGACAATCGATAACTATCTTATTATACTAATCATACATATTTCATGAAATCGTTCGTACGCTCACAAGACAAAGACCAATCCACAAACACCTTTTCCTTTCCCCTCCCCCTTTTCAACTCTATCGCTAAACATCGATGCTAAAATGACTGATTTGACTATAATACGCATGCACTGCCAATTCTAACACACACACATCTCCAAACACATCCCCACCATCAAAGCCTCCTATTACGACGAGTCTACTGTCGTGAAGCACTGTTCCATGATAACCGCGAGCTTTTATGGGCTCTCCGTAGACTTTCCGCTTATCCCAAGCCATCGTGACAAGATTTAGGAGAAGTACTTCGTTCGAGTACTCAACGCCATCATGGCCACCTATTACAAAAAGATAACTTCCGACAATCGTAGCTGTATGACTTAATCGCGGATATGAAACTGGAATATTGACTGCAGAGAAAGTCGAAGTCTCAATGTCGAATACCCATACATCTCGGAAACATTCTCCACCATCAGATCCACCAAATATAATAAGCTTAGATCCGACGATGTTTGCAGTATGATATCCGCGAGCTTTTGGTTTGGTTTTATCGTCTACAGATGATGGTGTCGGGGGAGAAACGAGTTTCCAAGACATCTTATTGGTATCCGCGACGTCTAACCTCCATACATCATTTAACGCTCGTACTCCATCACCGCCGCCGAAGACATATATGCCATTCTTGTATAAACATGCCGTGTGTGCTCTTCGTTTGCTTGGTATCTTATCCCCGGATATCCGCGGTTTCGACCATCGAAAGTTCAGTGTGTCGAGTACATAAATATCGTTATAATATGCAGGTCCGTCTCCACCACCAAACACTATCAGCTTCTTTCCCACAGCCGTGCATGTCATTGCTCTTAAAGGGGCAGGTATTTCTCCGCAGACGAAAGGCGTAGACCAATAGAAAGCGTCGGCATCTAAGACATATAGTTCGTTGAAACATAAACGTGCATCACATCCGCCAAAGACGTAGATATTGGAACCAATAAGTGTGGAAGTATGTGCCCGTAAAGACGTATGAGACGAACCAGAGACAGGGGCGCGAGACCAGTACATTCCTGAGGCTGGTGCAGGAAGAACATTGGGAGCCAATTTAGGGTCTGGTAGTGAAGGATATGGAATGGAAAGCCCACGAGGCGGGCGTTGTACAGGTGGTACAGGAGAAGATGAGTGTGCAGAGGAAGGAGCTTTTGGTGCTATGGCAGATGTGGAACGAAGATTAATGGGTCTATGGGCATCTTCTTTCGGAAGTTGAGGAACTGGGTTACCACTATCGGGTGGTGACATGATCTCTGAAGGATTGGATGTACTGCTACCATAATGGATAGAGGGTGGTTTCGCGGTCGTTGATTTGATGGAAGAAGTGGAGGATTCCTTCTGCGACAATGACTGTGATCTCTGGCGCAATGATAAATCAGACTTTTGTTTCCGCCTATCTTGACTTTTAGTTGATAGATGTCCGGGGGTATGACTGCGCGAAGGAGGCGCATTGTCCCGTGGTGGTAATGATGGCTCTGAATCTTCAGGGATATCTTGTGGTCTTGAATCTGTTGGAGAGGATTGAGTGACTTTTTGCGAACGTACAAGTTTGGTTTTTAAAGGAGAATGAGGACGAGTCTTGTCCTTTGGTGAATCAGCCATTGTATATGCGCCCTGTCTTACTTGAACAACAAAATGGGATTTTCATTGTTTTGCGTATTAGAAGTGTGGAAGTAAAATTAGAATCTGAGGAAAGGCAGTCGTGGCTTGTGAATTTGCGGTTGGATTTAAGTGCAGCAAATCTAACATGCAGTAAACGTCGCGGATTTCGCATGAAAGTACGGAGTTTTCCCCCCTAGTTGATTAGTTGTCCTTCATTGGCAGTGGGGATTCGTTGTATGTTTTATGCACATATATCAGGATAGAATGAAAGAGTGCGCGAGTGATTGATTGAATGATTGATCGATAGCTTGAGAACGGGTAGTGCCGCAGCCTAAACAATGTAACGGTGTAGTTATAGAGACGGTTCAAAAGCCATTTGGGTAAAACGATGGAATCGCGCTTCTTCCATCCAGCAGAAGATGAATGTATTTGTTCGTTATTTATTTAACAGGTCAAAAGATCATAAATTCATACAGAGTATACTCGAATAGAGGATGACAGGAGTGTGGGGGAGAGAAGTCCAAGAGAGGAATCAAAACCGGACAAGTAATAACTTCGTAACTGGATCCAGGAACAAAACTTTGGTTTCAGAATAAGCTAGGGGCTCGATTAACCTACGGGAAGGGAAGGAAATCATTCACCAGCCACTGATTGACCGCTTAACTTTGTTCTAGACGTTGAGCCACATTGTGGCGGCTGTGGCTGTGGCTGCAACACCAGTAACTCGGTCGGAATACTCCGTAATACTCGAGTAGATCTTAGAAAAAAAACGCTAAGATAGAGCTCCCCTCAATTTTTTTTTATCGATTTTGATACGAGTACCCCGTTTGCCCTTGACAAGACGATCAAGAATATATTTTCAACACCAAAATCCTATCTTTTTCCACACCATTAAAGCCTTGGAGGTATACACAAAGAGTAATTGAATTATCTAAACTATTGACACGGAATTGAATATCATTATGACGGACGAAATCCCCAATCCAGTACAGCCTGAGAAGTCTTTAAAACGGCCATTAGATGGAGAACAATTGGAGGAGGCACATCCACCACAACCGATACTACCAGAAGATTCAGCAGTCACAAAGGCAGAGAAAGTAGAGAGAAACGGTGCGAATGGGAATTCTGTGAGCAATGAAGAGCCGGTTGCGAAAAGGATCAAGACTGAAGAGCAAAATCACAATTCCACCGCGACAGATTCTCGTGACAGGGTCAGAGGCATAGCTCCTATCAAAGCTGAGTAAGTCAATTACATGTTTTTTTTTTTCGTAATTTTAAAATGAGACCTCAGTAAAACCTCTAAGCTGTGGTCACTAACTTATTTCTAGGTACTTGCTTCATCCAGCTGGAAGTCGATCGGCCACAGATGGTCGCAATCCCGCAGCAAACGACGATGCGGCAGAAGAAAAACCTCGCGGCGACAACAGGGACAATGGAGGCAAGAAGAAGAAGAAGGAGAAGGGCCAGAATAAAGATCGTCAATTTGGATCCTGGGGCGACAAAATAAAGTTATGCAACAGCACGTCAAATTCGCCAGAGTTCTCGCCGAAAGAATGCAGTTTTGGAGAAAGCTGCAAGTGCGAACATGATCTTAGGAAATATCTGGCTGAAGGGAAGAGAGGAGACTTGACTACATTCAATTCGAAGTGCCCAGTTTGGGAAGATAATGGCACATGTCTGGCTGGTTGGAAGTGTCGTTTTGTAGGAAGTCATTCCAAGGAGGTGAAAAGGGAGGATGGTCGAATGGAACTAGTCCTCATAGAGGATTTAGAACGTATGCGTACCACGGTAGCCGGTGATGAAGAAGCTCTCGGGGGTGTCGTGAATGTGGTCAGCACTAAGGATAAGCTTGATCTCGCTCGGAGGAGAACAAAGATGGAGAAATCTGATCTATATACAAATTGGTTGGATAAAAATTCGGAGGAAGTTAACAGGCAAAGCAACCTCAGAAAAGATCAGAAAAATGATCAGACTCAGGAAGAAAAGGAAGAGAATCGCGCGCGATATGTGGAACCACCATTTCTCCCTTCTGAGAAGCGACGAATTTACTTTGGACCCGAGACGCCTGTTCTCGCTCCTCTCACTACTCAAGGCAATCTTCCGTTTCGTCGACTCTGTGTGGAACTTGGAGCGCAGCTTACTTACTCGGAAATGGCAATGTCGATACCTCTGTTCCAAGGCCAAAAATCTGAATGGGCATTAATGAAGGCACATGAGAGCGAAATCACACCACCACGAATCAATCCAGACAGAAGTTCGATCGTTCAAAATTATAATAACTCGAAGGACTTGAAGTTCGGTACCCAGATTTCGGCCAATAAACCATTTCAAGCAATTAAAGCTGCCGAAATCCTAAGTCGATTCGTGCCACATCTACGAGTCATTGATTTGAACTGTGGATGCCCAATCGAACTTGTATATAGACAAGGAGCAGGTTCAGCTTTGCTCGATGCACCATCAAAACTGGAGAAAATGATTCGAGGTATGAATGCAGTTTCTGGGGAAGTTCCCATCACAGCCAAGATTCGAATGGGGACCATGACAGGAAAACCTACCGCTCTTAAAACTATTGAACGTTTAGCATTTGGTGGTGTTGAATCACGTGAGAGACTTGGTGCTCCTGGTTGCGCTGCGATTACTCTTCATGGACGTAGCAGACAACAGAGATACACCAAGAATGCCGATTGGAGTTACATAGCAGAATGTGCAGCTCTCGTCAAATCATACAACCAAAAGAAGGATGATTTAACAGACACAATCATGGAACCAGATGCCCGCACATTACCAAATGCCCCCGATGGAAAATTACATTTCATTGGAAACGGTGATTGTTATTCCCACGTTGACTATCTCGACCATATACAAAATGCAAGCGTAGATTCCGTCATGGTAGCACGCGGTGCACTCATCAAACCTTGGCTCTTTGAAGAAATCGAAAAGGGACAAACCCTCGACAAATCTGCATCAGAACGACTACAATATATCGAGAAGTTTGCACGTTACGGACTCGAGGCTTGGGGATCAGACGAGATGGGTGTGGGACAAACGAGACGATTCTTATTGGAATGGTTGAGCTTTGCTCATCGATACGTCCCAGCTGGAATCTTGGAACATTTACCTCCTAGTTTACAGGATCGTCCCCCGGCTTACAGGGGAAGAAACGATTTGGAAACTCTGTTGGCTAGTGATAATTACATGGATTGGATGAAGATTTGGTATGGTTTACTTCTTGCTTACACACTTTCTTTTTCCCGAACGACACTAACCAAACCAATAGTGAAATGTTCCTCGGCCCCGCACACGAGGGCTTCAAGTTCCAACCTAAACATAAATCGAACAGCTACGAGATTGAAGCAGAAGGATAGTCAAATTCGTGAGGCGATTTTGTCTGTCTAGTGGGATGAAATGTGGAGATGGATGTAGATATAGACGCGGATGTAGATACTAGAAAACAATCTACATCCCTACCAACAACCAGACGTCAAATGTGCATCACATCAATAAGCGGAAGATAACAAACCCCATCCATCCATCAACCACATATGAGTTGAGAAACGCAGTGCGTATTAGAAGATATACCAAAAAAAGAAAGGAATTACATAGTAGGTAGTCGACAGTCGATAGACACTTATTGAATGTTAGACTCTAAGCAACAGGTAGCATGAACATGTGAGATTCCGAGATATGATTGAATAGAGCAAATAGAGACAAGTAACTGGATGAATCTTTCAATGCACGCATAATGTCATTTCTTTTAGTTAGATGTGATACTTTAACTTGATGAAGCGAGATCGGTGGAGGAGATCAAACCAAGTGACTTATACAAGCAATGTATAAATTGTGCCCGTACACCAAAGAGTAATCTCAATGAGAATAATGTTGAAAACATATGAGGGAGATATTATCAACCATACCGAAGTAGCACTAAAACAACGTGAGTGAGTTTTGTCTTTCGCAGTCAGTCAATTCATATCATATGTTCATTTTCCTATCTCATGAATACGCCACTAAAACTCATGAAGCAAGCTTTTCCCACAAGAAACATTTGCAAATGACACGCTCCATCCTCACTCCCTGTCCGTCCTGATATCATTCCCTCACGGCACCCCCATATTCATCCTCACCAAGCTCACCCTCTCCCTATATATCCATCACCCAATACTAATTCATTCGTGTAGTCCACCAAAGCGTTCAAAACCATTTAGCTGAGAGAGCAATTTATTTCTCCTTTCTGGAACCAGCAGAAGGTTCACGAGCTTGAGCTTTATCGAGAATGTCATCAGAGAATTGCTTGTTTCTAGCCGATTGTTCCTTGAGAGTCTCAATATCTCTTTCCTTTTGAGCCAACAAGTTCTTAAGTCTGCCAATCTCCCCAGCATTTCCGGCACGGTCCAATTTGTCAGAATCCTTTCCGTTGGTCTTGCCAATACCCTCGTAGCGGTTAACCTTTTCTTCCAAGCGGAGAACTTCGAGGATCATGGTGTAGGTTCGGTTGAGGATTAGGGAGAGGAAGAGTGTGAAACCGCAAAGGTACATGTTGCGTTGAGAGTAGAATTTGCGGGCTTGTACTTCCATGCGTTCGTGGCCGAGGACCGGGTTACTGCTACCTGTTAGGTTTGTTCTAGGAGAATGTGGGGAGGAAACATACCCAGCTTGGCTCTTATTGGCTTCTGCCAATTCGACCTGAACCCTATATACTCTGTTTACACTATCGATAAACAGGATCAGGATGAAGATAAATGTTATCTTCATCCCGTACTGTAATTTTGCTACCAGTCGACTTTCGCTTCTGGTGGGGTATCAGTAGCTGCATGAAGAAGAAAAATAATGGGGAACCACGAACATGAAAGTAAACATCTTTCGGCGAATTGTGAAAGGAAGAGGGACGATGAGAAGCATGAAGAGTGCCATCTCTGCTACGAGAAGCACGAAGACCTGTTTAAATCATCATTAGCATGTTGTTGTCAAATATCGCGGCAGCTTCGGACAGGAATGAGGGAGTAGTAAAGTTTAGTGCCTGATGGCAGAAATGTGTAAACATACAAGACTGTAATAGAGAGTCATCTTCGCGGTATTGATTCCTCCAAATTATGTGTTATGTTGTTGATTCGTGGCCTATTCCAATGTAAATATCAGTAAATGTTCTGCAAGGTTCCCCTCCCACGCAATGTACTCGTAGTGTTTTGAGCTCTATGCCTTTACCTTAAGTGTCCTCAATATGAGAAATTGTTGATAGAATAAACCTACAATAATGACAATGCCTTTGATGTACTGAAGTACTGAAATATCGAGGAAAGTTGTATTGTTGATGAGGGAGGAATTGTGATGAAAAGTCAACAAACTAACCTTGATACTATAATGGTTAATGTATCCTGTAGCTTGGAGCTTCAACGTCATCCCATTTATTTTGTGCTGAGAAGAACCGAGCGGATTCGCTTCCAAGGAAAATCCACGCTAAACCTGGAACTGCTCAATCCACACGCGCACACGTGATTTGTATCGTCTTCTTTTACTTCAAGTCATCAATGTTTTCAGTTCAAGTTTTGTCAAAGAATACGGTGTTGAGATAATAAATGAATTTTTATTTAATTTCTGGAACTTTTCGGTGCATTGCGCTCCCTGGATCCATTACTGGATTATTCTCACTATCTTCCATTTACAAGCTCTCAGCTCTGAGATTCTTAAAATTATTATGAAGTCCATTCTATACCTGTGATAGTTCATCGCCATTTCAGAATTCCCTTTGCTTTCCTACGAGTTTCTTCTTTCATGGTATATCAGTCTCTTTCCCTAAAAATCCGTGCTTGAAATCGTCGTTTTAAAGATATGTACTCTTGTCTCTCCTGGCCCTTATCTCCATCCATACGTACCTTTAAAACCTTGCAAACTACCAAAGTTTCAAACGTCCATTATTCCTTCATTCTAATTGCGCAATACTGATATATGTTCTTGTTCTCTCATGGTCCTGAACTCATGCTCAATTATCCCGAACAAATAAATCATCATCCTCATCCTCCATCAATTCATTGGACCTTGGTCCCTCGTCATCACTGGACACCCTTGGAGACTTCGCCCGTTCATCCTCGCTATCGCTTGTCAAGTCCACTGTGATCTTTCCTTTACCTTTCTCAGCTCTACGTCGCTTGGCCAATCCTCGACTGCCTCCAGTCTCATCATCATCTTCTCTCTTGATTCTTTTTCGACTTCTCGATTGACCACCACCACCTACTGAATTTGTGGATGATCTCTGTAAACTCGCCATCTTCTCCGCAAGTTCCCTTCGCATCTGTTCTATCTCAGCCATCTGTCTTGCCAAGCTTGCGTGAGTAGCTGTCGAGCCATTGCTGCCATGATCAATGATTTCCGGTGAGCCGGAGCGAGATGGACTAGGCGTACGTTCAATGATGCGCATAGCTTTCAGTGCCTCTACATCAGGTGTGTGAAGGTTAGTAACCGATCGTTCATTATCACTTTGGACTAGACAAACCTTCGGAACGATATAGAAAGACAAAAATGACCATTGGTCGTTCATCATGTTTTTGGACGTTTGAGAGAACAGTTCCTCGGCTCGTCTTTCGGGCCTCGCCCAACCTGATTTGGCATTCATCTGTAAGAATTTCTAAACATGGTGAAGAGCATACTCACGCAGTACCATGACTCTTTGCCTCAGCTCCCTTTAATGCTCTTTCAGGAACATTTATGTTGTGCTTGTTCCGAAAGGCTTTCTTGTTATTCATGACATCTCCGCCTACTTTCCCGTACTTCGTTTTATAGACCCTAATCTCAATCTTGCCAATCTTACTCATAGAAGCCTTGATACGTTGTAAAACGGTGGAGTTTGGCCTCTCATCGTCGTCTGTATCGTCTCATTAGTATCTCATACAGTTACCACATCGATTCACCCTATTTCCTTTCGCTCCCCCATGGCTAGAAAACAAACTTCATCCACCGAGCTTCAAGCCCGAAGCCAAGTCAAAAGTTATCACAAAAAGAAAGCCCTTTGAAAATAACTTACTAGTCTTAATAGCACTAAATCTAAAACCACTAACCTCACAACTCCGTCCCTTTCCCACTTTCATCCCATCAACAACAGCCTCCCAAACCCCCTTCCCATGTCTCTGATAATCAGGTCTCGAACACCACTCATTCCAAACGAATTCTCCATCCACCAAAATCTCAAATTGTAAACGAGAGCAATCCATTTTTCTCGGATAGGGTCTATCGACCTTGAGATGAATGGAGAATGATGCATTATTAGTCACTGCAATGTACTTTGTGATAGTATGAAGTCTATAGTATTCAGCATTCTCATCACCTGCGATGATAGGCTCGTTTTCTCGAACGTCATGGTTGGGAAAGGCTTCGCCGCTCTGGGAGATGATTTGGGCTGTGATTCCCGGAACCCAGGAGTGATGGATTCCTTTGGGTGGTTTGTGGTTAGGAGGTGGAGTTTCGGGTCTGGGGATATTTTTACGTCGAGGCATGATGAGTGTGGTGATGATAAGTTGATGTTAATGTAAAGCCGATGAAGATATGGGATAAACGTATATGAAAAGTGAAGTTTTCGAATATTAAGATATCTGTGAAACCAGATCTTCTCCCAGAGACAATTGCAAATTTAAAAGCCTCAGCAATGCAAATAGTCGCCTAACCCGTCAATTTATCTGGCAATCAAGGAACTCAAAACGGACTTTCGAAAGCAACGTCAGAGAAATCAAATTTCAAACACAAAAAATGAAGTAGATTCGGAATACTCAAGCTTAATACCCTCGCTCCGAACGAGGTCGAAGTGCAATCGCAACAATGAGCGCAAATTGGAGATACAGAGAGGACTGAGTGTTCTTAGGAAGTTTTGCGAGGGTTAATGATGATGGAGGAGCCTAGAGAAGGGAACTTGGAGGAGGAAGCTTGGAGAATTTATCTCCACGCCTCAGCCAAGAGGGGGGCTAGTTAACGTTAGTATTGAGCTAAACTTTAGGAAAAGTTGGCAGACTATCACGAGGTCATGAGTGAATTATTTGTGTTATTCCAAATGGGGATATTACGTTGTTGTATGGATTCTTATTCTTGTTATGGAGAGTTGAGATGAAGTCTTCATCTGAGCAGCGCAAAGCTTCGAAGTCTTGGCACACATTTACGGGAATTTGCCAGGAAAATGAAGTAATGTTGTATTTGTAACATGCTCTGATGTACTTTTGAAGGCTAATTTTGCCAAAAGTCTTGCCTGGCTATGAACATACGTAGCAACCTCTGTTCTCGTTCAGATGCAACCCGTTGACCCAATAATAATGCCCAATCATATATGGGCTCCCTCCAAACTTTGATGAACGCCATAAACCCAATGGAGATAATAATAGCAGTAGATAGAGCCAAGTCGTAAAACGCAAGTCGAACTAGAGAGCGTCCAGGAATTCAAACCATCTCAGACCCTCCAACGAAAATGGTCAAGGCCGGGAATCAATACTTAAGAATCCCGAGAACATTCTAAAGATTCAATTTGAACCAAGATCGATCACAATATTATCGTCAGAATCATCTTCCGTAAGGTCGATTGTGACTTTTCCCCTTGGCTTGCGACGTCTCTTGCGATCTCTACTCTCGTTTTGTTCTTGCTCACGCTTAATTGATGGATCTGAAGCAGTTACATTGACACCACTGCTGTTGCTAGCGGATACTGCTGGAGTTGAAGTAGCTGCGGCAGCAGTATCTGCCGGGAACGGCGCAGGTGTATGGGCAAGTACTTGTTGAGGCTGTCCAACTTGGCCCTGCAATAATTGCAAGAGCTGGCCAATTTGACCAATCAGTTGACCAGTTTGTGTGGGATTCAGAGTTTGAATGTTTAGGTTTGCGGGATTCGTTGGCAATACGTGATTAGGAGAGATAACTGGTTTCGTAGGAGCCGTTGATGTGGGATTTCGTCCATCAGCCTCTTGAAGCTCTTGCTTGAGTGGCGAACGGACGGATGTGTCTCCTGGTGTACTTGAGGTTGATCCAGCATGAGAAGTCGTCTGTAATAGCTCTCTCTCTACTTTTATATCTAACAACGGCATTTTCGGAACTTGAGGCTCGCTGATCGGCTTGAGTGCCGACTCAGGGTCAGGACGAGAGCAAAACTCTGGCTCAGTCTTTGGTTCTGGACTTCTTTTAATAACTTCTAATGATTTGAGGTCCTCTGTGTAATAATCATTAGTCTTAGTCATTGAATAAAGGAGGTTCTATGAAACAAGTTCAACCTTTCGAACCATATTGAAATTTGAATATTGCAATAGGATAGTTCTCCCCTCCACCGCAAAATGCCACGCTCGCATTATAGGTTTTCGATTCTGTAACTTCTCCATTTCCAAACCTACTCGCAAAGTCAGTCAAAGATCAATGATACATCAATCATAAAGCGTTAAGTGGCGGAATTAAGAGGCTTACAATGTACTATGCGATTTTGCTTGTCCCTTCAACATGCTCTCAGGAACCTCAGTCTGAGTAGTCAATGGCCTATTGTTGGGTCTTTCAGCAAGTCCTATTAACAAGCATCGAAAGACTCGGATTTCGATTTCTCCCATAAAACATGCTCTTTCGTAGGGTTCAGTGGCCTTTACCTTTAAGATCGGATTGTCCTGGACTGGTGTCATCTCAGTATGCTACCCAAAGTCAGCAGCTCCCGCACTCTTACTTATGCGCGTTTTTATGAATTGCAACCTTTACAACAGTTCCTGTCCTTGCTCCCGATATGTGTTTCCCATAACCATATGATTGCAGCTAAACCCATTCTTCTCGTATTCATATTTGCCCATGCAAAAGGCCGCGGGCAGAATCTTGCCATCAACGAGACAGCAGAATGCAATATGGGTACAAGCGTTTGTATATCTGTAGGGATCCTTGGTGGCGCAATTGATTGAAAAGAATTTGCCAGCCTCAGATTCAACAAACTCCTTGACAGTCACAGAACGTTGATGTTTGGCGACTTCAAACTTCTCATCGAGTGCTTCTGTTCCACCAACATTGATTCATGTTCATTGTTCTCGTATTCCTTCAATGGTTCCCCATCGACGCAGATAGTAACCTTGATTCCAGGTAAAGATTCAAGAACAGCTATTCTTTCAAGTTCTTCACGGTATTCTAGATGTTTTTGGTTGTTAATGTTGGAGTTCAAGAGTTGTATATCGGAAGGAATTCCCAAAGACGAAGATCTTGAATCTTCAAGACGAAGCGGGGTAAACGAAAGGGGCGAGATGAATTTGCTAGGTATTCCTGGAAACAACAAAAGTAGGCTTGACAAATGAATTTGTGAAATTATAAGTGAAAGTGAAAGTGAAGGAATACTGGCAGACAATGACTCTCGAGTTATCTAGCATGTTCAATGATTCTAACCTAGAGTAATAAGCGAACTGGCTCTTAAACTCGTCGAGAAGCAAAGATAAGTGAATCTTCAAAAGGATTATCAGATGCGGTCATTGTCATCATAGAGGGACATATCAACCTTTCAGAAAATAAAAAATGCATTTGATGCTCTGTGCGAAAGAGAAGAACATTCTCTGTTGAGTGCACGTAGGTTTAATGCAAATGTGGTTGCACAGATTCTGTATAAGATTGGAACACCATTAGGAAGCTTCCAGTATCGAACAGCTTGTTCTTGATGGAAAAGGTGTTGAAAAGGGTGAGAGCAATGGTAGATGCCGGTGCTGGGATAACGAAGCCCGAGGAAGTGCACCCCAGGAATGACAAATTAGTCTAGAAGATGATGCCAACTTGCAAGTATCATACATAGCGTCGACATAATTGGAAGTAGTGGGGACAAATAGTCGCGGGTAACCGGACGCCAATTGCGTCCCCATTGAAATGGATTGCCACCACCCGGTTTTGATTCCTGGCGAACGCAATATCATTCTTTCATGATATTTCTACCTTTGGAAAGTGTCCCAATAATGAATAGTGGATTTGTGGAGGATTTTCAGTGAGTTTTTGAAGCTGTAGCTGGAGAAGCAGGGTGAAGGTATAGGAATTCTTGATTTGAAAGGAAGTACCGCTAAGTTCTTCGCTCATCAATATACATATTTGGACCATACATATGAGGCTGAAGCGCACGAAGAGGCAATATAATTATCTATATTGAGTAACTGAACTGAACAATAAAAAGGGCTGCTTGTGTGGCAGACATTCGTTAGTAACAAAATCCATTTCCGCGGCAACTTATAGAATTTTCACATAAATAGAGATATCCATTGGGCCTCAAACCAACCTTGGATTCTTCTCGAGACTATCAATCGGAATTCCCGAATTTACAAGTTCTCACGCATCAAAAAGGAAGCCGATCATGAGTAAAAGACCCGGAAAATACGGAAACACAAGGCAAATATACAAGGAAATGAAGATATCGGCCCAAGGACGATCGATCAATGGGGAAGTCCTAGCACCGCATCAGAGGACAATAAACCAGGCCGTGTTAACCGAGTCGGGGGAAATTTTCAAAAGTACTAGGTACCTAAGGTAATCAAAAGACTTTCTATTTCGAGAAGATCTGTCTATTTTCGGAATTGCATAAAAGCTTATTCCTACCTACCCCACGACGATCCGGATCTGCACTAACGAACATCAGGTCAAAGCCTCGCATCGCTCGCGGAATTATCGTGTTGGGCTAACCCTAACCTATGTTGGCGTCATAGGGCAATACTATAGTATACTATACTATTGTCCACCTCTCTGCATAGACAGGAGAACTGAGAAAGGTGGTCTGGATCGTGATCGATATGCTCTGCTGTGCTGTGCTGTGTTCTCATCTGCGGAAAATGCTTTGACCGCTTGGGATTAATCATCTAGAATGTGGATTGATTGATCCTAGTGATATCACCGATAAGGATGCGGGTAAGTAAAGCCATACCCCAGGCCGGCTGACGTGAGATGGAGGAAATACATTCCGATGGAAAATGAAAATTTACGCGCTCCCTCGCAAATGAGCGGACTCGGTGAAACAATCGAGACGGCGGACGAACTGATAAGTTTCTCGGAATATTGGTTGGGAGAAGATAGGATTCTGGAGGCGGCCGGTGCCGTTGGATGTGAGGTGGCATAACGGAAGTTAAATTTAGTTCCCGTAATCGGTAGTGCCTTGAAAATCAGTCATGATTAGAGATGGACAGGAAGGTATTTTGAGACACGCTTGTAATAGAGCGCAGTGATCGCAGCGGCAGGAAAAGCTCAGGTCTGTGACATTAGTGCGCTATATATATATACTTGTGCAGGCAGTAAGTATAAAAGTCCAAACACTAGAGAATAATCGTTCTTAATGATTAGACTACCCCATTTACAAGGTTCCCCTTCTCTTCTCACCACCAATTTAGCGTTCGAAGGATTTATACTTTCTGGCCTCATGATTAGTATTGGTGCTTTGGTCTAGATCTTTGCAGCGATGAGGTCACCGATTGACTCCATGGCCATAGGTGGACAAGTCAGCATTGAAAAGTTCCGTAAATACACTTGTAGGGCTACAAAAGCACACTCTAATGTTGTGATCAACAATCTAGACCGTAGAACTGATGCTTGAACTGCAGCATTGCATCGTTTGCGATAAACTAATAGGTAAATACTTCGATAATGGAGAAACATAATCACAACTCGGCATTTTTCAATTACTTAGACTTTTTGAAGCATGAATTGAGTTGTTTTAATGAGAAGCCATTGAGCTTCTGTCTCGAAGTAGTTATCTAGTATTGTGATGCACTCATCTGTGTATATAAATATCTCTCTATGTATATGCATATACATTTATTTCCGTATATATCCGTATATACATCTCCGTATATATCCGTATATATATATATCTCTATAATCTATGCGAGTACATATATCTTCGTGTATATGCGTATATACGTATATCCCTAAAACCGTATATACATATACAGGCCACCCGCACTGGCGAAGCAAGGTGACATCAACAACCCAAAGAGGATGTTTTTGCGGGGTGCAGGAGATCATGATGCAAGAGGGGAAGGCAAATGTAACCCAAACGGGAGCCTTGTGGGGCTGAACCCTTACCAAGTACATGTGTACCTGCAAATTAGTCACTTGGGCACCCATTCTATTTGCCATCCATCTAGATGCCAAGATATTGAAATGCAAGGCTAACTGAGACAAAAATAAACATGGTGCGCTGGGTTCTGTGTAACCCTATGCCAAAGTTACATATTACTTCCTGACTCAGTATCCCTGTATTGTCTGTTCACTGCCCTATATCATGAATCGATTCAATTGATGAGAGCTGAGCTTTATTATTAGAGTTTAAAGTTTACAGTTTACAGACTTTGGATAGAGTTAAATCTTTTTTCCTTCTTGGAGCAGGTTTTGGCGCAGACGGCAACGACGTTTGCTTGTTTCATGACGGACTAGGTCAGTTTGCCTATTAGGGGAATTTTGGTATACGAAAATAGCTTCTGCAAAATAGGTCCCTTCCCTACCTATAGCATCGGCTTCAATATTGGAATAGCCTCATCTTGTCCCTATCGTACCATCGCATACGTATACCACCAAGCCCGGTTCAGCCGGCATGAGGACAACAAGAAAACATGGGATTAATTGCACCGAAGGAAATTACCGAATGTAAAGTTCTAGACTTCCAACCTCAGGGATTTTACTATACTCTACAACTCTGTGATAATGCTTCACAATTTAAAGATCACGCCACCAACTTGATCTTGATTACTCGAAAGTTTTTGATTATATGTTGCCATATCGACGCCCCCTTGTCGATAAAGCGCAACTAATAATCCTTTGATTATATAATGCGCCTCGCGGTTCTAATCATCCGCATCTAGAACTAAAACGTCTATATTTTAAGAGAACAATGTGAGGCTGTTTCGCGCAAATGATCCTTGATGAGAGAGACAAGACAAGACAAGACACGCTATCCATATCTGGAGATCTGGAGAGCGTACACATGCTCCAAGGTTCATATCGTCAGTTCGGCAATCGGGTTTCTGTCGCACTACTCGGCGCGGTAGTTGACCGCAGCTTACTTATCCTCTCATTACCCTTGTTGGGCGTTTCTGATGTGCAAAGGGTGAAATTGGGCAGGTATATTATGATCTCCACATTGTTTCCTCATACCGTATTCGAAAGACGGCTACCGGGCTCGAGTCGCTGATAAACTCTCGGTTCGTTCCTTGACGCGCATTGATGGACGCATCTTTGGCAGATCAACGGTGCGCAACTGAGTTCTTTGAGAAAAGTGGAATTTATTGGCCTTTGTTTCATATCATCCAAGGCATTGCTGATGCATAAAAAAGAGTTGCGGATGGATATGTCCGCAGGGTATCTGCTATTGATAATAGAAATCACACAAGTGGGAACTCCTTTTCGCTCTCATTCTGACGTGTCTATTTTCGGTCGTGTCAGTGGGTGGGCAGAGTTTGGTTTCTGGTATAGTAGGCGTTTGGGGGCGAAATTTGAGATATAGGGAGAGAGCGAGAAAAGGGTCGAGTCAGTAATGAATCTCAGTAATCACAGAGTTCAGGTTTCATGAATGCCCGATTCCATTTGAATGTATGTCACCGTAATGTCGGCGGCTCATGGTCATGCCAATGCTATTCTGATACTTTTCAAGTAGGGATCGAAACGAAACTCGTAAGTTAGGTCACATTACCATTCTTCGACTCGAGTACATGCTAGTAGAGTCCAGGCACTCTCAGCAAGACTAGATCTTGCAGCTGCCGAAGCATATTTAGGAATATTTGGGGATAGAAGTCTCAACTTATTAGGCGTTTATCTTTCTACACCGCGTTTGATAGGGTAAAATACGCTTAACCGATAGCTATTCATTTTGGGGTGAAGTCATCCAGGTAAAATTGCAGGTTCCAAGAAAGTTTAAAAATCTTCCTAGTTGCGTAAGTGCGGTTTTATTAATTTGCATCTCAGCTGGCCTGTCCTAGTCGATTCAAAATCTTTCAAGGCAATTTAGTAAGAGGCTCCACTTATAAAGTCTTCTAGCTTGATCATCCTTGCAGGTCGACAAAATACTCCGGACTTTATTAGTGATCTAAACCAATTCTCAATTGCCCAGTACTGTATATCGCTATTCTGTTTGTAGGTTCATGCTTAGTTATAGACGATAAAACGCTGCGATGGAGACTGAGGAAATGGAAACAATTACACCGATACATTTGACTTTCATGGACGGAGTATACACCAGATAAGAACCCTGGACCAACTCTTGGACCCTTCGATGGAACGACGGGACGATAGAACGATAGAACGATAGAACGTTCTACTCGACTCTTGACCTCTTGATTACTACTCGATAGAAATGAGAGACAATACATTGCCCGTCAAGCTAATCTTCTTAGTTTGCTGCCGCTGATGAGCCTCCATTAGTGCCCGACCCTAACACCTACATGCTTATACAGTGACCATGAATGAGAACATGACATCTGTATCACTTACGAACTTACGGGCAACTTCAGGGTAGGCAACGCTAGGAGTTAATGTAAGCCCTGATCGGCTTATTTATGAGCATTTGATCTCCGATCAGCATTTAACTACCGACAGGAAAATACTTGGCTACGGCAAGACTACTGCGCCGCTGCTCAGACTCTCAAGCGGAACTTGGACTTCCTACCTAAAGATGCAGTGGCTAAACGCCCAAAGTCTCTTGCACATCGACGATAGCAATGAAGGATGCGTGCAGACTGTAGAATGTACACCATTTCCTCCAGAAAACCACAATGAGATTTGTTGCCTCTTAACTGCCACCTTCATCTAGTTGCATCGTTCTTCTAGGGTCCAAAGCCCGATATTGTTACGGGGTCTCAAGACCCAGCAATATGGTAATGGCCCGACATATCCTCTCCACACCCCCTAGCAAAGGAAAATTTTCCAAGTTGAATGCCGCCAGAATGAGAAGCCGGAACTTTTCGGTATCGTAAGATGTTACTTCTAAAGCTTTATGTTCGATTATTTATCGATGTGGAAGTGGACTTTGCAATAATATCCATGACAAATCTTAGGCTACGATTGCCTTTTGAGATATTCCCGAATCCTGACTCTTGTCTTGCGGATTTCCGCTTATCACAAGTTCACAACAATATTTTCATATCGGTTGAATTCACCCGAGGGCGCTTGAAGATTAGATTGTTTGTGTGTTTGCCAAAATACCCACTTCAACAGACCAAGCAAGCGACCTTGAAGCCTTGAAGTTTGAACCCTTCCCGAGCCCTGAGGTCATGAGTCCTGAGGTCTTTGGGTCCTGACCTCGTCTTGCACGCGTCCATCCACTTGTCACTTCACAATACAAAGATATAAAATATTATTTTCTAGGAGAATTTAATCTGATACTCAGCGCTTGCAGTGTCACCCCCCCAAATCTCTCGAGGAGGATCCATTTTCCTAACGGAGAAATGTCTGAAAATGGGCCCTCGATGCCAATGCCAAATGAAAATATCCACTTCTTACCTATTCTGAGACAAGGCCAAAGACAAACGATTCTCCAGGGCATAAATACTCTCTCGACTCCGTATACCTAGTCGTCTTTAGCATTGTTCGGCTAGTGCTATACGACGTAAATCCATCATCCATGCCATGCCGCTGTAGTTAATTAGTAGTTTAGAATTCCACGTGTTATGAAAATCACTCGATCGACCTACCTGAAGAGTCAACCAGTAGAATTACTATATTCGCCTCTTGGCTTTCATGAACCCCCTTGAAGTTTTGATGTCGACCCGGCATTCGCTCGTCCCCTGCAGACTATCTCATAATATATCTGTGCCTACGCCTACTATTGTTCTCAAACCCTGTTCTACCACTTTTGACTCTTGAGAGCGCGAGAGAGAGAGGGAAGAAAAAAAAAGGTGAAAAAAGCCACTCGTGTTACCTTGTCGTTTTTTTCCATATTAATTAACCGTCATTTAAAAATATAAAAAGAGGCTTCTTCTGGAATAATACTCTATCGAGTTAAGACTACAAGACTAATCAATTAATAGAGAAAAAAAGCTAAAATCACAAGAGGACTATCCTAGCACTCCCTTACAATATCGAACCTACCCCGGAGGACCACACGGTGTGAATCTTTTTTGAACCTAATGGCCCGAATCAACCGGGTGGAACCTTTAGATCGAGGGGTGCATGTTTTGGTGAGCTATTTGTACATATGTATTCGCTCCTCGTTCTCGACTCTGGAATCAAATCCTTTTATTAGAAAGAAAAAAGTCCCATCAGTTTTTCTCTACATCAAACCCAACTTGCTTCCCCTCCTCAACCCAACTCCACCATCGACAACTACATACATAATAACCAAGATATCCTCTCAACTTTCCACTCAACTCATCCACCACAGACAAGACCACTTCCCAGACTCGAATTCGCATCCCTTCGGTCATTCGTTTCTTTCTTACTCCGATCACAATCCTCGATAAGGAAAAAGGCACATCCTGGTCCGAGGCTAAGATAAATCTTTCAACTATATCCTCTGCTCCAAGCATCTTCATTTTCTCAACCGTGAAAATGTGCGATTATACTCAGGTTGAGTTTCGTTGTGGTGAGTGGTGATTTTTTCTTTGCCTGTAGGAATTCTATGTATGTATTGACGAACCTAGACTAACATAGTTTCTGTTGCTTAATAGGTCACGTTCGTTATACAGTGAGGGCATGGTGTATCAATTATGAGACGACACATCGTCGCTGTCCACCTAATGTTGTGGCCGTAGAGTTTAGGTACGCATATCAGTTCTGGTGTCCTTCAACAAATATCGTGTACCAATTTTCTCTGAATCAATTATACTAATTGTGGATATTTATAGGTTGGGCGAATCAGAAATGTGTGGTTAGTAGAACCCCTCCTTCACTTCCTGGACGGAACTTCCTTCGAGTCTAGACCGTTGGAACCGAACACGAAATAATATGATATATCTTCCACTTACTAACACCATTCTAGGAGACTGTAAGCATGTGGGAGAGATGCCAGAATGGTACTCCAGAATCACGAAGAAAACGGCTCGAATTCATGTATGATGAATGAATCATTGACTCGCTCACATTCGGACTTGGCCCTCATCCATCTATTATGTATGACGACGAAAACCGGGAACAACGAAAGAATAAACAGAACGGAAAAGAACGAAAATAAAAAGAATAATATCGGATCAATTGGAACTGGGAGCGAAAGAGGCGAAGAATTTTCTGGATCATTACTGGCCCGGCATACTTCTTACCCTTACATATGTTTGTATAGTATGTTGGACACAAAGGTCTCTAGCGCATGGTTTATTGGGAAATGCAAAGAATAACAATGGTATGGAGCAAAGGAAATGGATGGCATAGGAAATGGGAAATCGGGTATGGAGTAGGAAATCTTTTATACATTACATATCCAGCAACGGACGGGAAATTGGGAAATCATAAGGAAAGGCAGAGTAGGCAAGGGAAATTGGAAGGCGTTCTATCAAATGAATGGTGCAATGTATGTTGGAAAGGAAGAAACTTCTTACTGGAAAATCACTCGGAGGATTAGGGAGTTTCATTTATTTTTTTGTTTTGTTCTTTTCTTGCTACGGATATGAAGGTTTATTGGGATGATAATGGATCATGGAGAATGAGATGTATGTATTCCACATGCACGCATACAAACAAACTTTTTTAAACAAACAAAAAGCGCATCCGCAAAAAACACAGATAGATGTATTACTATCTTTCTTTCTCCCACTCCCACCTTTCAGGGCTCGGGAATTATCCACTTCCGAGAAATCTTTCTATAAATTTTTAGAACCTTTCCCATCTCCCGGCCCAAGCGCAAAGAAAGAAAGAACAAAAAATATCAAGGCAAACAATCGAGCACAAAGTTCCTTCCATCCGTTTGGTGGGCTTGCTTCCTAGATTTTCAATATCTCGGAAAAGTCATTCGAATCCACTTCATTCATCATGGTAACACATACACATCACACATCTCAAGATCACACTCAGATATTTACCAGCATCAGCAGCAACAGCAACAGCAACAACTGCATCCGCGACACAGAGCAAAAGTCAATGTAAAAAGTCAATCTTACCGCAAGAGCCGAACACATCCAATCTCTCACCCAAAACCCCAGGTCTGGAACTCCCAATACCGGGCCGCGTTCAAGACTTCACCATTACACGAAAAGGGATTGGATGATGGGGGAATACACGCATATGCAGCAGGGGGGCTACCTACATGACTCTACTCTGCTCTGTTTTGTCTGTGAGGGAAATTTTTCACATGAACGCTTGGATAGATGGATAGATGGAGCTGGGGTATTTTTTTTTGACTCCCGATTTCGTACGGAGTGAACGGATCGGTTATCTACCTGTTAACTCCGCGTATTTTCCTGTGCTTAGCCGTCGCTCCGCGTCGTTTCGTCTCTTGAGTCAGTGTTAGTGGGTTGGTTGGTTAGTCAGGAAGTCTGTCAGTCAGGTAGGTTAGTCATGATATGTCATGAGATGGGATGGGATGGGATGACATGAGATGAGATGAGAATTTTCGACGAATCATTGCATTGCAATGAATGGATATTCAGAAAGTATACACTGAAGACATACGAAGTATATGAAAGGGATGAATATATCGAATATATCACGGACAAGGAAACCCCCCAAGAAAAGGACATTCATTAAATTACCAAAATCTCGGGTCTCTCCGACGAGAACTCGGGAGATTCTAAGTTCCGTTTCATTTGGTGTATCTATCTAAGCAAAGTATTTACACTTCATTACGAAAAAATATATATATGGTGTCATACCTAGGTAGGTATTCAAAGTCCACAAGCGACCGATTCGGCTATGGAGATGCGAAAGTGGAAAGAAAAGAAATAGAAAACGATGTTTCGGAAGGAAAAAAAGGCAATTTGCATGCATGCAAGAATAAGACTATTTCTTTTTGGTGTAGCCGTTGGTTGCGGAGTTCGAATGGGATGAGCAACTACTAGGTAATTCTGTTATGCATGGAGAATGAGGAGATATGTAACCGCAGGATGGATATTGGATCGATTTCATTTCTATGCGTTGCATTTTGTTTTGTTTTATTTTGTTTTCTTTGTACGGTGCGTGCGATGGGTTTTTCATGTCTGGGCGATAATGGATGAGGTGGGATTTGCGCTACGGTGTGTAGCTTATGTTGCGTGCCAAGGAATGGGGAAGGGGGTCTTGAGGATTTTTTGGGGATTTTTGGTGGAAGGGCTTGAGGGTTTTGGTGGTATGGGTTTTATGGCTTTTTATCTCACTCGGTTTTTGTATGTGTATGTATATATGTATACAGGTATGTATGTATGTGCTGGCTGCCGATGTAATACGCAGATAGGAGAGGTGTTGTGCTGATGATCATAAATTGGGGATTCCCCATACCCGGGTTAGGGGACGGTGAGAGAGAGTTCTGGAAGGGATTGCGGAGGATGAGATATGATAGCATGGGATGGGATGGGGTATCTAAGATGGATATCATGCGATATAGATACGCACCTACTTGTGGGCAGGAAGGGGAAAAGAAAGAAAGGAAAAATGTGACAGGTGATCCAAATAAGGAGGTTAGGAAAAAGTATCGTAGACGGTGAAGGACATCTATCGGGGTTATTGCGCGTGCTGATTAGATTTTCGTAGGTAAGTAGGTAGGAGGGGTACATGATTTATGCCGAGATCGAATCGAGTCGAGTCGAGTCGTGACAGGATAGGTAGGTACCTACTTAGTGCAGTAAGTGAACATTTGCCGGGTTCGGGTATGCATTGATAGTACAGAGGATATGTAAGGTTGTGGAGGGCATAAGGCGTTGGGATAGGCTTCGGCATTGGCATTGGCATTGGCATTGACACTGCATAGAAAGATGCGATGCGATGCGATGAGCTGGAATATATCCCACATTCACATTCACATCCATTATCCATATCCATATCCATGCGAAGATATGCGAAAATGCGGTGCAAAAATACCATAAGATAACACAAGTCTAGCATCGCACATACGATGAATCAAGATGGATGCGATGTGATGCGTTGTTATGCGGCGCACGCGTGTATACGTGCGTGCGTGCGGGGTCTATGTAGGAGATCAAAAGTTTGTGTTTGCGGGAGTTGGTATGGTGAAGAGAGTTTGATGGTTGCGATGGAAGAAGTACCGTATGTATGTATGTAGGTATCATATGTAGGTATGATATGATATGGTTGTGTTTGGGGTACGTACCGTACCACATTTGGTTGGAATTTTAAATAAAAAGAATTTTTAATATTTTCGTTTATGTACCTAGTGTTATTGGATTGGATGTCGTTACTAGGTAGGTAGGTAGGTAGGTAGTTAGTTGCTTAGCTTGTTGGCTTTTTTTCTTCCAGGTATGTAGGTGGGTGGCGTAGCTATAGGTAGATGGTTTTGGGCGAGTTTGCGGTGAAGGGGCCTGGGATACGATTTGAGAGGATGGATGGGGATCGGTGATAACCCACCAGTGATCTAGGTATGTTGTAAGTTTGGGGGATGGAATAGTGGGGAATCAAATGGGATGGATGTGGTTTATTACGGTGGGTAACGTTGGCTTTGGATTTATATACTAGGTATATAGAGTATCAGTGAGGATATATTCATTCCCGAATAGTTATATGTATTTTCCTCTTACTTCCCTTTCTTCTGCCCGGTACAACTACCTACCTAGTTATCTTACTTACCATCAGCACACCTAGGTACCCATCTGCAGGCGAATTCCCTTACTGAGGCTGATCTACGTATCATCCAGAAATCCAATATATCGATCGAATACGAATATATTTTGTTATTCTCAGGTTACCTACCTACTTGGAGCCATTACACAATACCAAGTTACATTGATATGATATAAACAATATTCAAACCCTTGCTCCTTGTCAGTAACATCCAACGCCCCTCCAGTCAATAAATTCCCCATCTAATATTCCTTGCTTATATTGTTAATTAGAAACACGCTGAAGCACGCTGAGCACAATTATCCCAAATACTCTTGCTCGCGAAGTTACTCAACAGTCAACAGACAAGATATGTTGGTTGCACGACAGAGACTCCCTTCATATTCGGTGACATCAGTATAAGCTTACTTACTATAAGAACCAGGTCTTCGGGCTCTCAAGCTCCATATCCAAATATGAAGATAAAAGGGACGGGGTGTGTGTTAAATATTCGGTACCGAAAAGTAAAAAAACTGAATGGGTTTTATTTATATTTGTTGATTGATCATATTTCTATCTTCGATATTTTCGATATTTGTTTCTTTTAATTCCCATCCGTTTGGAACGTCGAATGCGTTGGTCTGCGTTTAGCCATACAGGATACAGGATGGAGAGTTTTAATGGTTCAATTGTACTAGTGAATATAAAGTTTCCGATGCACAATATAATATGATGTCTAGGTAGGTACCTGGTATCCTCGTGGAAACATTGAAAAAGATAGCGAGTCGAAATTCTAGATTCGGATCTTCTGGTTCTAGACAGGGTAGTCCATCCTGTTAACAGTTAACCTTTCAACGGTCGTGGGGTTTGGTGGGGTGGACTTGCCTACTGCAGCCAGCTGTCGTTCAATCATTGTCGGGAAAAGGATGAGAATCCATGAGAAGGATGAATATCTGAACATGGCTTATTTTGCTAAAGATTGACCCTATTAGGCAACTCACTGTCAAATCACCTCATATCACCACATCTTCAACGGACCCGAGAAATCTTCACACTACGAGACAAGGCTCGGTAGGTACTCTATCTACATCTAATGAAGAATATCAGGGATAGAAGGATAGAAATGACAAGGAAGTTGTAAGTATACGGAGTAAGCTAATCGAGTATCCCAACGGCGTCGGAGGTAAGCAATGTTTTCCAGAAATTAAACCGATACATGTCAAATCAATATCCCAAGACATATACATCATACTATACTAGTTCTTGCGCGGAATATATTATATTGCAAACTTCCCTTCCTCCTATCGCAAGCATTCCTTTCTTTTCCGTCCCGTCCCGTCCGAGACAAAACAAGACGAGACAAGAATCAAAAAAAACGGCTGCAGCTGCAATGGCAAGTACCAAGAAATCAATGCTGTAGATATATATATATATATGTGTGTGTAAAAAAATAAAAGAGAAAACAAATGCACATTTCCCGTCGGGATGTAAATGATTGACTGGAAAGACAAGAAATAAATAAACAAATAAGAAAAGGAAACAAACAACAAAAGACTAGAAGTATGGTGGCTGACGGGAAACTAATCCAGTTCCTAGCACCACACGGGGATTTGCGGACTCGGGAGATGGGGATTTTGGTAGATGAGTGAGATGGGAGATTTTGAGAGATGATAGATATTTTCCTTTTCATGGTACGAGATATGTTGGGTTGTGCAAGGGTACCTAGCTTAGATATCGAGGATTGAGTGGTGTGGTGTGGTGTTTCGATAGGTTTTTTATTTTTATTTTTATTTTTATTTTTATTTTTATTTTTATTTTTATTTTTATTTTTATTTTTATTTTTATTTTTATTTTTATTTTTATTTTTATTTTTATTTTTATTTTTATTTTTATTTTTATTTTTATTTTTATTTTTATTTTTATTTTTATTTTTATTTTTATTTTTATTTTTATTTTTATTTTTATTTTATTTTATTTTATTTTATTTTATTTTATTTTTATTTCTATTTTTTTCTGGGTGCTGGTGCTGGTGTGCCTTTGAAAGATTAGATGAATAAATGAAAAGAATGAATCAATGAAAAGAATGAATCAATGAAAAGAAAATCCAGATATTCTGCAAAGACGAGGGAAAAAAAATACAAGAAAATGAGGGATCTGGGCAAGATGGTAAGGAGATGTCTTGGCATAGGTATGGTTAAGACTTTACTAGTAATTCATCAGCCGGTGTTGCATTTGTTGATTTTCTGGATTCTGTCGGTTTGTTTATTTAATGAAAGAAAGGTAATAAGAGTAATTACTAGGTAGGTAGGTTAAACTCGAATTAGGTGCTAGCTACTCGTAGGAAAAGAGATCAGGGAAAAAAATTAGCGGCAACCTCCCTCCCTCGTCGCATCGCTTTGCATACTCCGTACAATTGAATATATCAATCACAACATATCTACACTGCTGTTGATCATGATCATGAGTACAGAGTACAGCATGAAGATCCCCATAAAACCTCGGAGACGCTTCTACCGATCTCCATTCCCAGAATGAGAACGCGTACAGAGTATACTGTAGTAAGATTATCAGCTATCAGCGCAAACAAACTCGAGGGTCCAAAATAATCTTACAATAGGTATCAGGGAAATCGGATAATCACAGCCAGCCCGATCCCGTCTATTCACAACATATACATATACATATACATATACAATGACATTCATCTCCTTTCAGCCCATCAAGGCCGTAAGTAACGGTTTTGCCTTCCGAAACCTGGTGACTCGGAGAAGAAACATGATGATCCCTAATATATCGCTGCACTAATGGTGTTATTATATTATCTTGAATAATTTTACTGGATTTTCACTCGCTGCGGCAAAGTCTTACATGTACATATGATTATTCGGCATAGAGATAAATAGATGGTCAAATTTTACAAATCTCTTCTTTTTATCGGGCTGTATCTGATCATATGGTTCCTGCATACTGTAACGGTAGGTTTATATATATATATTTTGTAGATATATTAATATATCGGTATATTAGTGTGATGATCTTGGAAAAATATTAAAGATAATATTGTTGTATTGAAAGTAATATAATATAATATGTATATTTTCTGTGTTATTTATTACTTTTAGTTATTGATGAAATAGCCTTGATTTCTCAATTTCGTTAGAATACCTCGTTAGACATTTCCTCCCCTCTTTTGTTTCGTTCCGAGCTTAATAACTATATTATAGATGGTAAGCTAATACTACCTGTATAAATCCTCTCACTGATTGTCCATTCATCTAATTATCAAATTCAACTCAGACTGATATCATCCTCTTACTAGATACTAGTCAACCACACCAGCTACACCAGCTACGCCAGCTCATTCATAGATATACGAAAGATATACTAGGAATATCATTCGTACAACCCCCATACCCCACCTACCCTATTCATCCTTTCAACCATTAAAGCTAATATTGATGATATTCTTACCTCTACACAATCAATCCATTAATAACAAATACAAAAATACGGATGGAAGTGCACTATCTAAAATCAGGTCACACGCTCACCTACCTAATCAATTTTGCTGAATAAAGAAGTGCAGTGAAGCTGCCCAAATTCTCAGCCCATTTCTCTTTCTCCTTTCTGAGCAGTACGTACATATATACATATGTATGTATATATTATATACAGGATACAATAATAACCCCATCTCACTCGTCTACTCATAAGCATAGAGTAAATAAACAATAAACAAGGATATACCTACCCCCCATTTAGCTACCCAACCAAAAGAAAACCCTTCCTCTCAATACCACCCTAAATATGCAACGTCTATCATCCCATTGCCAGCTAGGTAGTCATACATATGTACATTCGGTACCAAACTCTTGTGACGCATTCAACGACTTTGAATTCCATGTTGCTATAGCTATTCCCAGGTATTCGCGGATCTAATACCTCTTTATGATTATCGCTGTATCAGATAGTGATATTGCAGATATGTATGTATGTATATTAGGATACCAATTACCTATCATGCGAATTGTATTGTTATCATGGGGATGTTTCGGTGGCGGGTGAAGATATATGTATATAGAATCTGACATACATATAATTGACCCTTTTATTCCTTCATCTATTCTTCATTCATTCGTTCACAATAAATAGGGTTAGTCAACAAACCATACCGATATTGATATCCAGCATCATCTAAACAGGTAACTCCATCCATCTCACCCTCCAACCCTCCAATCTTCAAGAAGCTCTCTTCCACTTTGAATTTCTTTAACATCAAATGTATCCAACCAACCAACCATCCATCCATCCAACACGGCAAAAAAAGCCCCAATCTAATGCAGCCAAACAAACCCCCAATCCAACACCGTTAACGTTAAAATCTCCAAATACCCGTGCCGCATCTCAATCTCACCCTGACATACGACCCTACTCAAACAGCCAAAAACTTACCATATGTCATATGCCAACCAGTCAGTATTCAAAAATTCACATATTCAATTCTGCTGACCCCAAGCTTTAACATTCTTCGCCCTAAACCCTACCAATATCATGTCCAACCGTTGTATAATGTGCTGCTATTTAATGCGATGCACTGCACTGTGATGCGATGTGACGTTTTGTATATCGATCAGCTCTTATGGTCACCCATCGGTTAGTTAGTTAGTTAGTTAGTTACTTTACTAGGATTTTATTTTCTGGAGGAGGATGAGGATGAGGATGTTGATGTTGATTTATTTCTATTGAGAGATTAGTGTGATTTTGATGTTTTGAGAAAGGCTTTTGGGGGAAGGGGGGAGTTTTATAGTTTTTTTTACTTGATATAATTGAGGATTGATTATTTTAGATTAAATTTTAATTTTTTTTTTAATTTTTTTTTTATAAAAAAATATTTAATATTTTTAAATAAAATTTTATATCTTTTATATCTTTTATATTGTCACACTCAAGAATACTGAGTAAAGTATCTTGTATTAGAAAATATTAAACTAAAGAGAAAAGAAAAAGGAAAACAAGAGTAGAGAGTTTTCCTGTGATTAAATACAAACGGGGCATGCCACGTGACCCGAAGGTGTGAGGCGTCACATATATCTTTTATATCTTTTATATTTTATTATATAAAGTTTATTTTATATAAAAAATAAAAATATTATACTTATATTTAATATAATATATTATTTATCTTATAATTTTATACACCTAGATATTATCTAATTCTAATATATATACAATATATATAAAAACTATTATAAAAAGAATATAAAATCTAATTCTCCTATCCCATCCACTCCAAACCCTTCAAACCTACAAAAACCACACACAACCCAAACCAAAGCGAACAAACCCTTGAATAATCCATACCGATACACACACACATGCATACACATACATACACATACATCATCAACCCCAAGCCATGTAATACGAAGCGTAACACAACATCCAACAACCCACCCACCCACAACTACCAAAAATCCCAGGGCATTCTTTCATGTGTAAGTATTAACTCAAGGTTCAATCACAAAATTTACAATATCCTGTTTATCAATCAATAAATACTCTTTTACAAAAAGAGAAGTGATTTTTTTTCATTCTGTGGTACTAGTGATATCATATCATTGAAAGAAAGACGCAAAAATCACTACGCAGCAAGCATGTAAGCAACCAAGGAATATAAGATGCGTAACATCCATCCATGACTTAAAAATACGTACGTATATTTACGCACATGACTTCTCCTCAAACAGATGCGATGCGCTTCGTACAGAGTAAAGTACAATATAGTACAATCATAGCCAGCCACGATCATGCATACAGAACACAGCATGTGAGCATAATCTCGTTTCGCCTCATTCTCGCATTCGCCTCGCCTCTTCTACGGCGACAAATAAAACCCCTTACATGCACCAAGACAGAGGATGCCACCCCAACCATAAGAAAATACCAAGCACGACCATGAACACCGTTTGATCAATGCCAAATAAGCCTTTCCTTTCCTTTCCTTTTCGCCATCTGCCCAACCATCTCAATGCCTTTCCTTATCCTTGGCTGATTAAATATATGATTTATATATTCTTAATGTTTTGATATGTTTTGTCGTGCCTGCGAAAAATATGTAATCAGTACATTGGAAACGGAACGTAAGCACATATTTGAAGATCTTACCTTCATTAGCTCAATTTTTGCTTTCAAAGCACTTGTGACCTCGGCAGCCCTCTTCCAGCTCTCCACTCCTGTTCCATTGCCACTAACAGCACCACCAGCTCTGGACATGCGGTCACTTGTGTAAGAAAGTGGTGCTGGACTAGCCCTGCCACTACCACTGGCAGCACTTGATCTTCCATTACTCGTAGGTTCCAAATCAGGACTTAACATGTTACGGCCATAAGCGCCAGCCCCATTTTCTTTCTCTTCTCCAATTGATGATGCTATAGACATGCGAGGGCGGCTTCTATAATCTTGGCGCCCCCCATCTAAAGGAGCACCATACATAGAATCACGATATATTCCAACTTCATCATGGGCACCATCACGTCCAGGGCTTGAGTATCCTCTCGATGGGCTATGACTGTTAGCTCTTTCAGCGGCTGATAAAGCATGCTTTAACCTGTTCTGCTCCCTCCTCAACTGCGCACACATTGCTTCCGCTGTTTCGGCATCTGCTCTAGAGCGAACAAGTTGGGTTTCCTTTGCTTTGATAGATAAAACGTCTCGTGTGTGATCCTCAATTAGCTGTGCATTTTGATTCTTCAATTCTTGAATTTCTGAATTGAGTCGTGAACGTTCTTGGCGTAATTCATCAGCTTGGCGTAATAATCGATCTTTGTCCAGTCGCAATTCTTCCAGCTCGGCTCTTTCCTGAGCAGTCAAACCGGTATTGGGTGGAGGTGACATCGAGGACATACGAGGAGCTGCATTAGCGGCAGGTGCTTTTGCTAACGATCGACCAGCCAAGCCACGGCCTAGGCCCACACGAGGTGGAGGTGGAGCCTCTTCTTCCGCCGGAGCTGGTGACGGGATAGCGCGTTTGGGCGACGCAAGTGCTGGGGGTACTACTTTTTTTCCAGGTGGTTTCAATCCAAGACCAGACGGCTTCTTCAATCCAGCGGCACTTTTTGCTGTTGGCTGGGGCTCTAACGGAGGCTGTTGGGCATATACACTTGGGGCCGGAGGTGGTTTCTTTGCGGCTACTTTCTTTACCATCTTCTTTGGTGCGGCCGCCGGAGCGGCTTTAGGTGCTACAGGAGCCGGTGGAGGCTTAGGCTTATCCTTTGCCTTGACTTCCGCAGTATCGAAAAATTCTTTGATCTTTGTTTTCCGAATATCATCAAGTCCTTCAAGATGTGGTCCCATTGCACGCTCTCCCATAATTTTCATGACTGTACCTAAGACTTCAGCTCCACTAGATCTCAATACCTCACTCGATTCAGCAAGTAACTTCTTTGCAGCTTCTGAAATCTGGCCAACCTCTGCTTTCGAAGGAGCTTCTCGAGTTGTCCTAAGCGACCTAATCAAAAACTTGACAGTTCCCTCTTTGACTTGAGGATTCTTATGTTTCAAGAACTCTAAAGTTTCCTCCAAGCATTCTGTCAAACTAGTTGCTGCAAATACCTGATCTAGTGCTGCGCCGAGGGCATCGGAGACGGATGCCTTCTTCTCCTTCAATCTTTCCATGATCGGGCTCTGAATAACGGATCTGTATTTGGTAAATCCCTTTCGTAGACCTTGAGCCAAAACTTCAACACACTGTGCAGCTTGGGTGACCACTGCAATATTGGCGTCCTTCATACACTTTGCGAGACCGTGAACTATTAAACCATGATCGGCTTCCTTGATTCTGGGAACATTGAGGCAGGTGTATAGAGCCTCTAGCGCTTCCTTTCGTTCTTTCCATTTCGACGAGGCCAATTGTTCATGGAAATTTGCAGGGACCTTGGATAACACATCTTGCGGTTCAGCCAAGTCAAATACATCAACTTCGACTGCTTCAGCTTCCAATTCATCCTCCTCTTGTGCACCACCTTCGCCTGGGGGAGGCGCACTAGCCATTGCTGCTTGTTGTGATCTGAGAAATCGTTCCTGTTTCGGTGCTGATTCCCCTTTGATTTTTTCGAATTGAGCTTCCATATCCGCTTGTTGCGTTGGCTTGAGGTCTCCCCAAAACATTGGTTTCATGGCTTCTCGCAACCATCTATAGAACTCGGCAGCCAATTTTGTAGCTTCCGCACGTACATTTTTATCTGCATGACTGAACGGCTTTGGAAGAATTTTGAGAACTGGTTTAGGATCCACTGTCTTACATCCATAGTTGTGATATATCTCCGTTAATGCGGCCACTGTTGCTGCAACGACTTTTGGTTGTTTATGCGATATTGCGGGAAGAAGTTCTTCAATAACAGGAGCAGCTACGTCCAATTCGACATATAATAACAGAGCTTCAAGAGAAGATGCTTTGGTAGCAGCTCTTGTTGAACTCAAACCCTTCTCAACCAAGGAATTTAATGTATGACTTCGTGTTCTGGTACAATGCTCACGTCCACCGAATTTGAGGAAGGCGCATAATGCCGCGATACCATCTTGTTGTGCCGCAACATTCGAATCTGCCACCGCTCCCTTCCATAATCCCGGATCGTTGAGGAATGGCCTAAAGACTGGGTCATTTTCATCTGGTGTGATTTCGAATTGCTTTGCTGCGTCTTCATATGCTGCTTTCCTAACTTTCCATATCTATCATCAGGTATAAATATTAGTCTACGCGTGTAACCAGTTGAACAGGATGGATGGCGCAAACGGGAGAGTCGGGGCGATAATACCTTGTGCTGAAATCTATCTGGGAGGGGTAAGGAACTGAAATCTTCTTCTTGCTCTGCCATCTTGGCTGCTGTAAATTTTGAAGGGGTCTGCGATAACTTTCCAGTGGCTATCCGTTTGGTTAGCTTTAGCTTTGGTAAAGACATCGACAATGGAGGGGCTTGGAATGCTTCTCCATTCCCAAGTATACAATGGAGAAGTAAATTGAATGCGTCGCATATTGTGGGAGTCCATCATTATGGCATATAGGAAAGAGCAAAGGAGAGTACCTACCAAATTGAAGTTGTGCGCAAAAATGAGAAGAAGTTTATGGTCGTGGGGTAAAATTTCAAAGGAGGAAGAGGAAGTATTTTGGGGATTTTTTATTGAATGATATGATCAGAGTGGGATATTATAGAATTCTCAATGTGAATGTAAGGGAGTTCTTGATCTTGATAAAAAAGTTCTCTTGTGATATATCAAAGCAGTAAATAGTAAATTCTACCCATGGATTTTGAATTTATAAATCAAATCAAAGTACGGTACAATGGTGGTACTATTGTTTAATTTGTGGCTCAAGCAACCGGAATGATCAAAATGATCAAAATGATCAAATGATAATTGATAATTGATAATTGATGCGTTGTGTTGTGTTGTTGACTTTCCGCCAAATTTAAGAAAGGGCAGTCCTGTCACCGTAACGACCGTAACGACCGCGATTTCGATCAACCCCTGCAGATTGGTACTGGATTGGTTAGTGCAATCACTCTTCATGATGTGTCAGCCAGTCAGGGTGAAAAGAGGCATATAATATCTACTAAAAAGCTACTCGGTAGATAGGTAGGTAAGCAAGTAAGTAATAAATACTAAAAGTAGGTAAAACGCGTTTAGAAATTACTGTGAATGGATGTCAACATACTAATAATACCTAATTATACCTAAGGTTACCTAGTAAATAAGGAACACAAAAAATACTTCCAAAATATTCCATCAACCCGTTATCGTTCTAATGATATCAAAAACATCATAAATCTAAGACTTGACAGATTAATGCACAATACCTACACTCGTATACCTATTGTCTCATCATCAATCTTCAAGAAGGTTCTCCATATATCTACCACTATATCGAATATACTCATTGTGATTCAGTTGTCCTCCGTAAAGAAAGAACTTCTGCCCTACCTACCGCCTATCGTCAAAACAAAAAGTTGTGGACACCCCGCGCTTCCAAGCATAAATAAAGTGTCGTCCCTACCCATACCCTTAACCTTACCCGTACGTGAGAAGGACGTGTGCAAAAGCGTGTACAGACGTGTAAATCGAGAAGCTAAAAGGCATAAAAATCACAACAGATTACATATCTACACCAGAAAAAAAAAAGAAGAAAAAAGAAAAAGATCATTATCACATATCGGAGACAAGAAACGAACTTTAACATTTCGCTTGCCAGGCGCATGCTTCGCCTCGGAAGAAGTTCACATTATTTTCGCATTCAACTTCATGTATCGCATACAATAATTCAACATGAGCCAACTTCTGACGTCGCGGCAGGCCGAGGAGCTGTGAGTTGAGCTTATCTTCATCACATTCTCTAGATGGCTAATATTACTCCGCAGGCACAAGTCTATGATAGCATACCTTAACTCAGCGAATCTTCTACACAGCGCCGCGACGTTACGAGAAGAACTTGACATCGGTGAAAGCTTCGATTCTGCCACGAGCAAGAAATATGAAGGCTTGCTGGAGAAGAAATGGACAAGTGTGGTGCGGTTACAAAAGAAGGTGGGGATGCGTGATACCAAGCTCAGCAAGAGTTCTTTACTGATGATGGGGAAATAGATAATGGATCTCGAATCGAGAAACGCGGCTTTACAGAGTGAAATCGACAATGCTACCCCTACGTCTCTATCAAACCGAAATACCGATCCTACAGCTTGGCTACCAAAATCACCAGCCAGGCATAATCTTCAATCGCACCGGGAAGCAATTACATGTGTTGCATTTCATCCAGTATTTTCATCATTGGCATCAGGTTCGGAGGATTGCACGATCAAAATCTGGGATTGGGAGCTTGGAGAACTGGAACTCACTGTTAAAGGACACACAAGAGCGGTATTGGACGTTGATTTTGGTGGCCCTAGAGGAGGAACATTACTGGCATCATGCTCCAGTGATCTTACCATCAAATTATGGGACCCAAGCGATCAGTATAAAAACATCCGCACATTGCCTGGACACGATCATTCCGTTTCAGCCGTTCGATTCATACCTAGTGGAGCAGCTGGATCACCTTCATCAGGAAACCTTTTAGTATCAGCAAGTCGAGACAAAACTTTACGGATATGGGATGTTTCTACAGGATATTGTGTCAAAACCGTTCGAGGACATGCGGATTGGGTTCGTGATGTAGCACCTTCTTATGATGGTCGATGGCTTTTATCCGCTGGAGTGGATCAGACTGCAAGAATTTGGGATGCTTCATCAGGAGAACCAAAGGCAACTTTGTTAGGTCATGAGAATACGATCGAATGTTGTGTATTTGCACCACCGGCAAGTTACCCTCATCTCGCCGCAATGGCAGGATTAAAGAAACCACCTGCAGCCAGCAGTTCTGCCGAATATATCGCTACGGGAGCTCGAGACAAAAGTATTCGGATATGGGATGCTCGCGGTACATTGATTAAGACACTAATTGGCCATGACAATTGGATTAGAGCTCTGGTTTTCCATCCTGGCGGAAAATACTTGCTAAGTGTAGCGGATGATAGAACATTGAGGTGTTGGGATCTTGCTCAGGAAGGAAAGTGTGTGAAGACGATAAGTGATGCGCATGGACATTTCGTCAGTTGCATGAGATGGGCCCCAAGCGTTATTAAGGATGCTCCTTTGCTGAATGGTGAAAATGGAGTAGGAACTCCAATCAAGAATGGGAATGGGGCAACGAAGAAAGAGGATGCAAAAGTAAGCATCAGGTGTGTTATTGCGACAGGATGTGTAGACCAGGTTGTTCGAGTGTTCGCATCATGACCACATGTAAAGCATGTGTTATCAATAGGAGAATCATCAAGAGAGTACTTTGATATCGGAGCAGGAGTTGATGGAGTTCGCTCATACCAGAAGAATAAATTCCTTGCTCCGACTTGGCTATTGAAGGAATATTTCACGAACTTTATGCTTAAAATATGTATATTGAGGAGCCGTGTCGGCTTCTCTCAATTACAATTCCATTTAATATGAAGAATAAATGGCTTCAAAAAGGAGAATCTTTGCTTAAATACAATGATGTTCCGAAAGGATGAGGTGAATGAAAAAGTAGAATCCTCCGTTCAGGGTAATTCATACGGAGTACCTGGGTATCTGACATTGTGTTTAGTAGGGGAGTGATATAGATTGTACGAGGTAAGCGCATGATATCTATGATATCTTTGTATGATATGAATTATGAATGGTCAGTTCGTAGTCGGTAAATTTCAAGTATGTATACATGTACTGTAGGTAGGTATCTGTATGTAAGATTATGTAGATAGGTAGGGAGGTATTATACTCCCGTATATGCACTACGACCTATGATAATATTTTTGAAATTGATGTCCTCTAGATCTACTCAGCAACAAATCAATCAATCTCCAAAAAAAATCTCAATCAGCATAAATATACTAGGTACTCCGTAAGCTAACAGCGCGAGATCAGCCTGATGCCTCAAATACCTAGTATTTAATCAGATGGAGCATTAGACACGAGTGAGTGTGATGGGCTAAAATCTTATTATAAGGGGTAACCTTAGGTATCAGAATTTGTAAGATCTTATCTACAGGAAGGAAGGTACGAGATAGTTGCTATTTTTGGGATGGGATAGAATGGGATGGAATGGGATGGTAGATAGTGATATATATAGGTACTGATAGGATGGCTAGGTAGGTAGGTATCAGTATTTCTATCCTGGTGTAATATTGGATCTACGTCCGTAGAGTTTTACTCTGTGCCGCCAGGAATATACGTAAAGATGTGATGTAGGCGAAATACTAGTAACTAGGTACTGTACCTAGTAGGTACATACACAAGCGTGCAGGGGTTGTTATTTATGTCGTTCTGGTTTATCGCTACCTATCTATCTATCTATCTAGGTCCTACTCATACAACCATCAGCGCTAACAGAACATCTAGATGAGGTATTGAAAGGATTTCCATTACCGGATTACCGAATAGAGATTCTTTCTCGTTAGTAAGTCGGTTCGTTTGTCCTAGGCGTGTAAAGTGCATTCAAACGATTTGTGACATCAGGAGGATGCATTTGCATTTCGCGTTCCTTAGTGGGATTCGTAAGGCTTTGTTCCTATTCTTTCAAACTATATGCATAGGTACATACATATAGTAAAAGAACATAACTCCTCTCATCTCTCCAATTTCAAATATAAGAAAGATGTCTCCTGTAAATAGTTTTGCAATCTTTAAGCTTTTATCTCATATCATATGAAATGTCTTTTTGTAATCATCGATATCCTTCACAATCGTACTCGTAGTACCTACCTACCTACTTGATATGTTTCTATCGATCTCTCACATTCCAGTTATTCGCATAATCTGCCTTTCGAATTCAAATTCTGGAGTAGATTAAATTGCAAACATGCCAGTTACTTTACGCCAGCGCTATATGCTACTTAGTGTATTTGTAGCCTCTACCATACTCCTCACTGGCTTCTATCTACGGAATAATTTAAGATCACTCACATTTCTCGCTTCATCCGAGCCCATCGAAACTCTACCAAAGCATCCAAAATACAAACCCTCCAAGCCAGCGAAAAGTCATCCTATCATCGATAATTTCCCTCTTGCATTGAATGCACATTCAGCTTCAGATCTTCCTCCCATCCCAAAATGGAATCAACCTCCCAATCCACATGTTCCTGAGAAAACTCCTCTCCTCATTGGATTTACGAGAAATTGGCGTCTTCTTCAACAAGTCGTTGTTTCTTATATTACAGCAGGATGGCCTCCGTCGGATATTTATGTGGTTGAGAATACAGGTGTTATGAATTCCAATAAAGATGGACAAATATCTCTTCAAAACCCCTTCTTCCTTAATCATACCCGATTAAATATGCTTGGGGTGAATATCCTCATAACACCTACTCTACTCACCTTCGCCCAAGTTCAAAATTATTTCTTATGGACAGCTATTGAAAATAAATGGCCGGCTTATTTTTGGAGCCACATGGATATCGTCGTCCTCTCATACGAAGATCGATGGTTAGATGCCCATCCAGATGATCTTAATCCTTCCCCTACAAATTTCCAATCTCTATACGATCACTGCGTCTCTGCTCTCCGCAATGTCACAGCTCCAAACCCCGAAACAGGAGTTGTAAAACCTTGGGCCCTCGAATTCTTTTCCTACGATCGTCTCGCCCTCGTTAATACGGAATCATATCAAAAAGTTGGAGGTTGGGATACCCTCATCCCTTTCTACGGTACCGATTGCGATATGCATGAACGACTTGCCATGGAAGGATTCGAAATGAGAGATTGGGCTGCGGGTGCCATCTGGGATGTCGCTAGTAGTTTAGATGATCTGGAAGTTTTATATCGGAAGAAAGACGGTTCGGATCCTTCATTTATCGATCCTAATTTTGTAGAAGAAGAACTCGCTCATCAAGCCAGGACATTACCCGATCCCGCTTCTAGTGGGAATTCGAAACATCAACCCCGCGATCTAGGACTCACAAATCTAAACCCCTTCTCGGACAAAAATAAAAAACAATGGATCGATGAACCCATCGGCCAAGCATCATGGAAAAAACTCCTAGATGTCCTCGATCACATGGGGTGGTCGAAAACCGCGAATAAAAATGGTAGGAATACGTGGCAGGGAAGACAGATGGGTGGTCACGATGATCCGTATTATAGGGATTCAGAGGGCTTTGAACGCGCTATTCAATTGTGGATTGAACATGGAAGGAGGGTTTTTGCGGAGAAATGGGGTCATAGAGATTGTGATTTGAGGGCGCAGGGATTGGTGGCTTTGGATGCTTGGAGGGTGGAGAGGGATTGGTAGGCTATGGAGGGGAGGGGTGGGAGGGGTGAAGTAGAATTCAGTGGGATTGGAGGGATTTAGAGGGTGTGCGTGCGCTGTAGGTTTTTTGTTTGGGGAATTTATGGGAACTTCGAATGGAATCCTTTGACTGCGTCAAACTATAATCCAGACTCCAACCTCAAATTCCCAGACCCCAACCTCAAAGTCCCAGACTCCAATCCCCATATCCAAAATTCCGTCTTAGCTATACACACCATCCTCATCCGCATCCCAACAATCCATAACCAAAATCAGGAATTCAAACTGGTGAATCAATAAGAAGTAAAGAACTTCATCGATATCCAAGGTTTCTTCCTCTTCATCTTTATCATATCTTCCTAGACAGTTGTCTTACTCGTATTATGTGGATACTGGGATGTATATGAGGTTTATTATTTGATGTTGAGGATGGGTGCGCGTTTGGGTGATGGGTGAGAGTTATATTTTAGGGTTATTGTGTGTACATGTATGTGTATGTATGTTGTGTTTATTAGGATTGAATTGGATATAGGGAGGATAGTGGATTTGTAAATATGAGTAGGAAGGATAGGAAGGATAGGAAGGATAGGACGGATAGGATAGGATATCTATATAGTTTATATAATTTATATAAAGAGTAACGTGGTTTATCATCGAGTGGCCCATATCATCGAGTGGCCCACTTTCACCTCAATTTACACTTTCAAACCCATATTATTCAACAACAATTGAATCAATTGATTGAAACTATTAAGAATCTAATAATCTAGGATCTATTACATTATTTTGACAGGTTCTTGCATTATGTCCTGTCTTTCCGCATTTACTACAACATCGATTAGAAGATGCTTCCCCATTAGAATTCCCCCCTTTTTGACGCTCATCGCGTTGAATCTGAATATCTGTTGGTACGAGAAGGATACGGAAGACGTAGCACCCACGGATTACGTAGGTCCTGTATGTCTAATTGTATTCTGTCTAAAGAGCTAGCTACATATTGAAAGTAGTAAGTCTTATATAGACTTACTAAAAGAGCTAGTCTCTTTCGCGTTCGCTTAGTTCTTTATTACAGTAGTAATTGAATTGAAGTCATTCACTTCGTTCACACAATATCAACCTCTTGTTGAGATAATATATCAAGAGCCTCTTGTCCAGTGAGCACTCCTCCTTGACGTAATTGGGTTTTTTTCGCGCGTCGACGCTTGCTTAATGCTTCATTTGCTGTCCGAAGTATACGAATCTCTGTATTTAAAAGTGTGTTTTCATGAGCTAATCTCTCTATACCCTTAGCTAGAGCTAGTACAGTCTCGAATATAGGTATAGGAGAGCTTGCTTGATGACGAGTTATTCGAGATTTAACTAATATTGATTGAGAAAGAGCTTCAGTTGGGTTGCGAGGGGTTTGAGAGATCCATTGATCTAGGTCGAAAGAGGGGGGGGTAGGTGTGCGAATTCGAATATCTAATTTCGAGAGTACAGCTTCAGGATTAAATGGGATTAAACCTGTTCCTCGGAATCCTGATTTCATATTCTGAGAAGTGATTGATTCCTCGTATGCAGCTTTAAAAGCTATAAAGAATTCAACCTTCGAAATATGATTGATATGTGCCTTGATAAATCCATCAATTTGACCACCATATGAACGTTTTAGATTGCTAAAACAGCCAACATCAAGTGGTTGAGTTAAATGACTTGAATGCGATGGTAAACGTAAACATATAATATCGTTCTCTTTGCAGTATGCTTGAAAAGCTACTGATTCGTGGCTTTCATGCCCATCCAGTATCAACATTCGATATTTGCCCTTTCTTCGATTCTTAGTATGCTTGTCGAAGTGTTTCAACCATTCTAAACCCGTCTCATTATTCGTCCACCCATTAGATGTAGGTTTAATAGCCCATTCCGCAGGAAGATTCGTTTCGGTGTACCAATTGGAGAGATGAACTTGTCCTTGAACTACTAGAAATGGGGGAATAGTTTCACCCTCTCCATTTCCGCATATTATTGCTGTAGCCCATTCTCGATTGCCTGGCTGTACTGTCTTGCTTCTGCCATTTCGTTCAGCACTAGTTACTACCATTGCTGCACATATAATCCCCATCATAAAGCCTGTTTCGTCGAAATTGTAGAAATCTCCGTCCAAAATGCCGTATTTCGCTCGCATATTCGCAACTAGTCGAAACCACTCTTCAAGAAGCTTAGGATCCTCACAGAGAGCTCTTTGAAAGTCATAAACACGACTAAAACGCGTCTTTAATTCGATTCGACGCTTTACGAATCGATGCGCCCAGAGCTTCCCAACGCGTTTCGCACCCCTCGATTCGAGAATATCATTCGCTATATCTTCCACATTCTTTAGTTTAGGTGGAAATCCTCTTAAATCCATATCGAGTATATATTGAACAATCACCTCTTCTTCTAATTCTGTAATCTTATAACGATTCGCTCGAGTTTCTGTACGAAGAGGTAAACCTTCCATTCTATGTCGAAGAGTCGTACGAGGAATATTATAGAGCATAGCAGCCTTTCGAATGCTTAATTTTTTATCTTTATGAATAACTTCGATAGCAAGGAGTATACGAGCTTCTTGATTATTCGAATTCATTATAGGTTGTTGATAAAACGCGTGTTGAAAGAGACAGGTGTAAATTGAGGTGAAAGTGGGCCACTCGATGATATGGGCCACTCGATGATAAACCACGTTATATAAATAATAAATAAAAAAAGAAATCAACCTAATGGGTTTTCTCTTCTTTCTCTCTTATAACTTCTTTTGAGAATATCTAGATGATTGTTACGACGGCTATCATCAAACGCCGCGTCACATGACTAACTTGGGGTAACGTGACCTTAAGTCACGTTACGGACCGCTGAGGAGCGCTGGCGGTCCTGACTAGCCATAGACACGAAGGTCTATATAATCAAAATGGATTCCCTTTGTATAGAGCTTCGTGCTCAAGATTAATCATTTAGCATACTCTACTATTAGTTACGAATTGCATATCATCATTGTCATTACTTAAGTCCCTGCTTGACGCCTAGTTATAAACCACTTCGAGAGCCTAGAGCACTTCCACGTGATCTAGACGGCAAACCTCGTAACAATGATTAATAAATACTATCAATTATCTAATAATGAAATTCTGTTTATATACTTATATATTAAAAGATTTCAAAATTTTCATAAAAAAATAAAAAAATTTAATCATAAAAATAATAATGTTAATTTTCGTCATTTTTGATGAGGAAAAGTGACTCAAATTAAAAATGGTCTGAAAAGGGGGTGTTAGATTTATCTATCTAATCCTTTTCTTAAGAACTTCATTTTCCATCTGCGATGTTTGCGATAATACAGTACTTGTTTGTAATTAAGAAGTGTTTAATACAGGAATCAAATATCATCAATATCATGAATGGAATATCTTTCAAAAGGGAAATATACTAGTTTTCAGTTCATTCATTACCAGCAATTATAGATTGATTCATCGATCATATACATCATTTGAACTTGAGCCATCAGTTTCTGTCAATAATACCTTCCTTCTATAACGACAACTTAGAAAAGATCCGAGAGAATTATTAGTGTGTAGTATGTGGGTAACAATTGTGTTTATATATTGAATTAAAGACAGGCAAGATCTGAAATGATTGAATAGATAGATGGATGGATATGTCGCCCCCTAGATGGAATCCAGTGTAAATAAGCAGCTGAAACCGAAGAACCGGATTTCTTCTGGGAGCATCTCCAGATCATGAATTAACAATGTTATTTAACGAGTTCATTGCATAATGGGGTGATGGTTGTGAAGAATCTGAGAATAGTTTTTGTGGCATACCGCATGTATTCTTTCTAGTGTACATACAGTTCATTCACATTTCCACCAACTTCATTCAGTGACGCCTCTCCCATCAATTATTTGGTATTCTGGTGCAAAGCTTCCTACAACCCGTTGATCCCAGCAAGTAAACATTCTAAACAAAAGCCTCATCACCACCCATCATTCACAAAAAAAGGTATTCTTCTTCAAGCCCCAGCTAAAAGCCGAGTAAAACTCAATGAAAAATGTAAAAAAAAATCCCGAAGGATGCAATCAAAAATTCCCCCGATGGGGACCCCGAAGGATACCCAATGGTTCTCGTCGCCCCGATGTGCAATGGAGGACTCGTATCATAGCATTCTCAATTCATGATCTGAAAATGCTCCGAGAAGGTAAGTATGAAGAAGAAAAAAAAAAGGGAAGGAATGGGGAGACCGAAAGGTTTATTATATACGTGATTGGGATTGGTCTGTGCGCGCTAAGAAAGAGATCAGTTGGTGCAAATAGGACAAACTCGTCTTGATTGGGGTTAGTGGAGAAATGTGGGACTCGAATGTGGTGTTGTTGGAGTGTTTGTGATTATTTTGTTGGATATTTTGAAAAATTGTACATTGGATCTTTTTGCGGTGGAGACTCTTCGAATATTAGCGATGGGTTTTATACTTCCTGTATTTTTGAATTTACTCAGTGGTGATTGAAATGAGGAAGAGTGACGTCCTCAATAGGGATACAGGGCAGGCAATGCGTTGATTAACACAACCTCACATCAACTTGGAAGTATAATACTTTTTTCTTTTCACACTCATTTATCGCTCTCGAAGATCAAAAGTCTCCGATTAGTTCGTTACATACTCGTCATTGTACAATTTCCTTTAATGCTTTTCATAATCATCCCATTTATAATTTCATTCCGAAAGCCGGTGGCGTTGAAGGCATTGATGTCGGGTCACTTGTACTTAGTATTCAGTTGTACTTGTAAATCTTCAATTCCCAACTTTTTATACGTATGTAATGCCATACATAGCGACATGTTTTGTGTGGGAATTGAAAGCCGCATGTGCTGAAATCCCACACAATGAAGAACTCATACCACTAGTTCGTGCTCAGTGGTGTTTCTTTCCATACTCAAGCAATTGGATTGATGTGATGTGATGTGAGCGCGAAGAAAGGTTGCTTTATATTTTTTTATAAGGTAGTATTTTCTCTACATTGGTTTTCTTACATTACTTTTTCTGCTTATGGACCAAAAGCATCATATTGACTTTGATCTTGAGTTTCCCTTGAATTTCCGTCTCCGCCAGAGAACGATACAGTTGATGAGCTGTTCGAGGGATTCCTTGAAGTGAGGCTGCGGGGGACAAGACAATTCCACATCATCTTCATGTAATTAGTTATTCGAGTGTGTGTTGATTCTCTAGTTTATCACCTATCGAACCAAAATTCTAGTCCAAAAGATATTATATATGACATTGCGTATGACGAGACGCCGTCTATCAAAAGAACCAATGGGTCTGTTTCTCCATCAATGACTTCCCAATAAGCAGAGTGTTAAATCTTGGCCAAGATGATTTGTGAGTTCTGATGATCCCATACTCCATATAGGAACCAAATATGTTAACACTTTGAAGTTCAGGTTACAATACCACGGATTATTTTCACATTTGTTTCATTGGTTGTTCGTCCGAGGTGTGTTACCAACTCCTGGTTCTTCATGTTCCAGTTCTTGTACATAATCGAATAAGATGTCAATCATCCTCCTGGTCCGAATATGTTCACTGAAATGTGTACATACATGTCTGATATCTGCGCAAGGACAGTGCTACCCTCAGCGCTGGATAACTTGTGAGTTCTAGTTGTCCGACGTTCCTTGAAATAATCAAAAGTGCCATTTTCTCAGCTGCCAGGTGTAACCTTAAAAGTTATTTCTTTTACACCTGCGAGCCGCGATGTTTCAAAAGAACTTGGACTAAATGCAGCTTGATACACTGCAACTATTTCCCTGATCACAGTTATACAAGCAACTCAATACCACCAAAATCTCTGTGGTGGACAAAATGCTGATGACGAAGAATCTCACTGTCGTCTAGCACGTCGGTCTTTGCATTCTACACGGAAAAACTGCCGATTTGTACCATACGCTGCACATCAGTAATAGTGGTCGTTAGGAAGATCTTCTTCCCAGACCCTTGTGTTAACAATCGGTACAGATTTCTTATTGCAGAAACGTTGCAATCACAAATTGGCTCAGCATAGATGATGTTAGCTGGAAAGAAGGGACTCTTTACAGTGAAAGGATGGTAAATCATCAGATGTTACATACCGTTCAAGCACATTCAGACAAAATACTTAGTCATGTCGCAAAACCCGCAGCCGCACTGGCTATGCTGGTTATTCGATGAAGCATTCCCAGGGATTTGTTTTAATGTTATCATCTGTGGTCTATATGTGCTCAATATATACATAACAATGCTCAAATAGACTACTCTACAAGACTTTATAAGTTTCCATGATGCATTTCGAGTTAAACTTGCGTGCAGATTGTGAAGGAAAGCTGATGCTCAAATATGAAGCATCAAAACAAGTTTTACACTGGAATTCAAGACTCATAAAAATGCTGTTGAGCTTAGACATTGAGTTTTGAACAAGATTGGAGCTTAAAAGCCACACTGCTTGTAAGTCAATGATGAGTGTCTCTATCTTAGGGCATGTAACTTCGTCAAAAGACGTCACTGTTACTGCATTGAGAAGATGCAAGACAGTAGTGGCGCCCCAGTTCAGGCACGTAACTTTAAAAACGATTGCAACAAGAGGATGTAAGATAATTGGTGCCCTAGTTCAAGCATGGAGTTTTATCAAACGATGACTGCAACTAGAGAAAGATGGATGTAAGACACTATCGAGTGCGTCTAGCTCAGGTACATCAGAATTACTTCTTCTCGGGTTTGAGAAAGCTCAAAAAGAAATGTGTGTAGATATCCTATCCTTACTAATTATTGCCTTTGTACCAACTATATTCAACAGATTAAGAACATATCATGACCAAGTCCAAGTCCAACTCCAAATCCACAAAACCCAGTAAAAAAAACAACAAGAACGATCCCTCAACAAACCATTCCCTCCAATAACTCCAAAACACCGCATTAATTTTACATATAAACTCTAAAACTCCAATCAAAGAATTAAAACCACATCACATCAAATCACTAATAAACCACTTGAATGACTTTTCTTCCCATGTATACACATCATATACACATCGTATACATATACATATACATATCAAAGACTTTTAGATCTAAACTTCCCCTTCCCCTTCCTCGCAACTAAGTTCTAATTTGTACGTACTCCTAGAGTAAATCACCACAAGTATATATATATATGTATGTATATACTAGCAGAATATCTTGATCAATAATCTAAATATTCACTCTAATTAGATGAACTTTATTCCTTGAAACTTCTCACATGTTATATCGATATCCGCAGCTCATAAACTAGATCTGATTACAATAGCATCTTTTTTGGATCTAAATGTTTGTATGTATATATATATATATATGTATAACAACCGTCTTCCTTCTCTGCAGGCTATATATACTCCATAGACATAGAATTCAAATCACAAAAACATACTTTTGATATTTCTTTCAAAACCACCTAATACCTAAAAACCTCCCTCTTCCATCAAGATTAAGCACCACAATCTGAAACACAATATCCGCAGTCACATATAAAATTATCATGATAACTTTACAGTGAACGTATAAAGGTAAGCAAGCAAGGGTATAAAGCAAATAGATTCAATCATTACTAGTAAGTGACTAGACACGACCAGACTATATACTCCACTCCAAACCATCCTCCCTCCCTCATTCGATTCTCCAACTGAATGAATACCTAGTAGCTTCATATCACACCCAAACCACATATGCCAAAACTCCACCCACAGCCCGCCAATCCAATCATCATCATAAACATAAACATAAACATAAACGTAAAGGTAAAGTAAAGGTAGGTAGGTATTTGTGAAGTAAAGTAAAGTAAAATAGAATAAGATAAAATAAAATAAATAAACAAAAAGTAGAAGAAAAGAAATTGCAAAGAAATTGCTAGGGTATCCTGCCTGACGATTCATCATACCATCCATTCATATCCGTCGCTCGCTCGCCTTTACAACAAAGGGAAAGAAAGGGAAAAGAAAGGAAAGGAAAAGTTATCGTTTCGTATCTTCCAATCTCGGTTCGGTTCGGTCCGGCTCATCTGAATGTCATCGTCTCAACTCATTAATCGTGAAGTGCGTATTGCGTATTCGTATTGCGTATTGCATCGTGTTCGTGTGTCGCGTTTGCTTCCTCCTTTCCCGTCCTCCGATATCCTTTCACGAACTCAAGGGATCCAATACTTCTCCCTCTTTAATTCGTCATTTCCCACTTCATTGCTCTTCCACACCCCCTACAACCAAACAAAGTCCCTTTCCTCCACCCTCGTACACGTCAAATACCCCACCGCCATCCCCTCCCCTTCCAATCCACACCTCATCAATGGTTCCACCACCCTTCGAGCCATCTCCTTCATTTCATCCATCCTCCTCTCAAACCTCTTTAATCCCTCCCTACTATAATGCTCTGGCGTCAACTTCAAAAATCTCTTGCAGTCTTCATGTCCTAGATAGGCGCCATTCGACGCATTTCCCAACATTTTAAATGTCCTGCCAATCTGTTGATTTTGCGATATAGTTGATGGAGGAGGTTGTTGATGTTGAGTGATTGTTAAAGAAGAGGCGCGCGAATGGTGTGTATTATGAGAACCACTAGTATGACGGGGAGATCGAGGAAGTGGTTGAGGAGGTGCGGGAGGCGGTGATGTATTCTCAGCTAGCCACTGCCTAAATAAACTTACGACCAACCAATCCGCATATGCATTACCCGGATTGACTCTCTCGCCCCTCGCAGTCAATAGCGTTAATCGAAATAATTGCCCTTCAACACTTCCAACCATATCCCTCAAATCTTCTACTTTATCCTCTATAATCTCCAGTACTTGGTCAGGCAATTGATTCCTAATGTGTCTCTCACCTGCAGGCCAAGCGCCTACAACATGTATGAGAGCTTCTCCAAATATCGTTTTCGATTGAGAGAGATAGCCAAGTTTGAGATATGAAGATGGATATTTAGCGATTTGTTTCCAGAGACGTCCTTGGAATTGTAGAAGATGGTGATCAATGCGCGGTCCAACAACCGTAAGAGCATCGTAGAGATCCGCGAGTGTAAGAAGTGATTTGCATTGTATATATGCGGTAGCTATATCAATCGAATCGAGAAGTGGAGAATGATTGTAGAAGATTCGAAACAAATTATCGTAATCGTTGAGCAAATCTTGATCTTCTTGTGTTATTTGTGGAGGCGCAGGAGTGGAATGCGAGGTGATGGATAGGTTTGCGACGGAGCGAAAGAAGGATGGGTTGGATGAAGGAGGTTTGTTTCGAACAGGAGGTGGTGGCCGAGTATCGTTTGCGCCGAAAAGGGAAAGAGATGATTCCGGCTTTTGAACCAACATTGGTATATCGTCATTATTAGGTCCGCTATCCAACTCATACCTCCATCTCCTCTTTGGTCCTGCTTCATTCCTTCCCGCATCACTGCCCGATTCTTCACCTATCCTAGCCAATTCCCCTCCACCCGAACCTCCAACCTCAGTAGCCCTCGACCATTCCTGACCTGTGCTCGCCTCGAAGAATCCGGAACAATTCGTCAAGATAAGTCGGTGTAATAAATATCGATTCGTTTTCGTGCCAGCTTTTACAATAATTTCCACATCCCCCGTGTGCGTGAAGACGGGAAAATCATTCTGCGGTATGTATGATGAAGTTCCCGTGTGACTACGTCCATGGCGACGATGATGCCTTGATGTACTCGCTCTTGAAGCAACCGACGAAGGACCTCGAATAGAGAGCGAATTGGTCGGTTCTGCCTGCGAAACCATTGCGTGTTTCCTATGCAAAAGAAATATCAATCAGTATTCGTATACTGGGGGGTGAAGAATCCATTCCAATGACCCCGGCTTGTTTTCGTCGCATAAGCAAAACATATAAATCTGGACCACGCAAAAAGACGTAAGACTTACCAAAATATCCAGCCTTCACTTCACCTTACACCGAGTTGACACAAGGCTGATGAAATGATTGCGATCAAGAAGCTCATATACTCATCCAATATCTGCTACGCACAGCGCGCAATTCTTCGTTCTTCGTCCTTCAGGTAGGTATAGAAGAATAAATTCTTCGGAAAAACCCAAAAATTCCCTCGCAAAGAATACCCACAGTCCCGAGCTTCCAGAAAATGTCTCAAACCCACCTCGCAGCTCAAATCTCGAAGCTCACAAGTCTTCTTCGAGATAACTCTGTGCTATTCCCCTTCTCTTTCTTCAAGTCTTTCTTTCCCTCTACTAGATACTAGAATCGCCAATCACGAAAAACGCGCGTAGGATCTCTTCAACTTCTTTATTCTCCAAAAGAAGTTTCGTGTATATACGTGAAGTTATCCTCGTGTAAGTAAACAAGAAGAAAGCGAAGAGAGAAAAAAAAAGTATCAATTCAGTTAGAGTATATCACAATATCAATATCAGACGCATCTTATTATCTATTATTTATTATCTACTATCTATCCTCCCAATCTATCAATCAATCAACAAACATGTACACGGTAAATGGTAAATCCCCCAGGACCATCCAAGCAAGTTCTCAGCCCAGGAACCACCATGACCATGCAGTCGAAAATACTCGGTACCCATTTCTACATTTCTACCCACCTCTCTCGCCCATTCATACGAGAGAACACAAAAATGATAACATAAACCTTGCTTGCCTTGCTTCTCTCTCGCCTTGCTAAAAGCTTTCCTACTGTATCTACTAGCGCCTAGCTAACCCGCGAATTGTCACCCAGCCATCTCCAATGAAACCTGGAAACCATCCATCCATTCGTTTCAACGCGCTTGGTCCCACTCTACCTTCATTACTAAGTAACGTAACCTAATAATGCACAATACTCCATACATTTTCATAACTAATTATGCCAATTTCTTGGACGTGGTACTTTATTGTCATCCAACTTGTTTGTGCAATGCTATACCAATCTATCACCTATCATTATCTTCCTACCTCTATAAGTTCTATATCCATCACCTACGTCTATAATGCGTCTCCACCACCTACATCTACAATGGATCTCCATCTACCACCATACCTCATCAACGGACTGGACCTTCACACTGCATATTCCCCTTCTATCCTCATATTTTTCTTATCCCATGGCAGATTTCCCTTTCGATTTTTACCGCTCTCTTTCTTCCAACCTATCTGGATCCCAACAGGCTATGGCGAACACAAGTGATCTTGTGTGGCAGAATGCCTCACTTGCCTGACTTCATTACATGGCTCCATTGGGAAAATCCTTTTTTCGAGGCCTTTTGGGAAATTGCCGTCTGAGCGCTTCTCCGTCACACCTCTTGTTGGTTGGACGAGCAACCTGAATGAGTAACCTTAGGCCCCGAATTTTCCAGGCTCACCATCATATTGCGCCCACAGGTTCGTATCAATTCGCTTCATTTCAAAGGATAAAATATTTCAGGATACAACAGACTTTTGTATTTAAGATTTGCGCGACAGCTTGCTCTCATGTTAGGCTTTGACTACTAAACTCGTGCCAACGAAAGCAAAAACGTCTTGCAAAGTATGCAAAGCCAGCAAACCCATGACCTACCTCCCTCATATTCTATGTTACAAATTTCTGCTAGACCTAGCCAGGTAGCCTTATGGTTGACCCCAATTCCGAAATCCCATATGCAAATTCGAATGCAGTGAAACTAGCAAAACTCCGTGTCCTGTAACTTTAGGAATACCCATTTCATTTTGTACATTGGTGCCCAAGGCCGTAAATTGCATTTAACTCATATCCATCTCAACCTCCACAGCATGGTTTGGGAGATCAGTCGTAGAATTTTCATCCGTCATCATCATTTCTTCAACGTGTGCATTTGTCATGGCATTGATAACTGGGCTGCTAGCCTTTGGGGTTTCGCTAGCCTCAATCACCATATCACCCTCAAATATGGGAACTGGCCCCCGGAGGTTTTCAAAAGTCTTCTCCAAGCTGGTGCTCACCAACCTTCCTTGTTTGAGGTCATCTCCGAATAAGAAGTAGCCTTCTTGGGCTTCCACGAGATAGCTAGCTAGACCTCTACTTTGCAATCGAATGATCGCATTGTTGACAGGATAGTGGTTCTCGATATATTTTGTCCAGCCACGAACCGCAGCTTGGATATCTTCGTCGGCGCTTATCTTTGACCAACCGATACCTAGGTGTCGAGTGTACTCATCGATTGAAGGTTGGACGGGGCCAATACCTCCAGCTTGAAGTGGTGTTGAGAGTACACTACTTGTAACCTTTGTCTCTTCGGTCATCGACGGTGTGGAGCCTAGGTCAATTCTTTGACTCTTTGCCGAACGTAGTATTGGTCTTTCTGGGCTGGCCGCGCGTAATGCTGCTTGTGCCTTTTTCTCGGCTTCTTCCTCTTCCAACCATGTACCAGTTTGACTGTCTGCAGATAAGATGTAGCCTTTGCTTGGTTTGATAAGTGTCATTCCTGGTCCATATTCCCATTCATCTTCGTTCTCGGCGATTACTGGCTCGACGGGTGCCTGTGAAAAATATTCCTCGTCTTCAAAATCAGCCTCGTCGCGTGAACGTTTGCGACCTGCAGCTGATTGAGGTGCGGACGTCGGAGTGAGCCAAGAACTCTGAGGTGTTGATGACAGAGGTGCTTTTACGAAAGGTGAAGTAAAAGATGGTCTGTTGAAAGAAGGCTGAGGCGGTAGTTGCGGTGTCATGGCAAGAACGGGGGAAGATTGAGAGAAGGATTGATGAGAGAAGGAACCCATGATGAATAAAAGAGAGGATGATATTTAATTGTTGAATAGATGACGAGATAATCAAAAGAAGACGCGACTTTAAGGTAACTATATTATCATCAATTGATCGATGTTATTGGATAGATAATAGATGGAATTGGATTGATGTTGAAGATAGAGATGGAGGTTGAAGGAGGAAGTATGTTTGGAGTTGGTGTTGGGGGAAGGATGGGAAGTATCAAAGTATTGATGGAAGAAGATGAAGACGAAGAAGAATAAGAGAAAGAGATAAAAGTCAAGAACCAAGAGAAGGGGAAAGGTGAAATACTTATTTTCGGGGTGGGAACTGGGAAAAGGATAGAAAGGAAAGAAAAGAAAGCTGAGTGAAAGGACGGCATCGGCATCTTTGAAATGTAAGAAGGCAAGGCAAGAACTTGGGGTACTTTTTTCGGAAAGCTCCAATTGGGTTGTCACAGTGAAGCTTGCATTGCGCGACAACCTTTTTGAGACTAGATCAGATGAAGGTTAGAGTCTTTTTGAAGACTTGCCTTGCCTTGCGGGCCTTGCGGTATGTGTGGGTCTTCTCTGCCCAGCTTATGTTCTGCTCAGTCCGTCAAGGTAGAGTTTTGATTGGTTAGATAAAGAAACTCATTCAGAGACATTTTGGGGAAAAGTTGCTTGTTGCTTTGAACAGGGATTAAAATGACGGAAGGTCGGTGGATGGATAGAGCCATTTATTAGCCTACTCAACCAATCAAATTGAACCTTGATGATTCTTTTGAGATTCTTCTAGGCCGATTATAGTTGACCAATCAACATAAGCGTTGATCCGGTCGTATTTAGTCTGCCAATCAAATTAAACAATTGTCCATCCATCCTTTTCAACTCTTCTGGACCTACTGAGCTGAAAAGATCTACTGATGGTTGCCTAATCTATTAGGCGTGCACCAGGATTACATCCAAATTATCCAATGCAACGCCTCGGGCCATGCAAGTTCAACTCGGGTTTAGTGACTGATCCAATAGGACCCTTGCTGGGTATGAATCGTAAGATCCTTTTTTTAGCTTTTGATCGCTTTCAACATATCCAAAAAAAGGATTCTGATGTGGAGCTCGAAGGAAGGGAAGCCTTCAGTCTTCACAGTCATCACTCATGTCATGACGTTCTCCGTCCACTGACCTTCCCCTTCCTTGAATGTACTGTCACATGACTATGTATGCATGTGATATCTTGTGAAAAATATCCACTTTCAATATGCACTGGCACTTACATCAAAATGCCATCATTGAGAATTAATAATAATCTTACTCCGTACATACAACTTTAACAACAATAACAATTTTCTATCATCTCAAACATCGCATGCTTACCAACATATTTTAATGTGAAATTTTTGTAATGACATTCCAGGATCAGCCTTGCCCATCCTTAGCGCCGGCCATCATTTGTCATTTAACCGTCTTGCAAATGTGCCTTATGAATTGGATTGTGCTTATAGATTTGAGATTGCGATTTCATTTCATAACAAAAAGGAGTCGCATCCTAATAAAAGATCAGAAATCACTCCTAGGTTTACATACAAATCGACGACTATGGCTTCGGTAACAAATCTCGACAATGATGTTAATAGCAAGCGGGGTGACAGAGTCACTCCAGCTACTGTGAACGAAGTGAGGAATTTCATTGAGGAATCACTTGGAGAGAAATTACCTGATGTTGGAGATGACCCCCGCTTTGGCACATACAACATACTTGCCGCACTGAAAGATGGAGTTGCGCTTTGCAAGTATGTTCATATTCTTCCTCCGGAGAGGCCCTAACTTGCTAAATTATCTACAGGCTCGCAGCTCTGATTGATCCTGCAAAAGTCCGCGGGTTTAAACCTAAAGCAACAATGCCTTTTATACAACGAGAGAATATTGCTTTGTTTCTTGCCGCATGTGAGAAGCCGCCCTTGAACCTACACGCGCATGATAGGTTTCTCACAGTGGATCTCTACGATGGTAAAGATCCTGCGCAAGTACTTCAATGTCTCGCCGCGTTCAGCAGAGCAGCGAACCGAGTCGAGCCTTCGAAATTTCCTAATCCTATCGGCGCGAAATCTCGTGGGGGTGTTGTGAGCCCGCAGGTGACTGGACAATACCTTGGAACTGGTTACGGTAACAGGGCCAGAGAGGCTTCAACTACCAGCACTGCATCATCGAATAACAAGCCTGCTTCTACTTTGACTGCGTCGAGAACCGGTGGTTCGGACAGTGGTAGAAAAAGTCCTAGCAGATTCGGTCGGCCTACATCCCCTGGTTCAGTCAGTACTTGGAGTAAGAAGTCTGACGAGGGTGCGACAGCTCCGGCCTGGAATATTGCGCAATATGGGTACATGGGAGGTGCAAGTCAAGGCAATATGGGGGTTTCATTTGGTGGCAGGAGACAAATTACAAACGCTGGCCCGAGTGTTCCGAGTCTTGCTGAAAAGGAGAAGAAACGAAGAGAAAAAGAAGCAGAGGATGCACGACTAAAGCTTGAAGCAGAAGAACAGGCGAGACAAAGAGTTGTGGCAGAGGAGGAAAAGGCTCGTATCCAAGAGGAAAAAAGATTCGCTGAAGAAACCGAGAAATTGCGACAAAAAACACTGAATGAGAAACGAGAATGGGAGGAACAAGAACGCAGATGGAAGGCGGAAGAGGATCGCCGAAAGCAAGATGAGGCGGAGGCCGAAAATAGAGCAGCGGATGAGCGAAAGAGATTGAGAGGTACTAGCGACGCTCGATTACAAGGACAATTTCTCAGTCAATATCAAGCTGAAAATGACTTGAATAAGAAGGGTCGCAGAACCAATTCTACCGAGGCCGACAGGATTAAGGAATTGGAACGTGAATTGGCAGAAGCTCGGGACCGGGAGCGTCGATACCAAGCCGAAAGAGTATCAAAACACAAAACCGGTGATCGTGAAGCCATCGAAGATCATGATTTGACACTGCGATTGAAGGAGGAGTCATCAAAAGCTCGTCCAGGATCTGGTGGTGCTCCCAATCTACCACCACGAAAGGATAGCGAGGAAACATGGAGAAAAGATGAACGAGACTACCTTCGCAAACAATGGAGCTCGCAAAATACCAGTGAGGATACACCGCCACCAATTAAACCTCCTCGTCCAATGCCAGAACCTACTGTAGCTGCCATTAATCCTGAACACACCGGTGAAGCAAGACCTCTACCAAATCCAGCAAACTACACATCCCCAACATCTAAAGTCCCAAACCGTACTGACCGCTTCCTTTCCTCAAACCCTCCACCAACCCCACCAAGACCAACCACAACTTATTCAAATGAAATAGGAACATTCTCTGGAAATGCCGAACGCGATGCAGAAGATCGTCGTCGTGTCGAATCTCAAACCAAAACCAAAGCCGCGGAATGGGCTTCCAAATCTTTACTGGAAAAGGAAATGGAGATGGAGCGACAAAGACAACAGGAATGGGAAGAAGGTCAGAAGGAGGTTAAGAGTAAGGTTCCTGCTGGTGATGGAGTTGATGGCATTGGTGGGGGTATCGGAGGAAAGTGGGATGTCAATCAGTGGACGGGTTATACTGGGGGTGATGGGCAGAATAAGGGAACTCAGGGAATTGGAGCTGGTAGACGTCAAATTGTGGGGCAAGCGTCTAACGTGGGGAGATAGATGGGAAATGTGAGTTGCATCTTAATCATCATATGGAGATGTGGTGATTGATTGTTGAGATTGTCAAGGGTGGATGCGAATAAAGCCGTTTGTGCATTTCTTGGGGCGGATGGATGGATGGATGGGCATATCGCGCGTTTTGGGATGGATATTTTGGGATCTTGCGTGAAGGGGGCTTCTTGGCGGACAGGATGGACTGGCCTGGGTTGTCCTGGATTGGGAGGGATAGAGAGGAATAGTTCACGCGTTGAGTTAAATACCAATATTAATAATACAATAACTTGTAGGAGGGAAGAAAGATAGTCGGTCTAATAGCATACAATAAATTCAATACATTTAGGTCCTAGGGGACGTTAATAAAGATGGAAGTGTCTAACTAATCATTGGTATCTATTGATGATCAAAACTTGCGTGCTCCACGCCTAGCAAAGAACTAAAAACCGTATCAGTCTTCAAATAGGTACCTACCCCACAGTCCCTAGATAAAAGGTGATTTTAGATTGCTAGTAGAGGGTTGCAAGAGTTTTATAATGAGATGGGAAAAGATTAGAATCTAAAATATCAGTATACATAGACATAGATATAGATGAGTACTTGCTATGTAATGAAATAAAATGTAATGTAATGTATTTTCACTATATATCCCCACGCTAACCTATATAACCACTCTATCTACCTAGGTAACCCTAAGTCTTACTACAAAAAAAGAAGAAAAAGGTATCCAAGATTCCGCTATCCGAACGCCAAAGAACTCCACCTCTTTCTTCAATATCCAAAGCCTTAAAAGTAGCTTCGTCGAGTATTCATTACATCACATCCCAATATCCATCTCACCCATTCAAAACCTCACTCCCCCGTCAAATCCAACACCTCTACCTCCTCTGCTCTCCACGCCCTACTCCTCCCCTCAATCAACTCCTCTCTCCCGACTTCTCTCCACGAACCCGGTAATGATTCTCGTAACATTATGTATCTTTTTGAATTCTTCTCTTTCTTCTTCTCATCGAATGACTCCTCAACAATTTGCGTTTCTATAGTTTGTTTTCTTATTGTTTTTGTTTGTTCCCGTTTTGATGGTTTGGGGAGTTTAGAAGATTTGAGGGGAGAAGGTGAGGGAGATTGTGTGATATTGTAGATGGTTGTGTGCACGTTGATTGTGGTGTGGTATGTGGGTGTACAGATATCGTGATCGTGAGCAGGATATTGTGCTTGATATTGTGGGCTATTTTTCATTGTGACAGGCGAACTGGATGGGAGGACGAGCTTGGGGTATCCGGGTGATTCGTCATAATCTCTGTCTAAAGGCGCAGGATCGTAAGAAAGTACTGGAGTCCCTGGAGGCGAAGAAGTAAGATCGATGATTCTCCCTGGTGAGTAATTATAGGAAGCGGCTGTTTTGTATGAGGACTTGGAGATGGATGAGCAGCCTGAAGAAGAAGATTTATTGCCCGAAGATTGCAGTGAGAAGTCTATTTTGCGATTTATGGGGTTGGGGAGTAAGTGGTGCGCGAGTACATGCTGTATCGAGGGCTAGCAGAGGTGAAGAGAGCCCTGATTTTGTGTTTGTTTGAGGTGGGGAGCGCTTTTTCCTAGGGGACGGGCGATCATTGTAGATGGGAGTTCTGGTAGGTGGAAGGGTGGGTTCGTCGTCTTCGTCATCACTGACAGGAACGGTTGACTGCCGGTGCTTTCGTGTAGAGAATGGTGTAAAAATAGATTCAGGATCGGGACTTGGACTCAAAGAGGCGTAAGTCTGAAATGTTTTAGTTGGGGTCATAGGTCTTCGAAGACGTGAAGGCTTCGTTATTTGAGGCAGCGGCTGAGAAGAAGATGATTGAGAGATAGCCCATGGATTGAGCTTGGGCTTCACTTTTTCTTTGATAGCCGTTGGTTTACGGCCACGTGTAAGTCGCTTTCTCACCATTGTTTCTTCTGGCGATTTAGGGCTTCGAAGGTTTGGGGCTAGGAAATGAGGCGGTAAATCCTCTTCCGCTATGACGAAATTTTGGACAGGCTGACTTGATACTTTGGATTTAGTTCTGGTGCCTTTTTCTGAAATCTCGACATAACGATCTAATGCACCCTTAGGCATTCCACCAGTAGCTTTAGTACTCGTTTTTGGCTTAGTAGTTTTAGTTTCTGCTTTTTTGGCCGCAGCCTTCTGTTTCAAGGCCCTTTTAGGGTCTCTAAGAGCTTCTTCATAGTCCTCCACGGTAAGCGGTACTCCGACTTTGACTATGGTCTCAAATATCCATAATTTATCCGCTTTCATCGGATCATATGGAGAAGGTCCACGTCTTCGTGGACTATCGCTTGGTGCTGCATCATCCGAAGCATATGCTTGTATCTGGTCATCCTCGAGAAGAGGAGCCAGGCCATCCCTTCCATAGTCTTCGATCTCATCATGTTCCTCATCTAGATTAATATCAACTATTTCCAGAGGTTGATAGATGACTCTCATTTCTGGGACTTCATCCGTAGTGATATGTTTTCTTTGGCCACAAATAGCCTTTACCAGTTCCATTTCATTAAGCTTGGTGAGCATGGGGTCATCATATCCAGAATTTTGACGATCTCCACGTTGACGAAGCTTCGTTAACAATAAAGCTGGTGCTAGGCCTCGCACGAACTTTTTGGCCCCTTCTTTCCCCTTCCATTCAAATGCATCAGCCACGAAATGTCGAAGTTTCGGAACATTAATATCGCCCTCCCAAATAATCTGATCTCTGAGTCTCTCCACCTTCGCTAATGAGGAAACAACTGGATGTGTATAGTACCCCAAAACTTTCCTATCCGGAAAATCCTCAGGAATCTGTAGTGCCTTTCGTTTGGTTCTAAAAAATTTACTTTCGTTTGTGAATAATTCATGAGCCAAATCTGCCCTCCATTCATCATATGCAGCCGCATCTTCCCTACGAATCTGACACAATCTCTTTCCAAAACCAGCTCTAGCAGCTTCACAAGCAACTTTGACACCACATCCAGGAATCCCTTCGGTCTTATAATCGCCACCACTCATCAAAGCCACCAAAATCATACCTTCACGGTCCAATCCCGATCTACCGGCTTTGGTCGCTTTGGCATCATAAACATTAACATGCGTTGGTGTACCAGCACCACTCTTCTTTTCTGATGACCAGCTCCGAAAAGTCAACCCGCTTCCAAACATGAGGGTATCAACATCCTCACTCAGAACAGCATCTACAACACCTTCACGCTGTAGAAGGGCGCACTCCGCTTCAGCTTCTCCAGGAGCAATATGATATTCAAATCCAAATAGTTTGAGAAGCTCTTTAGTCATCAAATCCGGGATAGAAGCACCACCTCGACCTGTTTGCTTGTTACGCTTGACGGGTGGTTTGTGAGGTCCATCGAAGACAAACAGTGGTTGCACGGAAATGGAAAGGAGTCTGAGGAGTCGATAGTATAAGGTTCTCAATGCCGGATTGGTGCCACCTATACTAGATAAGTTGGGTGTTTCATGATCATGTGCTGGACAGCTTACCTTGACCAGCCTGGATCTGAAAATTCCAAATTGATATGTCGATCGCAATCCTCAAAGGAATCCCGGTTTTCTCGAATTTCTCAATCGAGATCTTGGAAAGGGAAACCCTTTTCCCGGGCCCAATTTCCCCGTAAATTCTGTAAATTCTATCAACACATGAAGCTTGTAGTGTGGAAAAAATACTGTCACTTACCCTTTAATACCCATGATGCACGAGTAAATACACCAGCAAATTGAAATGTAGCAAACGCAGTTCTTCAGTTCTAATTCCAAAAGCCATACATAATAATAGCACTGCTATCAAAGAGCAAAATATCTACAAGGTTAAAATCAAATAGCTATGAGTGAATGGAAATACTAGTGAATGATGTAAAAGAAAATTGCAGAATCAATTTCACCAACCATCCTTGTTGACATCCCTCGTTGCTACAGCAATAAAGTTCAAAGTCCAAAAACCACCAGCACAAAATGGATACCGGTACGATTAACGGTTATTAGTTAATTGTGAAAACGAACCCCGGTAAACCTAAGTACCAGATTGTCATGGAATCATAATAATAATAATGTCACATTCAACCGGTCCTGCTCATCGCAGCGTATCAAATATTCGCCCATCCATTAATCCTCAAGGTGGTAGTGGCACTCCCTCAACTCCGCATACCCACCTTCGACAAATCTCGAATTCATTTGGCTCGCCATCCACTCTGCGCGCAGAGGAAGAATGTATAGTTATTGAGATTGGATGTCGATATGTGCAAGTCGGCTTCGCAGGCGATGCAGGACCTAAAGCGGTGATTAATTTCGGGCCAGAAGAACAGAGAAGAGCGGGGGATTTTAGAAGATGGCAGCCGGGATATGATAAAGCTTGGAGAGAGAGAGTACATGGAAAGAAATGGGGTGAGGCACATGAGCTGTGGAAGTTGGATTTGAGGGATGTGGACTTGGGGTTGGTGGGAGATAAGATTGAAAGGGCTGTGAGAGATGCTTATACAAGGTTTGTAGAGCCTCCTCTCTAGTATTGGTATGTCCAGGGAACGGTGCTGATTATGGCTGTGCAGATTCCTACTTATTGATTCAAGGCCGAGAAAAGTAGCTCTGGCTCTCCCGTCTGCATTACCTTTGCCGCTTCTTTCTACAATTTTAGATACGATGTTTACGAATTTTCAATCTCCCAATATATCTTTGCATTCTGCACCAGCACTCACGACAGTGGCTGCAGGTCTTCGAGCTGCCATGATTGTGGATATTGGATGGAGTGAAACTATTGTGACTGGAATATATGAATTCCGAGAAGTATTCAGCAACAGATCTATAAGGGCGACGAAGTTGTTAGGACAAGAGATGCGGAAATTGTTGGCTACCTCTTGTGATCCAAAGATATTACAGCAGGAATCATCAGACGGCCGGCCAAACGTGGCACTGGAAGAATTTATGAGTTTTGAGGAGTGTGAGGAAATAGTGAATCGAATGGCATGGTGCAAACCATCTATACATTCCGCAGCGAGAACTACAACCAGAAGCGGTCTTGCGCCTTTAGATGAAGAAGCCGAATTACAAGCCAACATGCGGTCCCTAAAAATCATTGCGGACTCGAACTCCGACGCTATAGCCACAGTACCACTGAGGTCTACCCTCCCACCACGCACTTTACGCTTTCCATTTTCCAAACTTGCTCAACCCTGCGAGGAAGCCCTCCTAGCAAGCCATCTCCCCGCCTCTGAACTCGATGATGAGGAACTTCCCATCCATATTCTCCTCTACCAAGCTCTACTCCGTCTTCCAGTGGACCTGCGTTCTGTTTGTATGTCAAGAATCGTTTTTGTTGGCGGTGGCTCAAATGTCCTTGGATTGAAAGCGAGGATTTTAGATGAAGTAAATGCGCTCATCGACCAACAAGGTTGGGATCCCGTGCGGGGAAAAGCAGTCTCTCAATACAGATCCAACCCTAAACTTAGTCGACCCCGACAATCTGCGTCTTCACCTACAGAAATCCCATTATCCCCTCCAGACTCACCATCCTCTCCGACATCGCCGACCTCGCCGACCACACCACGCCCCCCTGTCCATATCCCCGCGGGTCGTCGATCCCCCGAATCTGACTCGATAGCAGCTACTATCTATGCCAAATCCGGAAGAAACAATATCCAGGAGGAACGGGGAACCATCAGAGCAGTAGAAAGTTTAGGAGCATGGTGTGGTGCGAGTTTATTATCACAGCTGAGAATTCCGGCTGTGAGTTCTGTCGATAGAGAAGTTTGGATGCAGTACGGCATGGCTGGGGCAAATAGGAATGCAGAAGTTAGTGTTGCTGCAGGAGCGGGAGGGAGGGGCAGTATGGGGCCAGGAACGTTTAAAAGTGGAGTTGGTGAAAGAGGAAGTTGGACGTTGGGATTGTGGGGGTCGTAAATTTAAGGGAAGAGGTTAAGTACCAGTAATTATTTAGCGGGCTAGGTCGTGATTCTAGAGCAAGTCTCGGAATAAATTAACAGTAAAGCTGGCTTGCTCGCTCGCCCCCTTGCTTGCTTAACATGCATGCACAATATTCATATACTCAGAACTCATCACCAAACATCAAACGTCTTGTTTAAAATAGCCCGTTACACTAAATTCGGCTACTGGGCTGACCCATCTTCAAATAGGTGTGATGTTGCAAAACTAATGTCCCATCTCGAATTTAAAGCTGCAATAAAATCGTACATCCGGCGGATCTCCCTAGTTACATTCCTATGCACCGCCCTTATGATGGGGAAATGAATGAATTTTATTTGTCTTGGCTTCTTAATTTCTTCTCATGTTATGGCTTTACTTCGTCATAATGTCGCTTCAGATGGGAATTTGAATTTGAATGGGAGTGGGAGTGGCAAATGGCAAATGGGAATACGAGAAGTTGCATTGATCTCTGGATGTTGGTTGGATTAGCTGGTTGGATATCGCTTTTATGTGTTTGTATGCTTGTATGCTTGTGCTGTATATAATATATAGAAGACTGGTAATTCGCCTAGAATTGAAAGATCCAACTAGAGGGTAGAAGTTCGAGGTAAGATAGACAGACAGACAAATACCTGAGATATTGGTTCTTGGAGTGATTACACTCGTGACTGTGAAAGTTATGTTAGTATAAATACCAGCGTTCTGCTCCGTGTCGCCAAAAAGTCAAAATATCTCCACCACTCATTTCCCCCTTTCTTACTGATTACCTCAATCTATCACTCACACCTCCATCGTGAATAGTGACCTGAAGAGAGGCGGTAGACTGAAGGATCTGATAGGAGGTAGTTTCATGAGATTTTTTCCCGCTTTTGATAAAATGTGCCATCGAATTTACCTAATATGTCGACACTAAGTTTATACGCGAAAGCTTGAGTTTGCCGTACATCAACCGTACCCGCGGAGACAAGGGTGGGTGGTAATGCCATCAAAATTACCTAATGTGGCAATTTGCTAATTACCCGGGAAAGCTTGACTGTTCGGTGGAGGTCAACCGTAAACGTAAACGTCGAATATGATAGGCGGTAACTTCTCGCTTGTATCATGAGGGAATGTTGGAGAGTGTAGGATTCCTGCCAAAGGCGCTGTTGTGCCGCTAGTGATGGTGGTATGTATGGTCGTGGTATTCGAATGTAAATGTAACCTCTTATTCTGCGCATGAAGTAGCCCATGAAATACAGTCAGATAGAAGGTCGTCTCCGGTTCGTTTCCCAAAGCAAAGCCGGAAGCGAACATGAAAGTCCCCCAGGCAGTACAAGATATTGGGCTGCGAATGTGAGAAGTCAGATTTGAGGTAGGACAGGACAGGTGTAGTTGATAATGATCAGTCTGATGTCTTATGTAAGAAACATCAAAATTCTCTTCAGCGGCGCGTTGATGTTGGCCAAAATCGTTCAAAAATGAAACGTCAAATCATCCAACGACCGGAACACGGATACTTATGTTGTGTGATAGGTAGATAACCCGATCTCGACCAGTATATGCAAGGTTGCTTGAATCGATGGTCGCACGCATTAGCATGCTATGATAGTGTCACAACATATCGCCACACCCGTTGACGTGGACGTGGACGACGAAATATTAAAAGACTTCGTGGTACTGCAGATTTCAGGCTCCTGATTCCTGAAGGTATCGAGGGATAAGGGGATAACTACGTGTTTAAGAAGAAGCTCGAAGCAATCTGCCTTTATGAGGACACACGGTACCGGTCCTCTAGATTTAAGTTTCGGTCGGTGTAAACAAGTATCTAATTGATAAGTCCGCTGGATTTTCACACTACGCCGTAAACTCTTATGTCGACCGAATATGCTTGACATATTTGGCATATGCAACTATATTCTTAGCACACCCTGACACAGACCTTGTTCCAATGGACTATAGTTCGCGCAACCGGGGATCAGTTCCGCGAAAGCAGTCATACCATTGGTTCTTTGCCGTACCCAAGTACCGCAATATAAATTGATGGATTTATTTTATGTTCATTGACAGTGAACTCGCGCCCCTCAGTAATTTGTTGTGCGGCGCCTGCGGTCAGTGGATACGGGAAGTGGTCTCGAATCCGGTTGGACGACACCAGCAATGCCAGAGCACGAGACGAGCATCTTTCCCTAACCTTACAGCGAACTAATGTGGTGTAGTGGTGGGCGAGATTGGCGCCCGAAGTGGTTCAATAATGCTTTCGCGCAATCAGTCAATGACGCGAAGATGAGAAAGAAAAGATGCCAGTGGGAATTGAGAATTTCCCGAAGTTTTTTCGACAACGCATCCTTTCTTGCATATTGAAGATGATCGCGTGATAAGGCGAGGACGAGCGCATGGATTTGAATGTGACGGTGGCGATGAACTGTCATCTGAGAATGTGACTGAAATGTAAAAAGTAAGTGTTGTGACTTCCTTATGCTGCATGCAGTTAACGATATGCAATTGATCTCTCCTTTATGATCGCTTGGTACGGAGCATGCGGTACATGCAATGCACTGGTAATTGTTTAATATCTCGTCGCCGGCAAGCCTCGAAGAAGATCCCCCGATAGAAGCGGGTAGAGAAAGGTGGGTGGTGTTGTAATTTTGGCATACGCATTTGAAACTTATCGATGTCATCAACCCCTATCTCTCAGAGCAACTTGCATCGTACTCTGTAATCACTAATGTGTAGCGCCCTCTTCTTCATTCACTGAAACAAAGTTGACAGCGGATCCGACCAGGGGGTTTCCTTCCCAAAACGCTATGGTCGGCTCCTTCTTTGTTAGATGCCCATGCAAGCCAGACATTACCGCTATGTATTTGGTTTAGAAATAATAGAACTAAAAGCCCAGATTGATATGAACAATTCCCGGGAGACCTCTCCCGCTGCACGTCGTCCGATGCGGCAGTCAGTAATAGAAGTTTTAGAATTGGCGTAAAGCATTGTTGAAGTCTCAAATCAAAAACATCTGAAGGTAGGGTTAGGGGTTGTAGAAATGACATTGGCAAAAATCTTCAATACTATCTATATACGTAACCTACACTTCAAGAAAAACACCCCTCTACATATTAAAATGCATGATATTATTTTTCAATGGGTATTATATTATCGCATTGATATATTGCAATTGCTTCTCGTTTACAATTCCTTCAAATGTGTATTGTTTTTGAATTTTGAAAAGAAAACGAGAACTAATAGGTTAGCCAGACCAAAACAGGAACATCTAGGCCACCAGAGCTCTGTCCTGTGATTCCATGAGGGGACCGCCCCAGCGGAGGGTGCCCTAGGCCCTGCAGACTCCCTGACAAGATTACTATCTTTATCTGGTAACTTCCCGGCGATTCACCTCGTCGAGTTGAGAACTTGGGGGTTATTGGATGAGCCAACTGCCAAGATGTAACCTTACTCTACCGTACATCTATTCTCTTTGAAAAAAAGAAAAAGGCCCAAAAGTCCAAAGACAGCCCTTACACATTTTGTCATTGTCAACCTTACTAGACTAATTCGGAAACTCGGAAACTTTTATTGAGATGAATCAGAGTGATCGAGACGTGCACACACCTCAGAGATATCCAAGGTATCTTTACTAACCGATATCTGCCGAGGTCGATCACAATAAGACTCGCTATACGGTTCCTAAAATAGCAAAATGAAAAATAAACACGGGAGCTGGGGAAAGGTAGGGCATATCTTTACGTAGTCGATCTGGATCCCACCTGTCATCTGATGACGATGACGATGACGATGATGATGATGGTGATGATGATTATGATGATGAGATGATCTGCAATACAAAAGGGTGATGCCGTGCTACGCCTTGCGAATTTGATCTTGGAGGGCTACTGTAAGCGAGGATTATCCAGTGGGCGCAAAGGGCGTGTATTTTAAAAAAAATCAGACCAAAGTATGTTCGGGGATGCCGGAAAGTTGTATCTCCATCTTAGACAGTTGCAAGGTGGAACGATTAGGCCGGGGAAGTTTCGTAAAGTCCATGTACTTGTTCATTTGCAGTAATTGGAACTTCCAGCCCTTGGCCCCTTGCTGACATGTGTTTCCCACATGGTTTTTATCTCAAACGTCTGCGCAGCAGTGTATTCGCCCGTAGCTGCATGGGTTCGAGGCCAAATGCAGGTGACCTTGAGAAGAGGATTGAAGTTGGTCGAATGGGACGATCTATCCCCAAAAACGGTTTCGGTTCGAATATTAGGGTCGTATCGGCGGGCACATATTGGACGTTTGTGCCACCGAGTTCTTTCTATCCGATCCGAATAAGTTTAAAGGTGCCGCAACTCCACACGGATGGCACAGCAGTTTTAGTCTATATCACATCCATTATTGCATTTCTTAAGCGCCTTGATAATACGTTCAATGGTTGGGATGCTTGGCACGGACCTAAGGTGATGAAGGAAGGTCTTGATGCAAAGATCAACTGATTAATTGTCCTGCTTCCAGTGACAGACATGATACTTCCCATCCTCAGACATCCTGGAGAACTACGATATCCGAAAGAAGAATGTCGACATGCTAAAAGATTACGACGGGGTTTTGAATGGTAGGCTTTGGGGGGATGAACCAAGAGCTGAAAGATTTGACTACCGGCATCGACGTGATTTGATATCAACTAAACCCTACATGCCTCGACCTTCGGATCTACTTCCACATTGGGATCCTTAGTATATAAAACGTTAGCTGACAAAAAGAGCTGATTCATTCTAAGACGTGAAAGTCTTACAGGCTCAGCAGGCCGGAGACGGGGTACATATATCAGGGAATCGACTTTGCGCTGTAAACAGTCTTTAGCTGCAACAGGACGGACAGCGGGCTCGTTATCGGAAATTAACCCGAAAGATCCGGTCATACACTATTTGCCTCTCTCACCACCTGAACCGCCACATAAATTCCCATTGAGTGGTCAAAACGTCACGACTCAAACTTTAAGCGGAATAGCCGATTCGAAAAGTCTAAAGGTTTAACGACAAACGGTTTCGATTTCCATATTCGAATATCCATCCACCCTGGCCCAAATGCTTGTCGACTGATCAAAACATTGAGTTCCCGCTACTTGCCCCTTTCTTGTCTTTGTGGCTGATAGCCAAGACCGTTTAAGCACAATATATACGTAGTTAAGATTTCTCAAAGCCTTGATACACATTTGCAACTCAGCCAGTCAAACAAATATCCGAACGATATATTAAAGACAAATCCATTCCACTCCATCATATTTCGGCCCTCATACCTTGACCGACCACCCCTGTTCCGCTTCCAATCTCGATGCCGCTACAGGCGGGGAAGCAAAAGGATCTACCGGGTGAGCAAAAAGGAAAAAACCAGCTTCCCAACGTCAACCGCATTTCTTTGCAATCAGGACGCTTCACCGCTTCCGTATCACAGCTGGAAGAGAACCCCCACGCTCCAATTGGCCCCGAGAAGATGACTTGATCTCAATTTGACCCGAATTCTATCATTTTTAACTAAATACGCCAACTGCCGTGAACTATTCCACTACTTTGGGTCTTCAAGGTACCCGATACCGTGGATATGGTATATGTATCTTTCTACAAGGTTTTTGAATAGTCTTCAGGATCTGTGCTATTTTTTGTAACATCGTCCGAGGTTACTCTTCCCCCCTCCACGTATATGCAAGCCACTCCAGTTTCGTCAATCGGTGTCCATATTGATTGGTAGGTGCCTAAGCGGGTAATCATTTTTCTCAATTCTGCTATGTGACTAGGATTAATATGTTCCGTCCTGTTGGCCATCGCTTATTCCTTGTCGTGGTATCAAGAAGAACATGTCTTGCCTTATAAGCTTGCCCTGCCTGTGTCTCACCGGGAAGTTCCATCTCCGCTTCTGGTGTTCAAGGGCTCTTCACATATTAATATCGCCTTGCCACCTGAAGCTTGAGTTAGTTCCTTCACTTCAAACCTACCCTACCCTTTATACCGTTGACACTAGCACTTCACTACTGCCAGCAAGTACCAAGTACCAGCTATCAACTCGACTGTCAACTACCAACTACCAACCTTTGAAGAGCTAGAATGGAGACTCAAACTATCGAGTTCACTGTTGAACAACTTCTCGATCTACACAGATATTGGATTACAGAACTGTTTATCATGGATAAAAAGTCTGAAGAGGAAATCGTCAATTTGCTTCACCATCACAAGATTGATGTCACGTGCGTATAACATTCAACGTTACTTGCTCATTTACTAACAATGTTTTCACAGTCCAAGCACTCTTCACTCCTATCTTTCAAATTGGAACCTGCTCACTCCACGTTCGTACATGCCAGAATATGCGGATCATCGTTCACAGTGCTGACCAACTTCGCCTATCCAGGAAGGAAATGATGATCGCTCTATCGTTATCTGTCACCAGCTCGCAATTCGTACCTGAGAGCTTCAAGTCTTCGTCTCTCCTCCTCCCATAACACCATTTCCAATTGGCTCACACCTTCATACTCAATGCAATCACCACTACATCCACGTCCGAAAATATTTCTCCACGACCAGACTCGAAAGATTTAGACATCATTTTTGACCGACAAACAACCATCGATTCTCCTCGCTCGATCTTCAAGACCACGAACTCAGAGCCTTAGATCTTAGAAAGATAATTGTGGATCAGGATGAAAGAAAAACGAAAAACGAGCTTGAAAGTTTTCAGTATCAAGGGAACCAAGGGTGTGTTACTATGATGAGTCGGAAAAGTGGGGAAGAGTGATTTGTTTTCTTTTTATGCTTCATTTTAAATTGGTTGCTTTTTTCTGCGGTTATACAAAATGGGATTGGTAGTGGGCAACGGAGTTTCCTTTTCTTTCTCGTTTTATTGGCGTGCGTTGTATATTCTATGGCTAGCGATGGGCGATAGCGATGGGTTTAATGACTGCAAAAGGTTGGGCGATTGGGATATGCGGGATACACATGGTTCGCAGATGCCATGGCGATGGCAGGAGTACTGCAGTCTGGAGTTTCTTTATGAGGTTGTCATAGTAACAAATCTGGTTTGGTACATCTATATCCGAAGTTTCCTATTCGTGCGGCGGAATTATATAGATAGATATCACCCCATTTCTTTTCCATGTTGTAGCATAGTATACGAAGCTCCTTTTTTGTTAGTTTACGATAGTCCGCTGCAATTTCAAATGGAATCGGTTCACATCAGCAGGTTCATGAAGCCCCAACTGTCGTGTAACAATACCATCTACTGGAATCTAGACACCAGTAGCACTACATGTCCCACCGCTCTTCCAATACCCGTAAGTCTGACAAACACAACATAACATATGCATGCGGGACCTTTTCCACAAAACCCGTGCCTTGACGATCTCTCCTAGCCCCCACTCGCCTCCATCTTTACTATCGCCTGTTTATCTCTACGCACTACACCAGTTCTCTTCAACCCTCAAGTTTCAACTCCTGCCACCGCAAAATTGATCCACCATCCCCAAAAGGAGTTCGGTCCCATTAATATGCTGTCTCTCCTTATCCTCCACTTTTTAAGATTCTCTCCTATACCCAACCAACCAGCCAACCAAATAACCAGCAAACTCGGGATTCCTAACTAACTCCAAAATGCAACTCTATTCCTCCATTTATCCACCCCACTATCACATGCATGCATGCATGCATATGCAACCCTCATCTGATACCTACCTCTACTCCCCTAAAATCCATGCCCAAGCTTCTCCCCAACCTTCAAAGGCACCCGAATCCACGTCATCCACAGCAACCCTTCCCAAACCAAAAAATTGTCGACTCTCGGAAGCACTTTCCGAAACTTATCATTTTTGAGGCTTTTTTTGTCGTTTTTTCGATTTCGATTTCGATTTATTCGATGATTATCTTTTTTTTTTTTTTTCAATGATTATGATTTTCTATCTATTTCTAAGTTTCTTGATAATATTACAAACTACAAAGTGTTCTCTGAGTAAGCAAGCTGTGGTAATTTGTAATGCGATATGATAAAAGTATTGAGAGATAAGGTTTTGAGAAATACATTACAGTATACATATGAGTTGAGAAGCTGGGAAGCGGGAACGCGATTGGAGGGATTGTGGGAGAAGAAGAGATGATGTGATGAAGGGGTGGAGCTAGAGCGGATAACCGAGACACGCAGGGATTAGTGATGGTTTATGTGGAGCGGATGGAGCGGATGGAGGGTTTATTGGCGCGGGTTGGTTACACAGCGTTAGGATGGGGGGCTGCTGTAGGCTCATTCTTTTTGGTGTTTCGATAGCGAGATGGGGTTTGTTTAAGGTTTTGTGAAAGGTGTTGGGAGATGGTTGTTGGGTTTATGGAGATTGTGCGGACATTCGAAAGGAGAGGAAAGGAAAGGGGGGGAAAGGGGAAGGGGAAGGGAGGCAGAGAATTTTGAGGAGGAAGTTGGGGGATTCCGGAAGGTTTCTTCGATTTTCGATTGTTTGACTTAGCAATCATCAAGGGTTAAAAGTATGAGTAGGTCTGCCCATAATTGGCAGTACTCAATTAAGGTGATGGTTATTATTCTACTTCGCCATCCAGCAGCATTTGCATTCTGCACAGCACCCTTTTTCCTATCCGAGGAGGTCGTTAATATATTTCACACAAGTCGAGACCCATGATCTAGACTCAAGGTCTAGATGGAGAAACCTTTGAGGGAATTGTCTTTGAAACCTTCATAGAAACTGCATCGAGCCAATGATCATGGAAGTCGCGTGCCTTTTCATTTTGGGCGCCATGACTGCAAATGGGCGACGGTCTGTTCCACAATTTCTTTCTTCGCATTGACGAACAGGCTCAATTCAGTCATTGCATTCCTCAATCTTCGTAGCTTTCAATAGCTTTTTAACTTTTGATACACACTGCCTGTCCGGTGTGATTATCTATCCACGGAGCAAAAGCATTATGTTTCGAGTCTAGAAGTGGCTGAGCTGCGAAGCGATAGATAGACGCATGAGTATTTGGATAAAAGGCCGAAACTTTGATTTTGTACTCGAACATTCTCTTATCTTTTAACTCAGTCATAAAAGTGGCTGGAAAGCTGGAGGCATGCCATACAAGCCTGCAAACAATCGCCATATTTCTTCATCACGGCTTCGCCGTACGTTTTAGCTTTATTTTCGTTTCACATCTGTTCAGACTTCCTCCTCTATTTGGTTTTGCTGCGTTTCATTGCTTAGGTGTAGCTCATAGCTCATAGCTCATACCACTTCTTGCTAGTTTGACAGAGTGGCAACATATTCTAGGTATATATCATATAATCGAGCAACTACATGATATCCGTGTACGCAAGTAAACACATTCCTTTCACACTCGAACCATCTTTAGCCATATGCATCACACCTAAAAGTTTGCTCTTCTCGGAATATTGCGCCGCCATGCATTAATATATAAAATTTTACAAACATCTACTTCGGCAAATGAGCTGCTGCCCTTATTGGCAAGTTTGCATGCAGGGTTAGAACGGCTAGGTAAATTTTGGAGAAGTTTTGATGATACTGGATTGGAGTCAAAAAGACCTCAGGAAGCGTTATGGCTGCTTTTTTTTTCGTAGAGATCTCTCTAGGGATGTGCCGTAGATAGTGACTGGCATGCTAAATATATCACCTGCGGCTTGGCTGGACATTTAAGCTACAAGAAAGGAGCTGTTGCAACTTATCTGATTAGTGTACTGAATATTTGATGGTTATGCTCAGTTTCCTATACTTGAGATCTAGGCGCTGAATGTCTCGGAGTAGTCTTCCAATAGGGTGGAAAAACAGTCTACATTAGTATGTATTAATCTTGAAGGCTTCTTGGAATCAGGCGATGATACGCAGTGAAAACTCTAAATCACTTGTCCATACGCAGCTTTTCTTGTCATCTTCTCCAGGAGGGAATCGATATACACATTTTACTAGTAGTCGGTTCTAGATGATCTGGAGCCGTCAATGAATCAAATAATTCATTGTCTTTATATCCGAAGCCTTGAAAAAAGTTTCACGCTATATTCCCTTTATTAAAGTTTCCCTAAAAGTATCGATTCATGGCCACTCCAACAGTAAATCTACGAACTATGTCCGCGCATGGAGGCTATTCGCATGAACATGAAAATTGCACAGAGTTTCCTGCTAGGCATCGCCCCCTCCATAGGCCATGTATCCGCTTCAGCAAAACCTGCACCAAACTCTTACTGCCAAGTTGCTGGAAAAAAACCCCATCCCTGTGCACCCAAAAGAGCTTGCTGCAGCTGCTTGGGACGACCGAGAAAATAGCTGAAGACTGGATTCTGCATAACTCTCGTTCCCCTAGTAGCCAGGTCACAGAATCTATAGATTGACCGGTCGCCCCATTGTTGGGCTCTAATGCAGCTCCGTGTACCAAAATATCAGCTGACCCATTGCCGTGTTTTGTAGAGTTTCGGACCCGAGTAAATTGCTCATATTAACGTACATTGGCCGAATTATATATGAGGATAGGCGTTAGTCGTTCAGTTGCAGCATATCCCTCGAATTAAGTAAAGGAATGCTCGGCTTCTGTATCAAGGAATATTTGATGTCCTTTCATGGTTGTGTCCTAGACAGGAGGAGCTGAGAAGTAGATTTCTCACCTTGAGTTAAGTAGGTGATTGATGCTAAGATCGTAGAATCTGGTATGATACTAGCAGTTACTTACTTTCCCACTCGAACATAAGCATTATTCCTTTTACCAAAAGTATATAAACCGGCCATATGCATCGGAACATTCACAATCATAATAACGACAAAGTCCGCCATTTCATCAATCTCCAAAATAGCAATACCGCAATATTCAATTCATAATCGACAATTCATTAATTAATTCATTCCCCACAGTCAACTCAAATCCACAAGTCCGGAATTCTCAAACGTTCTCAAAGGCTAGAAACTTTAGAAGATTCTTAGTTCGAGATCTTGGACACGTGCATCTACTAGATGCGATAGTAAAAGTCCCGACATAAGACGGACGCTCTTGGGGCTTATGCAGCCTTATATGACAACATGGTAAGATCTTACGTTCTTGGCTTTCCCCACATTTGTTGATATCGATGATGGTAATAGAGATGTATCTATAGCTAGGGGAATGCGGGGGTATTTGAAAGAGGATATTTTTATTTGCTTGAGGGTTTTAAAAGTGTGGAATCTGTAGGTATAACGTAAAGGATATAAGTTATTTTTGCTAGATTTACTGTCTATTTCTAAGATTATGTCATGGAAAATTGAGTAGCTGAAAGTATACTTTGCTACTAGTTATTCGCTAGTAGATTAGCTTGCTTAGGGGCATATCTGGTGTAGACGGGTAATGGATATAACTACTGGGCGATCGACTTGATATTCAGTGTATAACAGTATTAGATACTTCCAGGAAGCTTTAGGAGATAGATAGTATATTTGGGGAGAAATTCAAAGGGGGGATGACCTTAAATTAATGCCACGCAGAGCAAATGACAAATAATTGAATATTTCATATTGATGAATAAATATACAGGAATCTTTCTTGTTCCGTTTTATAAAATATCTAGACCGTTGTATCTAAGAGTCTCCTATGTCCTTCTATCAACTAGAAGTCTTTCAGGGAAAACTCTAGGCCACTGGGTCTGCCATGCGCTCGACCAGCAGATCTTACCACCTTTTCTAATACTTGAAATATGAGGTACGTGGCAACCACCCAAAATGAATCCAAAAATGGAACGAACAGCAAACACACATGTTAAAAACTGCCTTGCCCAAGATACACAACCACGCAACAAATAGCCGTGGGATTCTGCCAATGGTGCAGCATCATAATGTGTAATTCTCCCATGATAATCAATCCAGCTTCATTCCCAGCCTCCAAATTTCCCCATAAACTTCGAATTTCTAATATATGAATACTATTCCCATTAAAAAGATCCTCTAACTTTGACATTAACTCCGTCGCTCTTTTTAACCCACAACTTTCAAAGAGATTTCTCACAGCTAATAAATTCCCAACGTGTACCCCTCTTTCAATAACTCTTTATACCATGATGCTTTTGCTAAGACATCATTAAATTGGTTACAGAATACCATGTCTGAAGTTTGGAATGGAGCATTGAGTGCAAGATATCCGTGGAGACATCGTACACACGCGGACAGACGAACATTTCTTCCTCTTGGCTAGGGGAGCTCGAAGCTTGGCGGTGTCAGTCATAACGAATTGAACTTGATTTATGCTACGAATCAAATTTTCAAGGTATTAGGATGTGCTTCTTGTTACAGAAAGAAAAACAAAATGAGCCCGTATCACGGTTGATCATTGTTACTGACATCACCCGCGAAGACGGAGGAGGTGTGGTCTGATGCGTGGGGCGCATCAGGACAAGGGGAAGATATAAAAGCCGAATATAAATTGGATGTTCGGATATAGGACGACAACCCAAATCACAAGATTCGTAATCACGTATCCACTTGGAGAACACGACAAATACTTGGTGGGAAGCTCGATTACCATAAAACCATTCAGCACGTAAGCTGCTCTAGCTGCGTGACACCCGTCATAAAAGAACTCCACCAATGTGTATCCCACCAAGTTTTCCCATAACCGCCTAGAAGCTCATATACTCCATCCATACCTTCAATTAACCATTTTGCTCGGAAATTGATCATTAAACAGTTGCGTCATCTCATGAACTTTCTTTCATATTCCCGCAGGTAGAGCAAGTCCACCATTGATTTTCCATTTTAGTACTGCACCATTGACAAGTCCACATTTGTGGTTGTTGTGGAGCAGGCTTTGCAACGGCTTTCCTCTCGATATTCCGACTAACCTGCTTCGTGATACCTTCCGGCCTCTCGCTAGTGCAGGCATCACAGCACAAGAAGTTGATTGGATTGTGAAGCGTACATATAGGGCATGACCATCCCGTCAAGACAGGTGCTGAGTATACTGGCCCTTGTGCAGGCTCGTTTTTAGGAGCTTTTGTCCTCACAGACGGCTTTGACTCGTTCAAACTTTTGGAGACCAGGGGGCTGACATGGTTCAAAGGTTGTCTAGGTATCCCAAATCCAACAGAGGTCGAACCCGAAGTTGAGCGCTGTCTACGTGAAGGTTGTTCAGACAAAGATTTAGGCTTTTTATCCGATGCGCGTCCCCCGATATTATCATTGCCATTTCCTGCTGAATTCTGGGCGGAGGAAGGAACATTAAGATCCCCGTTCTCCCTTTTCTGATCTTCTTGAACGAGCTCCCACATGGCTTGAGCGATTTCTGCCTCATTAGCCGCATCTTTCTCTGCTAGTGTTTTGAATCCGTTACTCGTAGCTTCATCGGCCATATCTTTAATCTCGATTGGATTCATCCTGCTCTCTCCACAACCCTTGAGGACTTTGTTTCGACGTTCGATCGCATCAACGATTACCTTTCGAATATCGCTGCCGTATGGTACTGGCCGACCTCCTAGTTTCTGATCGAACCCTACCAAGGATTTCTGCCTTTTCTCCGCAGCTATGCGAGCAAGACGTCTAGCTTCGTGCCGTGGTACTCTTCGTCCACCCAAGCTCCTCCCTTCTGACAAGAAACCCTCTCCAGTATATCCTTTATTTGTCAAACCTTCATGTTCCTTCCGGAGTTGATCCCATAGAGCATGAAATTGCTGATTGTGAGGTCCGATTTCGTTGTGGCATAATTCGTGAAGCATTGTATCCACGACCTCTTCCATCGGCAGAAATTGATTCTGATCTCCCGGATATCTCAACCGTAGACATATTTTTTGCCCATTGTTTACGTTAAGACCTAGCCTAAAAGTTAGATATAACCGCTATGGATTTTAAGAGCGAATTGGAATACCTAGTAGATTTTGTTGATCTGGGTAGAATTCAGTCAAAGTACCTACACGCCAATGACGTGCTCTCATGATAGGTTTGACCAAAGACGCAATCTTCTTAAGAGAATGAAGAGCTTCAGCTTCCCGTTTTTTCCCTTTCAAATGTGAGTATGCCAAAATAAGTGCATCGTGTTCGGTATTAGCAGACATTCTCAAGTATTAGATAGCAAAAGAAAAATAAAGGATCAAGTTGAATATTGCAATCGTGGGTTCGGAATGTGTGGTATTGATCGTATTGAACTGCTCAGAACTGTTCCAGGTTGCTAGTGAATGGTTTATCGTTGCACAAACGCAACCAAATGGGTCTATAAATTAGTAAAAGGTCAACCTTTTCGTAATGTAATAGAAGGTTCAACAGTGGTCATTTGCCATGCCGTGAATTGTAATCAAGGAGGCAAATACAAGGCTGACGCGCCAACGTACTTGTCCACGTTGAATTTTAGATGCGGGCACTTAACATAAGCGGCATTAGCGGCCGCAATCCAGCTTAACTTGGCGATAAGATAAGGCAGACGAGGCTGATGAAATCGACCCGAGCTTCTTTCCCCACACTTCAAGCAAGTTTCCGTGCTAGATAGATATCAAACATCAGCAAGACCTCTTAAAGTAAGTCCCACATTTCATCAGGAAGCTATTCAAAATGTCTGCGGACGATCAAGTATTCTTGGATATTGTATGTACTCTGTCTACTCGAAGCTTTTTAGCATCTACTGATAATTATATGTTGGTAGCTATCTTCCGTACCGAACGATATTAAGAAGTATAGCAACGATGTTGCGGATTATATTGAAAGACATATTGAAAAAGTAGCTGCATCAATAAGAGTATCTCTTGCCTCTGCAGAATGGATCCCTCCATCTGCGCGTCCCAGGCCACCGCCGCCAACTCGCACTTTTGCGGCACCTCAATCAGTATACATCCGAATTGAGCAATGGGTATCAAAGAACAAGCTTCTTACTGGAGCTATTGTGATAGTAGTCGGTGGAATAACGTACCATGTTATCAGGAAGAGGTCAAACTACCGTAAGAAGCGGAGAGCCAAGCGTGCCGTGACTGGCGCTAGACAAGAAGTTGTGGTGCTTGCAGGATCTCCGTCAGAACCAATTACTAGGTCGATTTCCTTGGATTTGGAGCGTAGGGGCTTCATTGTCTATGTCGTATGCAATACGATAGAGGACGAAGTTCTAGTGCAGAATGAATCTAGGCAGGATATCAAGCCTCTAATGATCGATATTGTTGATGTGAGTTTGGAACAATAGTCTCGTGAGATATGTAAAACTAATCTCGTTGTAGCCGTCAAGTGCTTCCGCCGCAATCGATAGATTTGCAGCACATCTACGAGCACCACATTCCCCTTTTCAAGGTGGCAAAACGCATCATCTAATATTCCGATCTCTTATTCTCATCCCTTCACTTACTTATCCCTCTTCCCCCATCGCCACCCTATCCGCATCAACACTATCTGACCTCCTCAATACTCGTCTTTTGAATCCCATCCTTACCCTTCAAAACTTTCTTCCTCTCCTCACGCAGTTGCCATTTCATGGATCATGCAGCAGCGACAATGTTCCAAAGCCTTCCATTCTCGTCCTCACCCCCAACATTATACCCTCCCTGTCCCCCGCATTCCACGCACCCGAGTCGTCCACCACATCTTTCCTCAAGACCTTCACCCAAATCCTCACATCTGAGCTCTCTCCGCTATCTATCCCCGTGACCAACCTACAACTTGGAACTTTCGATTTCTCCTTCTTTGGACCTAAGAATCAACTCCAATCATACCGGGGCCGCTCTCCTCCCGCCAACTCAAATTGGGACCCAACGTCCCGACACGTATATTCACGAAATTATGCCGCCATCAATTGTTCAAACGTGGGGATAGCAATGGGATGTGGATCAATAGGTGGAGGCCACGGGAAAGGAAGCAGTCTCCGAGAACTAAACAACGCAGTCTTTGACGCTATGGAAAGGAAAAAGGGCGGCATCATCAGAGTTGGCATGGGAAGTAGCGTATATGGATTTATTGGAGCATGGGTACCTCGCGGATTGGTAGCGTGGATGATGGGAGTAAGAAAGTTCAAAGCGGAAAGCGCAGAAGACGATTCTCATGCGTATGTCCCGGGAAGTTCAAGTTCGAGTACATCTAGTTCTGAGGGTAAAGCTTTCACGCCTGAGAGTAGTGAGACGAGTGGGGGGACTGGGTTAGCGGGAAGCGAATATATTTCGATTAATGATATGGGCAGTAATTAGGACATAGGGGTCTGGGCCTTGGAATGCTATATAGGGGGTGCTACGTGTGAGGTGCCTTTTTGCTTTTGGTATAAATATGGCGTTTCGGGAAATTTTGATAAGGACTGACGCAGGGAGGCATAGGAGGGTAACTCAGCTCATGAATATAGTCAAGCTATGTGTAGTTATTACACAACAATGATATCAATTTGAATTCATCCTTAATAGGATCTAGGAAGAGTATCGAGGAGATCTATGCTTGGCCGTGACTACTTTGGAAATAGTTTGCATTGCGCTATTGACATACCCAAATCTGATGCGAGTTAGGCCTGAAACCCCAAAACCCACATCGCCATATTCTAGGCCACCGCCGTTCTTGTGCCTGGGGGCATTATTATGTTCTAGACCCATGATTCTTTTGATGGCTGAAAGACTTTCTCCCAACGTAGAATCACAAATGATGGGAAAAGAACTGATAAACAACATGGTGCCACCAACAGTTTTCCGTGTATTTGCTTGGACTCATCTAACTTTATTGGTCAAAGCTATTTAGACCCTTGTCAAAAGGTGGCTGGAATATGTCCAAGTCCCAGGTCTTGTCTCAGCCTTGTTGTGATGAAGACGGCTTGCTTGCATAATTTGCGGGACGGGCTGCCTCGTATGATAGACCCGTTTTCTTAAGATTCTGTTAATATTGATGTGGCACTTAGGGTGGCGTGACTCCAATGGGTCGTGAAGTGAAGATGAAGGAACTTATGGAACCCACAATTTGCACTTTGACAATATTGCGTCTTAGTGGGAGGTAGCCGTATTCCATGCATGTGTACTCCATCATCAGGGTTCCCCTCATCAAATGCATAAAATTTTGAATATTGGTTTCGCATTCTCAATGTCCGCGTCCTCGTTGGCCCCTTTCTCCTCCACCACCCCTTCCGCGAAAGCCAAAACCACCTCTCCATCTCTGTCTCGGCCGCCCTTCTGGGAATCCTCTTTCCCTATCCGCCTCTCTCTCAGCGTTCTCTCTAATTCTCGCTTGTTCTTCGGCAACCTCTTCCGGGTCTCTCTCAACCTTGATAGTTGGCTTCGGTAAGTCAGAAGGCCATCTTGGATGTGCCTTTTTACATTTTGATCCATCGGGACAAAATCCTGCTAGGTAGAATTCGCAGATAGCCTTGCGGATATGCTTTTTAGAGCACCTGGGACCAAGTGGGCAAAACCCTTTATCGTAATGGGGGCAGTTTCCAACCTTAGAGGCAGGATCGACATGTAGATATAGACATTCATCTGGACTCGTTAGTGGAGCTCTTAAAGCATTAGACGGTTCGTAAACGTACCTCCATTAGAACAATAGCCGTTCTTCACAAAAAAGTTACATTCCGGCATCTTCCTTAGGTTGAACTCATGAAGAAACTCGCAGGTTTCACCCTTCTTACAAAGGCCTCTCAGCCAATGTTTGCATACCATGTTGTTGAAGTTCCATGTATTATTGGGATTGGTGGCATGCTTATCAGGGCAATTACTACCGAGAGGGCAGTGTCCTTGAAGATATGCTTTACACGTAGGCCGATCCGGAGAAATACCCATGCGGAAGTTATTAAACAAAAAGGGCGTGAATGAAAACTTGTACACTGGCGCTTTGTGTTCTAGAATCTGGTGAGCTGCTGAAGCTGAAGCCTGTGCTGCGAAGGCACTGGGTTTCTGGTGTAGTATTTCAGCCATGTTCGGTGTTGTCTGAGTTAATCAAGAATTGGCGTAGTCAATGTTGTTTGAACTATTTCACAAGGCGAACTGCCGGAGGGAGCAGAGCATACGGTCATGTAGGTACTTGTGAATGTAGCGAAGCTCGATGTAAGTGTCGAGCCGTTTTGTGAGACGGGTTAAATGTGCCTTGTCTTTTACGTGGAGAATGGAGCGTGTACTATAATTTTGAAAACGAGCTTTGTATCAGATAGATCAATACCCGGAGCTTTAACTTGAGTGTGGTTGTACAGAGATTGATTAATTAAAAGTGTTTTGGATGTCGCCCAAAGGATTGAATTCTTGACAGCCTCGCGTATTAGTAATCAGATTCAAAAGGGCATTATCACCAATAGGGCTAGTGCAAAGCCAATCATAAGCAGTACTAACTTTTAGGTACAGACATCACTGCGTCTACTCCGGAAAGCTGTCAACCTGCACAACCAACCTGCACAACCTGCAGAACTTGAGTTTTGCGAGGTGGATTTGCAGCTAGATCAGGCATGGCATTCTGCCCTGCTTGTTGTCGGCCGAAGGGACAGGGTAATTGTAGGTACATTTACCCCATTATCGATTCATCAAATCCCTAGTCCAGCTGTTTACCTGCACCGACAGTACATCAATTTGATGCCGGTTGTTGAGATTTCAGTGGATATATTTTACCTAAAAATCCTTGTCTCTGTGATGCATCATTGCACAGTACGGAGTACATACATACGGAGTTGTACTCACTCCACCATTTATCTTCAGCAAGTAGGTACCTACTCACGGTTCTCGAAGTGAAGTGGATCAACAAATAGGACTATTTGATCCGCTATCCTCTAGTGTCAGATTACAATAACGAGCACAGCGTTCAAGATGGTGAGGACACAGGGTGATGAGAACACAAGATGGAGAGAGTGCAAGATGATCATGAAACATCCCCCTGAGTATTGGTGTATTGTGCTATTCCTACCGGTGCCTGTTTATTCTGATCTACAATGAATATATACATCGCTACCACTTACAGAACTCGGCTAGATATATCTCGGAAATGCATGTCACTCGGTTCCTCATGCACGTCAGTGAAATCCCTAGTGAAGTTGGCTTTCAATGTTTCGGCATCCTTCACGGACGGGTAGAAAGCTATGGCCGTTGATCATTTTTTTACCGATCCGATCCACCATGCCATGCTTGTCGGTATAATATTTTTCGCACCAAGCTACATTTCTATCACTTTTTTATATTAGACCTGTAAAGCAGTTCCAAGTATGTATTTCTCAAAATGAACACAGACATGAGTGGAAAGTAACAGAATACCCGTGATACTTATACTTACGCTTAGCATATTTTCCATTTTCTGGAATACTTGCCACTTGCCAGTTGTCCTTAGCAAACAAAAAGATCCACAAAATGATCATGAAGCTTTAGATATCTCTCACGGTGCTGATGGAAAGCAGGGATACGGTTAGTAGCAATTTATGACGGTGAATACAAAAGATTGGTTACCAATGCCTGAAGGTGCATTTGGCCCTGCAGAGTTGTAGGTAGTAAGTAGGCTGGTGACAGTAACAGCTAACTTGGGGTCGATATCATGGTGCATGCAGGACGATGAACGAGTCAGAACATGAACTTTGCACGTTGATCTTGGTAATTGGAACCTTCAAAACCCACACTCCCTTGGTAACATCATACCGGTGTCCATATAACATACGGAGGGAGTATCACTTGATTCTTAACTTCTTCATTTGGCCCCTCTAGTTTCTAGGGTTTTAGCCGATGAGCACTGCATTAGATTGCTGTAACGTAGTGGATGCGAGATGAGAATAATGGATGAAATGCTAAAACTAATGTTAATGCAACAAAGAAAGCTGCATCGAAGCAAAGGGGAAAAAATCCAAATACGGTATTTTCGGTCTGTCTGGTCAATAACGTGGCAAACGGAATATCACATTCGCATTGATAACGATACTCGGAAGGATATTGGCTAATTAGCGCACGCTTCCTTCACACCCAAACTTTCTCCTCTTTCATGAAAAGCAGCTACACTTAGCTCGCCGAATAATGTTCCATCACTCTTCCGATGCTCCTACGTCGTTACCGCATTCCATTTCTCTCACTCGAGGTAAATCCTCTGATTTTAATTCGATCTGTTTTACAAAACGCCACATACACAACCACATATTGGCATTGGTTTGATGTGTTGCGGATCTACCTTCGGCACACTAGCCTATAGATACCTATATGAGTGTATATATGACATTCATAGCTGTCTCTTTATGTATCAAAGGAAAGGGATTACTTAGCCATTACCTTCGCGGCATCACAACTCATTCATCTCACTCTAACTTGGTTAATCGTTGTCCGTGGCTCGGATCTTCCCTCATTAGTCGTCTCGTTGATGACTTTGATTCCAGGTGTAACTGGGAACTTCCTTACATACTTATCATCCCCACACAACTATTTCTTCATCGATCCACTGTCACAAGCTCCCGCAATTCAGCTATATGCTAGTCGGCTGGTTGATTTCTCAGTGAATATGTATAATTGATCTTCCCCTCCGTCATTTCCCCATGCATATGTACCGCCAGAGTACCACCCTTTTTGAATATCCATCTTCAAAAGTTGTTCTCAAGTCTTGCTGGTGATCCCTCTGTGCTGAAGTACATATATTAACGCTTTTCTTGGCCAAAAGACGTGCTTCCAAGTTCTCAGCTAGCTTTCTCCTCCTCCAAATCAGTCACTCATCAACTTTTTCTCTTCTTTTATTTCTTCTTTACCGTGGAGGAAAGGGGCTCCTGGCAGTTCTTCATTCACTAATATTCATTCTTCCTCGTCTTCTAAGATGTCACATCCATACGGAGCTCCTCCTATACCATGGAGCTCGAGACCGCGAGTAGACAATCGCAGACCCTCTCAGCCATCAATCGCAGCGAGTATTTCTAACATCATGTACAAAAACGCCGTGTACTATCCCAACTATCGGGTCTATCGTGGCGAGACACCTGCGTCGTTGAACTTCAGTTGTATCAGCCATGTTTTCTATGCTTTTGCTCATGTCGGCCCGGATGGTGGAGTTTTTGTGAGTTTCCCCCTTCTCTGAGCAAGGCTTCAAATTGTTGCTAACTAGAAAAGCTGAGTGATGATTGGGCAGATATGCAAATGCCCGTTGATGGTGCCACCGGCTGCCTAGGATCATTTATGCGTTTAAAACAACAGCATGAGCATCTCCAGCTCGTTATCTCAATAGGTGGTGGCGCAGCTAGCCAAAATTTTGCACATGTCGCTGCTTCAGCTGCCACAAGAGACCATTTCGGAAAGTCGGTCCGAGGTCTGGTTGACGCAACAGGTTTTAATGGTATCGATAGTAAGTTTTTTCCCCTATGGCAGATGATACTCATACTGACGAGCTTAGTCGATTGGGAACATCCTTCAGATCCCGAACAAGGTCGGAATTTTCTCGCCCTTCTTGCTGCTATCCGGCTTCATTTGCCTGATGAACGATATTTGCTGACAGCTGCTTTGCCTGCCGGCCGATGGGCTTTGCAAAACATCGATCTCTACAAAGCTCAAGATTATCTGTAAGGACAATTGTTGATTACACAACCCCCAAAATTGAAACTTTAACCCCTTGGTTATCCACTCCCTAATCGCATCAGTCTATTATAGTCTAGTAGTACTGACCATTCTTTTGCTTTAGAGATCTAATCAATCTTATGGCTTACGACTTTTCTGGTTCATGGTCACACAAGTCAGGACACCACGCTCAGCTTTACCCGGGAAACTTGCAGGATGCAGCAAACGGAAGTGCTGCTGTCGATTATGTTATATCGACTGGGTTTCCGGCTTCAAAGATACTACTTGGTGTTCCAGTGTACGGGAGGTCCTTTTTGAACTCTAGAGGACCAGGACACCCATATCATGGTTGTGGCGGCGAAGAAGGAACATTCGAGTACAAGTTATTGCCAAGGCCTGGAACTCAAGAGGTGGTGGATACTGCCACCGTTTCAGCTTCCTGCTATGGGGGCGATGGAGGATGGGTCTCTTACGACAACCCACAGACTGTTAAGATGAAGGCTGAATATTGCAGGCAAAGGCGTCTTGGAGTGGGTTAGCTCTCTCCTGTCAGTCATAGGTGTTTGCTGATTAAATTTAGGGTCTATTTTACTGGACAGGGACAGCAGATGCATCAGGTCCGAGAAGCTTGATATCATCTGGTTTTAAAGCTCTGCATGACGCATGAGCTGTGATATAGAGCTTATACGAGGCATTGAAAGTGCTAATTTGATGGCTGGGGAGAGTAAGACATTTGAAGCTATATCGAGAAGGCCGGATCTGGAAAACGTGATTTTTCAGGTGGCCTAACATGTTTTCAAAATTGGGAAGTGCTGGCTCTCCCGTTCTCTTTCTTGGGTTTATTATGATTTATGATGAAATGACAAAGGAAATAGCATTGGGTGGTTGGTCTGAAAATACTCGCGGGGGGGTTAGACAAGTATACTCAAAATGAGTAGCTACATCAGCTCAATGTATAATAAGGCGATTTCAAAATTCATACTTAGATACATGTGTTTTAGAGACCAGAATTATCAATAGTCTCTAAAATTAATCCTGCTTCTTGGATGGAAAGTTTTAGTTTAGTTTAGTAAATATCTAAGTAATTGTTGTCGTGCTATTGTGGCTGACGAGGCTGACGGAGTCTGGGGATGCACACATAGGTTATGCATAGGTAGACTGGAGATTATTAACACATTTCTACAACTACACATCAATAATTTTTTAGTTTATCCACACATGCATTGTCATTAGTGTATTGAGTACTGTTCTCAATACTTTAATTTATCTCATATCATTCATTGCAGCATGAATGGCGCATCGATACCTTCATCACTGGATGCATGTAAGTCCCCAAACCTCACTTCCACCATAGTCAAAATCCCCACTGATCTCACACCCCCGCAGCCGATTATGACCCTATCGACCATTTAAACACGATATTTTCCCATCCTTCGACTCTGGGCTCTATAAATCAGACAGCCGTTGCACTGCAGGCTCATCAAGATGAGCTCTCAAGTAATATCGCCGATCTCGTGGCCACCCAAGCATACAATGACGATTCCTCACTCAAACGTATGCAAGCCGCAAAGTCGGAACTTGCAGACCTCTTTAAGAAGATCGAATCTGTGCGGACGCGGGCTATACAGACGGAGCAAACAATCACCTCAATGACCGCAGATATTAAGAGGCTGGATGGCACAAAGAAGAACTTAACCCTGAGCATGACAGCTCTAAAAAGATTACAGATGCTTACGACTGCTTATGAACAGCTAAGAGGTCTAGCAAAAACAAGACAATACCGAGAATGCGCAAGCTTGCTACAGGCTGTGCTGCAGCTTATGAAGCATTTCAATAGTTACAGGAGCATAGACCAGATTGCTACCTTGAGTAGGGGCGTCTCGGAGTTACAGAGAGAGTTACTAGAACAAGTCTGCGAGGATTTTGAGATGGCATTTGCCAAAGGGGAGGTGGGAAGTAAGAAAGCAGTGCTAGCAGAGTCATGTCTGGTGATGGATGCATTGGGGGATAATGCTCGAGCAAGATTGGTGACGTGGTATGTCAACACACAATTGAGGGAGTATAGGCAGGTTTTCAGGGGAAACGACGAAGCAGGGAGCTTGGATAATATCGGCAGAAGGTACAGTTGGTTCAGGAGAATGCTGAAGACATTCGAAGATGAACACGCCGGAATATTTCCTGCTGGATGGAGAGTTAATGAGGTCCTGGCAAATGCATTTTGCGAAGGCACCAGAGATGATTTCAAGGGAATCTTAGAGAGGAGCATGCGACGAACAGATGGAATTAAAATTGACGTCAATTTGCTCTTGAGTTGTCTTCAGGAGACTATGGATTTCGAGCAAAGTCTTGAGAAGAGATTCGCTACAGAGACAAGAGCAAGTATCGATACTCTTAGCTCTGTTGAAGACAAACCCCTGACATTTCATGGGTCTATTTCCGAAGCTTTCGAACCATATCTCAGTCTTTGGGTTGAGTCACAAGACAAACAACTCGCCGCGATGATACCCAAATATCGTATCCAACCCATGTTAGCGGCTGATGAAGAATTCTCCCCACAGGCTGTGATACCGTCATCTATTGAGCTCTTTCATTTTTACAAGACATCCTTGGCTCAATGCGCCAAATTATCAACTAGTGAACGACTTCTTGACTTCTCAAAGATCCTAGCTAAATATCTCGATCAATATGCTCAGCAAGTCCTATTATTTTTCTTACAAGGAGCAGGAGGACCCAGCCTTGAAAATACTATCCTTGTTCTCAACACGGCAGATTATTGGCATGCTAATACTCAGCAATTGGAAGATAATCTGAAAAAAAGAATAGACAGTGAATTGGCAACAAAAGTGGACTTGTCATCACAATCTGATGCGTTTATGGGCGTTGCAAGCGCAGCAGTTTTATCATTGGTAAATCGAGTAGAGGTTGATTGCGAAGGATCATGGCGTGAGATGAAGAATACGAATTGGAGCAAAATGGAAAGTGTAGGGGATCAGAGCAGTTATGTTGCAGAGTTGTTGAAACATGTCAATGATCGAGCAGGGGAAATATTACCTTTGGTAGGGAAGCAGCAATATGCGCGCGCGTTTTGTGATAAAGTTGTTGAACACTTGGCCAATACGTATATCGCAAACATCGTTCAGTGTCGACCTGTGTCCGAGGTAGGCGCCGAACAGGTATGTATAAATCTTCAAGTGCATGGTATTCACTTCTAGTTCATATTTACTAACGTCCTCTTCAGATGTTGCTAGACAAATATGTCTTAACTAAAGGATTGACAACTTTGCTCACTCATTCTCCTACCCCCTCCTCAGCCACTGCAAATACTGCATTTCAAAAACGTGTGAATAATATAATGACTCGTCTGGACCCGCTCCTTAAAACGCTACAAGTCCGTCCGTCACCGCCAGAAGGGCTGGTTCAAGCATACCTCATTCACATTGGAGATCGTAGTGATACGAACTTTCGGAAGATTCTAGAATTGAAAGGTGTTAGAAAGCAAGATCAAACTGCATTGGTTGAAATGTTTGGTATGCATAGAGATGGCAAGGCTAATGAGCAACTTGTACAAAATTCACCTCTTCTCACGCCACTTATGAATGTTGCGGGACTTGGAAGCACAGGTCTAGGGATTGGAACACCTAGCGGCATGCCAGGTTTACAGACACGATTTGACCCCGGTGGTTTTGGAGAAAAGCTATTTAGTGCGGCCAGGGATAGTATAGGAACTGGAGGTGTCGGCGACAGAGGGATCAGTCCTCTGGGAGAGGATGCAAAGGCTACCGTGGAAGGAAATTTGAAGAGTATTGGAAAGTTCTTCAGGAGAGATATGACTGGGTTTGGTGGGATGAATATAGGGGGAAGGTTTGGGGCTAAAAGAGACGGTAGTGTAGATGATTATACCAAGTAGTAGATAGGAAAGTGATGGATTGGATTTATAATATAATCAGTCAGTCCTATGATGTCAATATATCCTCGCATGCTGAAATGGATAAATGTGTTCACTCGGAACTCGGGTCCCGAGAGAAGTATGGATAACTCTTGTCGCTCAGGAGGCCAGAGAATGATCTTGCCAAATGAAACAGAAGAGATGGGTAGGCTAAGGAGAGAGAGCGCGGCAGACCTATTATACTATTATACTTTTCCGACGAAATGCGGTATGGTAATTAGGGCTCAAGCAGTAACTCTGCATTTGTTGATATCAAATGGTTATGATGAGGCAGTTTGGTGGTGTTTAGGGGACATTTTACGATGAGAGTAACAGTCAAGGTATTTGGTATCTATGTAGTAGTATTTCTGAACATCGAAAAGTGCCCTTTGAATGGGTTACAGTCGGGATTATATCGGATGGTTTCGTAGGGATTCGTTTGAATTCGCATGAAATGTAAGTCTTAGATGCTGTTGATATTACCAGGTGGGTAATACCATCCGGTGAATCTTCTAGATACAAGTATATTTGTCACATGGAGAACTGAAATGTGTTATCTAATCTGATCGGATCTGAATTATCTCAAATAAAACCTTGCAAAATAATATCAAATGATAAATACAAATCGTCTAGGCCTAATTTGTAGATCAATACGTATTTATTAGTAGGTCAACATTAACAAGGTGATTATTGAGATTCTGCTTACTGATGGCAGGCAAGAAACAAAGACGGTAGACGGTCCAGATTCCTTGAGACTCTGTGCATCACGAAATTTTGGCGGGGAACCAAGGAACATTGTTTGAAATCAAATCTTTCGAATTTCTCTCTATGAAGTGAATGAAATAAATAAATAATTAAGAAAGTCCACACGCAACACACCACGATACATTACTTTTTTTTATTTTCAAGAATTTTAAATCGGATTCTGGGCGCATAGATTTTAGATCGGTTTTTAGGTACCTTTCTTCACATATTAGAAGTATCCGTTACAGTCAAAAATACAAAAAGAGGGGCTCCCGTCTTAAATCGACAAACTGTTTTCTTCAGCTCTCAAACGTACCTTAAGGGCAAGTGGTTCGGGTGTTTCGATTGCGGCGGCGGCGTGTTTTCAACAGAAAAATACCGTCAAGGGAAATAGTGCGAGTTTGCTTGGAAGAAATATAGAGAGAAGGATGCATAGTAAGGTTGTTAGTGAGTATTCCTCTTCTTTTATGGTGGGGTGAACTAGGACTGGTGATGGATGGGAATTGAAGAAAGAAACGTGTCTGCGAATACGTACTGACTTCATGGAATAGTTATTGGCTCAGGCCCGGCGGCTCACACTGCTGCCGTATATCTTGCGCGTGCGGAATTAAAACGTGAGTCCATATTCTGGGGATAGGAAATCGAGAGTGGGTGGAGGGGTTGGCTGACATCCATTGTGTAGCTGTACTCTATGAAGGTTTCTTAGCAAATGGAATTGCTGCCGGTGGACAATTGACTACTACCACCGATGTAGAGAATTTCCCTGGTTTCCCTAAAGGAATCGGTGGACAAGAACTTATGGTAATTTTACCTCGTTTCCAGACATTGGCAGAGCTATAGCTAAAGAATTTTGTGAAAAGGATAATATGCGCGCACAATCCGAACGATTCGGTACTCAAATCATCACCGAAACAGTTGCAAAAGTTGATCTCTCCAAACGTCCTTTCAAATACTGGACCGAATGGGATGACAAGACAGAACACACAGCAGATTCCATCATCATCGCTACGGGTGCATCAGCTCGCAGACTCGGTCTTCCAGGTGAGGAGAAATACTGGCAAAATGGTATCTCTGCTTGCGCAGTCTGCGATGGAGCCGTGCCAATTTTCAGAAATAAGCCCTTGGTAGTTATTGGTGGTGGAGATAGTGCTGCGGAGGAAGCTATGTTCCTTACGAAATACGGATCTCATGTTACGGTTTTGGTCCGAAAAGATCATTTACGTGCATCGAAAACGATGGCTAAGAGATTACTTGCCAACAAGAAAGTTACTGTTAAATTCAACACGGTTGGAGGCGAAATTACTGGTAATGATAAGGGATTGATGACGCATATGGTTTTTAAGAACGTCGTTACTGGAGAGGAAGAGAAAGCAGAAGCCAATGGATTATTCTATGCCGTAGGACATGATCCAGCTACTGCATTGTTCAAAGAGCAAATCGACACTGATTCCGAGGGATATATTGTAACCAAGCCCGGAACGAGTTACACAAATGTGGAGGGAGTTTTTGCCGCAGGTGATGTTCAGGATAAGAGATACAGACAGGCTATTACTAGTGCCGGTACGTTACACATCTTTATCTTTGAATCTGTAAATAGAAACTAATCATGCCAATAGGGTCTGGATGTATAGCAGCTTTGGAGGCAGAAAAATTCCTCGCTGAGCAAGAGGATGGGGAAAATGATTTGGAGAAGACGGATGCTGAAAAGGGTAGCAATGTTGTTGTTCCTGAGTATAGATCTAACCCTTTGCTTTAAGGTTTTTCTTTGTCATTGGTCATTTTAGATGTTTTTACATAGCATTTAGAGAGATAGGTTGGATTCCTTGCGTGCATGCATGGATATCCTTATAGTTAGTCATTATAAGATTACCTCTATATAAAGAAGAAAGAGAATAAATAAATAGATATAGTAACCCTTTTTTTTTTTTTTTCAACTAGTGTTCTCTTTCCTTCTTGTCTGTTCTGCCCTATTGTTTTCATAGACTACTGAGAGGATTGTGGCTTGGATATATATATACACATGTATCTATCTATTTTTCAAGCAGACAAGCAGACAGGTAGATAGGTAGATTATAGAAAGTATTTCTATCAATCTCACCCACTCAATCTGATCTGATCTATTTTGATATGGTTAATCACTACAAATAAATATGAACAAAAAAGTCCAACGCTAGACTAGAGTCATTCCTGGGCGCAATGTTAATTGCACATATATATATACATACATACACACACTTCCTTAGCGAATTTTTCGATCATATTACTGTAAGATTACCCTTTTTCCCAAATCAGACTTTGCGAGTGCGGGAAGACCCTTTCTCAAAAAATTTATATAATAAGGGTTTATGTATAGGTTTTGGGGTTTGGGGGGGGGGAAGGGGGAGAGGTTACTCTTACTCTTACTCCAACGCAGAAAATGAGTAGCCAAACTCCTCAATTTTAAATCCTAGATATAGTTTTCTGGGATGGATAATTCGATGTAAGGTTTTAATAATATATGGAATTGGTAATTTACTATCAATGTATGTATCTTAAGCTAGATTAACGTTAAGCGAATATGGATATGAAGTATATTCGTAAGTTCACCTAACTTCTTTGATGTGATAATTAATATTTAACTTAAATTAATTAGGTACGTACTAGGTAGTCTATTCCTATTCTTATCCACTTGATTCATGAAGCCATGGTATTTTCACATTGGTTTGGTTTGGTTTGGTTTGATTATATGCGCTGTTGAGCATGATTTTTGCTGAGTTGGGGTGTAAGTTACTTCTTTCTTTATGATATTAAGTACAGAATTCGAATTATGCGTAAATATATATATATTAGTAGAACTATTTTCAATTTCTGCATTTAGATGAGAAAACTGGAATTGGGGGGTGATGATTTGCTAGGTAAGATTTGGTAATTCGGTGTTATGTTCGTCTTTTTCGTGGAGCGCGTATTCAAAGGTCAACTCACTTGTTGGGATTGTCTCGGGAATGAAGTAGGGATAAGAGGGGGGATTTTGGAAGAGCTGGGGAAGTTGAGAAGGTAAAGTATGGTGTTTGGAAGGTATAGGGTGGATGGTTAGTGGTTCCTAGTGGAAGATAGTGAGGGTTAGGAAGACTAGACCCGAGAAGAGAGTAGAAGCAGCGATGAGAAGAAAATAGGAGGAGTTTAGAGAGGAAACAAAGGAGTTCTATTCAGTCGAAGGTTTGAAGATCAGATCATATAGGATTGTATTGAGTTTGAAAGGTCTTGAAAATCGAGAGTAGTACGCTAAAGAAGTGAGGTATTTGCTTAAAAACAATCAAGCGAAATAAGAAAGGGGATCGGTCCTTCTATTAGTACGTCCAAGATCCCCATCTAAAAAGCCTCGAATATCCAAGTACCCCGCCAATTCTAAGCCACGTAAAATGCAGACCCCCCATTAAAAAACATACTTAGGCAACTCCACCCCCGATCAACCCTCTCATTCCTAAAGACTCACATGCGGAGGCACCGGCCAAAACTTCCCATACTCATGATACCCACCATCATCCGACCTCAGAAGAAACGCATCATTCCGATTATGATTCACTCCATTCGTATAAATCAAATTGTTAAACCACCCCTTACACAAATCCCTTAGTCGATATCTGCAGCTCTCGCATAAAGTTAATGGACAGCCGTCGCAGAGGAAAATTGATTGTGCCGGACACACCATGCAGAATTTGGAGATGGGTCCGTGAGGTTTACCGTTCATGTGGATGCTGTGGTTGTGGGTCTGTATGGAGTTTGGAGGTGTGGATGTGAGGGGTTGTAGGGGGTGAGTGGTGGAGGACGTGGTCTTCCTGCTGGATTGGTCCCAGGAAAATTCCGTGTTGTCGACTATAGAGTCTATGTCTGTGTTCATGCTCGGATTTGCTCCCCAATTCATATCCGGATGCATAACCGCTGTAGATATCCCACCAGGATTCGTACCGCTTGCCTTCAAACATTGAGCCACGATAGAGTTAATATCATTCAAAGTAACACTACCATCCATCAAATCCGCACCAACATCAAAAGTAAATCCATTAATATTCAACCCAGTGCTCAAATCCCCAGATCCGTTCATCTGGCTCGGATCTTGCAGTCCGCGACTATAGCCCAACTGCCACTGTCCATCTGTATTCAACGCAACGATATGACTAAACTCATCATGACAACCATGAGTAATTATCTGCAACTTTTTCATCTTGCAGTTTTCGCATATCTTCGTCTTGCTCATGTCGATTTGTCGATGATCGCATCCGCGACACATGAGATTGTGCATGAAGGGATTGATTAAGATATTATCGATTGGAGAGAATATTTCCTGGGGGTCACCAAAAACATTGGATTCCTCAGACATGGGTGTATAGCGATCGTAGCTAGTGGAACTAGCAGACGCAGATAGTCGAGATCCGTTCATTGACGAGCTACTGCTGGATGACCGAGTTGATTTTTTAGCCGATGGACCAGAACCAGCTGGATCCTTAGCTGGTCTCTTCCTCCTCCCGTTTTCCTTCTTATCCATCTTTTCAAGAACAGCAGCACGAATAATATGTTTCCCAGCTTTCTGACATTCCCTACACCAATCATACCCAGCAGGACCCCATATTTCAACGAAATCATGGCTGTATGGACCAATTCCATATGCATTTGGCTTGCCAGAACAAAAGTCGCATTCAAAGTTCTCTCCGATAGTCAGCAGGTTAATAGCTAATGGCTTTCCTTCTACATCAATAGCTTTCTTCACACGAGGCTCCATGGCTAGATACTCCCAGAGTGGGGCATGTGGTTTTCCATCAAAGGGCATAGGACTGTTCAGATCATAATCTTGAAGTGAAGTACTAATTCCATTAGCAACTTGTAAGCGACGAAGATGTCCGGTGGACCGTGTAGTGAGAGGTTGATGGTTTTCAAATAAATTGAGACGCTGGCGTAACATATTGTTCCAACCGGGACCTGCAGATAAGCATGGTGGAGTGGGAGCGGGCATTGTGTTTTCCTGGTTTGAGCATTCACTTGCTTGATTTTGAAGTGCTGTCTGAGTCATCATATTTTGAACTTGACCATGATACTTCTGCTGCATTTGCACATTTTGTTGACCTCCTGCATTAAAATTATACTGAAATTGTAGGCCCGATTGAAGAGCAGCCGGGTTCTGGCTATGCATACTCATGTCCATATTTAAATTCACATCTCCCTGAGAGCTAAAACTTTGACCCGGTTGGAAGTAGCCTGGAATACTACCTGATACGGCAGGATTTGGAGGAATTGGAACACGCGAGGTCGGCCATACGCCACGAGGCGTAGGCTGATGAAAACTTGGCGGGTGTAGAGGATTGGGTGATGTAAGAAGAGGAGTATTTGGCTGACTACGAGGAGGGTCGCGATGAAAACTTGCTGGGTGCAAAGGATGCGGGGATACCTCTTCGAAGGAAATATTAGGAGCTGCTAGTACTACGGAATTCGACCTTGTTGATCTAGCTGGAGTACTTGCTGGTGATGCCGCACGGGTAGAATTAATGACTAATTGATTAGGTGTAGCGGATCTGCGTGAATCGACATCTAATCGAGTAGGAGGATTGGTCAAATTTAATGATGGCGAGCTCAGCTGACCAAGTTTCGAAATTGAGTTGCTTGGAGTGTGTCCATAGACAGGAGTGCCGTCCCGACGTATAGCTGGTCGAGGAGAAGGCATTTGCAAAGCTTGTATATCTAGTCCAACCTCAGTTGCAATAGTATCGCTCCTCATATTTGGCACAAAAGACATGTTATATCCACCTGGTACACTTGAAATGTTTCGCTGGTTACTACTAGTGAATGATGGTGCATTTGGATAACCACCAGCGTTTGCCGAGGGTACTTGATTTGACGACCCAGGCATGTTTGTCCCCGAATCTGCTTGAATTATTGGTGAAGCTTCGACAGCACTTGCTAATGAATTTCCTTGTGCTGATAATCCATTCACATCTGTTGCTGACCACACACCTTTTGTGGAACCAGTTTTCCGCGGCGATACTCGAAAAGGATCTGTAGGTGATGTATAGCACTCTCGACTGATACGACAACCACTCATGTTTGTTATATTTTCTTGACCACTAGATTGAAATCTATGTGTGCCTTTTTGCAGGTCAACACCGAGAGAAGCGTCAGCCATATTTTGATCTTCTGATAATATTTCCTCAGCTTGGTTGCCACTATTGTTCATAATCTGCTGAGTTGTAGGTTGGTTCAAATATTGTATCGATGGTTGAAAACCAGAATCCATTTGAGATACAGGAGAAAGATTCTGTGTGGTTATATTCATTCTTGAAGATTTCATTATGCCACTTTGATTTCCAGAGTTCATAAGATTTGCCTCTGTCGTAGAATTACTCATAGATCGCGTCGATCTTTCAGATTCAGAACCCATATGGTATCCATTATGAGATAGATTTCGGGAACCTTGTCCCATTTCCGTACTCATCGAAGATGATTGAGTAGATTCATGACCACCTGTATTCCTTGCATAAGTTGAATCGCCAGGTATAGAATTCTGCAAAGTTGCCATCATCTCAGCAAAATTAGCATCGAAATCTGGATCTATATCCATAGTCACAGAAGGTCCAAAAAATGGATTTTTACCAACAGTCACTGTAGTAGATCCACCCAAAAGTATCGAACTTCCTTGACTTTCAGCGTTTGCCTTCTCCACAGTTTCAAGCATGTGCTTATAGGCGTTTGCGGAATTCGATAAAGTCATGTCAACATGGCTGTCGTTCGACAACATTCCACTGTTTTCTAGGCTTGTATTGCGCCGATGTACTCGATCTGGAATGCTCAGAGTAAAAGGGCTGGAAGTTGGGTGATTTGCTTTGACAGCAGCTTTCCATTGTTGTTTATCTGCATCAGTGTTTGTAGGAAATTCTGAATTAGTTGTAGGCAAGGCTTCTCTCGCAGGCGCCGATGGATATTGTGCAAATGGTACTTTCTTTTCCCCCCTTTTGATGGAGTAGTTGACAGACGTGTCAAAGTTGGACTTGGTTGGATTCGAGACCGAAATTGTTTGTGCGGCAATAGCAACAGTTGGGCTTTTTGGTGGTAAACTAGAAGCTTCTCTAAGCAAGTTGGCTCCAAATTTGTTCCAGTCATCAACAGATGGATTGATCCTTCGTGTAGCTGCTGGTAGCTCACCGGCTACAATCATTGCTATACTTGATAGGACGCGACGTGGTGTAGTAGTGGCCCCAAATAGAGGTGGGTTTGCAGACGGAGGTAAAGAAGATATACCTCCAAGTGCGCGGTTTGAATAATTCACTATTTCTCGCGACTGTTCAAGCGATGGAAGCTTGGATTGAGGAGTTGGTGACTTTGGAGAATGTCGACCTTCAATGTTTGAAGATGAATTAATTGGTGGTATGCGAACCAACTTTCTGGTCGAGCATCCAAGAACCAATTGCGAAGGCGAAGTCAATGAGGCTGTTCCTAAACCTCGTGATGATATGTTCCCAATATTGGATGCAGAGAATGAATTAACCTTATTGCGTTTTCGACGTGGAACCCCATCTGAAGCCATATTTTGTGGGTTGTAGAATTGGGACGAATGAAGTTGTGACAGTCGTCGTTGTTTACCTAACTAATTTGAGAAAATATTGTCCTCTCTAGCATGGATTGAAACTCGGCTCGAGAGTCCAATAGAAGAGTATCATCTCATCTTGTTTTAAGGAGTGTCCAAATTCTAAGACTGAAAGAAACATTTTGTCATTGTCCAATAGCAACTAAGAGATTCACAGTTATTCTAGCTTGGGAATAGAAGTACTCATTCATGGTTTTTTTTACCTAGAAGACTAAGGCTTGAATTGTCTTCTAGATTCTTCCATATATATCATGTTATACTTGGGATCATCTTGAATAGCTACTAGCTACGAAACTATGGTACTGAAGGGAGTGATATAAATTCATAATATCTTGAAATTGAGACCCCAAAAGAATCAATCACACATGGATGATAATGCAAATCTACACATCTACCATTAAAAAAAGCCAGACCAAAATTCACAGAAAAGAACCACAAAACTCTCTATCATATTCCAGAAAGACCTCTAGCACAACTCAACCACTTTCTTTAGTATCCAAGTCTATTATCTCCTTACACTACATAGCATTGCAATATTACAAATCCCTTCCCCTTCCCCTCCCCCTTCCTTCCATCCACACCCATAACTATCCATCTCTATCAACATAATACATACATCCACAACACCGGCATCACTCTCCCTATCATTCTCAAAATCAATAAATCTTCTACACAAAAACCCTCAAAAATCACAAAAACATCCATTCCCATCTAAAACCAAACAACAAACAACAACAACCCTCAACCTCCACACAAGGAACCTCCAAACCAGCCATCC